GTCTTGTTGTATTGCAATTCAGGATCGTTGTTATGGAGTGGTGGAGAGTGTCTCGCTCGCTTATATGTCTCGCTCGCTTATCAAGTACGTTACCCCTGAAACCAACAGTCCAGAAACGTGGATTGTGCCCTACAGAATTGGTTCGGATAGGTATGTCCCCTTGCATTGGCATTTTCAGGCTCTCCATTTGACGTCACCCGTTGCAAACAAACAGGGCCTCAACACATCTTCGCCAGAAACTGAAACCAGCCCTTTGCCTCTCAACGCGGTGACCCATACAACCGGTAGTGCTTGTAATAAAGACACTGAGAAGAGGAAGACAGTCTAACCACAACCCTTATGTCCCTCTCACACTTCACTTCGAATCATTGCGCAACCAACCCCTTCACATCCGCCACCGCCGCCCTAGCCATCTTCTTCAATAACGTCCTCTCATCCGCCTCACGATACTTCTCCCAACTATCCAACCCTTCCTTAGCCTGGATACTGAGCGTCTCATACCCCTGCTTAATCACCTCCGCAACCTGCAAACTCGTCAACTGCGAGCCCGGCTTCCTCGATTTGCCGCCAGCCTTGACATTCCCCCCGCCGCCTCCATCAGCCAGCATCTCCTTGTAGTGCGTGCTGACATTAACCAGCGTATCAATCGAGTTACTCGGCCGATTCGCCAGCCCGTACGTAGTCCTAAACTTGACCAGCACCTCGCCCGACTCAACAACCTTGTAAAACAAATCATCATACGCCGCCGGCGTGGGCAAGAACGTTTCGCCCGCCGACAGGCCCAGCGCAATGAGATTGACGACATGATCCAGCAGGGTATAGATGTGCGACAAACCCTTAAAGTCAGCCGCGTACGTGGTCAGGAAGCGCACGAGCGAGAGCAGCGACCGGAACAAGTCTGCCCAGTGGTACTGCAGGCGGGTGCGCGAGCGCGACATGTAGCTGGTGACGCGCAGGAGGATGCCCACGCAGAGCGTGTAGAGTCCAACGTCGAGCCGCCGCCGCAGGTTGTGGTTCAGAGCGTCGACCATGGTGTCCATGATGGCCGTGGCAAGGATGCGCTCGCCCCGCACGAGGGGCAGGTAAGGCGAGCGCTGGCGGCAGAGGCGCACGGGGACCTTGCTTTCTTCGCTGCATACGCGCTTGCAGAGGATAGGGTCTTCGATGAGGAGGCGGAAGACCATCAGGTTGAGGTGGCAGTAGAGCGTGGTGCGCTGGGAGAGGTGGGCGTGTTGGAGGAGGTAAGAGGTGAGGGAGATGAAGCTGGCAAAGGGCTGCTCTTCGCCCGTGTCGGGTTGGAAGGTTACAAGCTCGAGGCTGAACAGCTTGTTGGCGTGGGTGAAGTCGTAAGTGGCGAGGAGTACTGCTGCTTCTTGCCCTGGCCTTAGGCACAGTCAGCCTATGCGCTAACTTGAAGGATCTTAGCCGGTTCTTGGATACTCACAGCTCTGCAAACATCTTCTTCGCCGTCTCAGCGTCGTAGACCGGTTTTGGAGGGGGCCTGCCTCCCGGGGCGATGGCTCCAAGCCCGATCTTGCTCAATGTGTTCGCTAGAGTCCATCCTTCCGGGAGATCTTCCTGCACGTCAATGTACTGGCTTCTCAACCTCTGACATGATTGTCCGACGTTTCCGACGATGCCCCTGATGACTCGCTCGTTCACAAAGTCATTGAGCCGCATTTGATATGGGTTCTGAAACTCGAATTTGTTGTAGTTGGCTAGGAGACCTAAGAGTATGAATGGCAGGTTTATACTCGGTGCTGTAGAGAGGATTTGTGATTGCATGCACTGGAGCGGCGGTCAGTCTCTCCATCTTAGCTACCCAGAAGTTGCCTCACTGACGTTGATTATCGCCGGGAACAAATCTCTCTGGATAAAGTAGGTGAGCAAGCTGGTCTGGTATGCCCCGGATGTAACAGCAAGGGCAACCTTGACTGCCCTTTGCTGCAGGTCCGCCGTGTACGTACAGCCTGCTCTGCTCCCTACTGCCTGCGTCTCCTCCTGGCCGGAATGACCAATGCCATTGGGGCAGCATTCAAGCGCGTTGCTTCTCCCATTTCGAATCAGCGACTCCAGCGCGCTGACGAATTCGGCAAAGACTGTATCGATGTGGTCCAGGCCAGCCAGCACTTCGATGATATCGGAGCTTGGGTTGGTGTACTTTTTGGCGAGAACTGCAACCATAAAGGTGCTCAGTGTCTGTAAGATGGAACTCCCAATCAGAACATTGCCCTCCTTGTAGGGAATCCTCGCACATGCTCACATCTAGGGCGTGCAAGTCGGAGATGCCATAAGGACGTCTTAGAGTCGCCACTGCCTGCGCAAACAACTGTCGGGTCTGGAGCTGAAGGTGTAGCAGCTCGTTGGGCCCTATCTCGTCGAGTATCCGTCGAAGCGACGGCCGGTCAGGCTTGAGCAGGAAGAACTCTTTCCAGAACCCCTCTGATCTCTCGGCCTCCTCTGTGTCGTCCTATCTCCACAGGTTCCATGGAATTAGCATCCTTGAGATCGAGCTGCCTGCGGTTGAACATGGCTGCGAACATCGTGGAGGGACCATGCACGGCACGTCATCGGCTGGATGGGTACAAACCTGCCCAAGAGGGATTGCACCATGTTAGCGACTCTACTGAGACATTAAGGTAGGTCTGTTTCTTGGTCCTACATGGAAGGATTGGGGGGAATATCACAAACCTTGAATAATGTCTCGTAGAGCCCAACAACTTTGGGCTTGAACGCCTCTGGCCGGGGCTGTTGCGTGAGAGGCGACGGCTCCATAGGAGAAGCTCGGTTTACGTTGAATGGAGATCGAGATGCCCAGGCATCTGTTTTCGGCAACAGACGGTTTGCGAAAAGCAGGCCAAGACGCTCCATTGTTAGCGCCATTGTTCACTGCAGCACCGTGCGCAGGGCCCTGGGCAGGGGCAGGAGCCGACAGCTTCAGCGCTGAACAGTGTCCGTGCATACAGTGTTAACCTCGTGACGGCGGCGATCATCCGTTCTGCAACCAAAACACCAAGAAAACGGAGTAGTGGGGCAGATGGCGATTATGAAGCCCTGACGAGTAGTGGAAAGAAACAAACAAGTTCGGCCACTTCATGAAACCCGGCATTCGTGGGATGGCTAGGTAGTATAAGGCAGCTCTGAAACCATAAGACCACATTGCCTGCCAATAATGTGTACTTCGTAAGGTAAGCGGCGCATGGTCATGCTCAGTGTCATTCTGCCTGGGCACTCTGCAGCCCAATAGGTAAAGAATTGCAAGTTCATAAAAAAAGGTGTAAGCTACATGACACCTTTTGTCTCTGCTTCCCGTCCCATAGGTAGTACCGGTAGACCAGGTGTGTGTTGAATACAGTGCTATAGTACCCCCTAGACACAACGAGAATGCCGTGCTAAGTGTCCCGTCCATGACCTGTGAGGTGATTGCAAACCCGAAGTTCTTCTTCTCTTGATCCCTTTAACCGCCTATTAGCAACATCCCCATGGAAGCTCTACTAGTAAATCCGCCGTTGACAGTGCCCATAAAGTGCCGTCGAAAGCTCTATTGAAAAACCACGTCTGTTCCGCCCTTTTCTCTAGCCAGCCACGCTGGTCATTACTCCCGTATCTCTGAAGAACTCGAAAACGAAAGACGCCGAAGAAGCAACTAACCCTCAAACCATAGGTAGCTATGCATGCACCTGCCTGCTGTCCCACTGGAGAAGCTTGCAGAAAAGGAAGAAGAGAAAAAAAACAAAAGTCATAAAGTCGTTCAGGGATGCTCATGTGTGCTTCGCCGGAACATGCAATAAAGGAGAGGGCCGCAAAAGGAAGAACGACACATGCCAGCCCAAGGCCAAAAGCAACTTTGAAGAAGCAGATAAACTCAGGTCGCTAGCAAACGTGCCAGAGCATGCCCAACGCCCGAAACCTGAAGAAAAACAGGCCCAATCGTAGCTGAACGCAGACGCAAGAGGGAACAAATAGGAAGAAAGCAACACCCCATCAAATCCCCCAGCTGCCCCTCCTCTCCTGAACACCCCACGCCAGCGGGCTAATAGCATTCAGGTCCGGATGCTGCCTCGCCCACTCATAGATATAGCGCTTGAGCGCCTTCCAGCGCGGGCACCGCTCCTCCTCGCTCACTCCGTCTTTCTCCTCGCTGTCGAGCATGATGTGCCCGGTGGCCTTGATCTTTTTCCGGTGAGCTGGAACCAACGCCTTGTCACCATCACCATCACCAGCACCGTCGGTACCATTGTGCTGCTGCTCATCCCCTCCCCAGAGGTCGTACATGATGGCGTCGTCGTCCCGCTCCAACTCGTCGATGCTGATCCGGCTGATTTTGCTGAGCTCCTCGTCATACAGCCTCGCCGTGGCCGGATACCCGAGCGACAGGTAGTTGTAGACCTGCGTGACGAACCTGTCATCGAATTCGCCCGCGATCTTTTCCTCCAGCTCCGCCGCCTCTTTTTCCTTCTTCAGCTTCTCCTCCAGAGTCTGCAGGTTGTGCAGCATGTGCAACCCCTTAGGTGCGTTGCTGCGCGTCCTATGCTCTGGCTGGGGCACGGGGATGCTGCCGTGCCGCGTGGCCGAGACGGTGCCTGGTTGCGTTACGCTCTCGAGCGGCGAGGGTTCCTCGCTCAACACAATGGGTGCCGAGGCGCCAAAGGCGCGTGCAAACGGGTCTTTGTTGTTGCTCTGAGGTGCGGGCGTCGTGATCATGGCAGGCCTCTCGATGGCGGCCAGATGCTCCGAGCCGTGCGTCGCATAGCAGTAGCCGCGCCAGAGACCGTGTTGTCCGGTCGGATCTCGGTTGTGTTCGTCGAATGTCGACCCCGTCCGAAGATCCCAGAGATGATCCGGCTCGAGCTTGGTTTGCTTGGGGGAAGGGCACATACGGAACACCAGATCCTGGCCGAGCAAGGGCGGGGACGCTTTCAGCCTAAGCCGATGCTGTTGTCGGGCTCTCTCCAGTGACATGTCCCTTTCCTGGTTGTAGGGCATGAAAGGCGCATGATGCCGGAAGCTTGTCTCGGGAGGGATCTGAGAGGCCGGGGCATATGGCATGTGCATGGCCTGACCGGCGGGGGCCGAGGGGATGTAGGGCATGTGGCTCTCGCCAATTGGGCGGATAGCGGGGGGTTCGGGGGGGATGTACGGCATAACAGACTCGCCGATGGTAGGGAGGGGCGAGTCAGTACGGAGAAGAGGCATATGCGTCTCGCCAATTGGCCCAAGAGAGCCCGACGATGGTCTCGATGTCCATATCGGGGAGCTGGCTATCGACGTCCTCTGCGTTCTAGTCAAGCCCATGGCATCGCTAGGCGGGCCATCAATGCTAACGTTGTCGAGGTCAATCGTGTCTACCCTATCCCGGTCTAGGCCCTTTTCAAGAAGGTAGACATGCTCTTGCATCTCCTTGAACGCCCAGCTGATATCCTCTTCGGACGAGTTCCGTCGCGATTGCAGAGGGTTCCAAGGGCCCCTGGTCAGCGGTCTGCCTCTGGGCCCGTCATCGTCGGAACCTTCCCGCACGTAGAAGTGCTCCGCGCCGCCTATGCGCTCACCACTGTTAGGAAAGGCACTCATGGCCACCTCTTGAAGCTTTCTCTGGGCATCTCGAGCTACCAGGTCGAAGACGCCACCGGCAATCTCGTCATCGCAAGACTCCCGGCGGGCGTGGCCCTTCTGCCTGGACGGTGTCCCCGGGATTGCTCCATAGCCGGGTCGTTTGCGTGCTTTAGGGGCGTAGATGTGGTTCGTATAGGGCGTAATATCCGTCTTATCGGTATGCTTGGTAGCAGGCCCTTCGTCACCAGCTCGCCGTGATCGCCGGACTGAAGACTCGACAAGCTGCGGTGCAAATCGTCGTTTTTCTCGCCGCGGAGGTGATGGCGACCGCGGCGACGGACTAGGTGTCGGCTCGCCAGCCGGAATCGTGGTGCGATATCGCTCGAAAGTTGTTTCGATAGGTATCGGCGCAAACCGTAGGCGCGGCTTGTCCTTGTTAGCCATTGTGAGCTTTGGCTCACTTTCCTTTCTTGTTACACGACGCATCGTCCAAACCGCACGATACGTCTGTGTGTGTTGGTTCCAGGTGGTCACTGATTGTGCTGGCTGGAATGGTGAACGGCCGACTGCTTTCGGTCAGTCATCCCCTGACTGTAATTTGTACGATGTCAATGAAATGTCCGGTTTCGCAACGTCTCCTTGGAATGCGTATATACCTTGAAAGGTTTGCGCGCTTGTGGTCCTTGTCTTAGCACCATCAGGGCCTCGAAGCTGGTTTTGTAACTTGGGCAAACTGCCCCTAAAGTCCAGTGAGTGGGGGGAACACAGGCTGGCGGTCACAAGAACTGAGGCGGGTACGGCAACAGTTGATGGATCTAAACTAAAGTCCGTGTTGGTGGGCCGAGATTTTGAGAAGAGCCACCACCACCTGAGGGCTGACCGCTGTTGGCAGTACGTTGCAGTTGTCGGGAGACGGAAGTGGGATGGAGGGTGGGGTCAAGTCCAAAGTCGCGCTACAGTGCGCAGTGAAAGGAACGGCGATTGTCCGACCGCCGCGTGATCCACTTCGCTCTTATTCAAACAAGAGTGCCCTGTATCGTGACATCCAAGCGTGAGTGAAGAGGCACAATTCAAAGCCGACGGAAACATTCAAGCCTCGGTATGTACAATCTGCCTTAGGCATATCATCCTTGTTTGTACTCTAACAGGAATACTTGGGCTTCTTTTCATCTTTGAATAAACCATGCTGCTGTCTCATATCATACCAGGGCGTCAATCGACATTCGAGCGCTTCGGCCAGAGCCGGTGTTCAGTCCGGCGGCACCGTTCAGCTTCCAAGATCGCACCGTGGTGTACCTCCCTGCCAATGATTATCGGAGATCATCCAGGGTCCTACACTAGCGTAAGTAGCAGCGGGGAAGTGCCATTTCCCTCTCGCCGTTGTCCGGCGGGCAAATGCCACAGGTGCAGCTTCCCGGTTGACATCATCGTGCTGGAGGAGCTTCAGAAATTTCTTGCTTTCTCGGCTCAAGGAAGCGCAATCGCAATCACAGATCAGCAACATATGAAAGTCATCAAAGCGGCACAAGCAGAGCCTAAAAAAAGACACTTATCCATCTGGCTCCCTGCAAGCCGTCAAAGATCTGAAGAGCTCGGGGTCAGCCCCTTCGAGCCACTAAACCATCCCTTTTCCATAAACGTCTTGGCCCGCCCGACTACTAGCAAGCCGTCGTGCCGCCACGCCCTTTTTGATCAAGTGACAACCTGGCATTCCAAGCGCCTGCCTCAATATCCTCAGCCTGGAAGTTGCCTTGACACGACGTGGAGTAAGGAAACGAGGCATGTCAGGGTCCTGTTGGGACGCGCGCCCTGACCGCCCGACTTACCCATCGCCAGTGGACCTCGTAATCCTCGACCACGTTGTCCAGTTCTCGTCAATCGTTTGCCCTTCAACAAGCGACAACCTGACAACCAGCAGATCGAGCTCACCCCGGCCAGACACCGAGCGTAACCGCGGTCAACTCATTCACAGACCGCTATTACCGGATTCCTATTCGTATTAGGCCACTAAATCCCCCAATCCCATCCTGTTGCAGCTCCGTCCTAACCTGCTTAAGAATCCAGCTAGAAACCTCACGGCAGTCTCTTCTCTTTCAATGCAGCATCTTGATCGCGCAATTGCCAGTGGTTCATTCATCATCCCACGCAAATCTCAGACTTCCCAAGCCTATAGAGGGCAGCTCCGACATCGACCAAAGGGTAGCACCAAGGCTCTCGCGTCAATTTGATCCAGGATGGATGTCGCCGCATCCCACACCCCTCGCCGCCTCGCGGGGTCCCGACACCCGGGAGACTAAACACCCCCCACTGCGCCCCCCGTGTTTGCGCTCCACCATAACAGGGCACCATGAATCGCTTTCCGCAGGCAATGCCACGACAAGAGAGGATTGCCTACAGTCTCCCGAACATCGACGCTTAAGGTACTGTAATCAGCCGAATCTACAAAGTTCGACACCGCCCTCACTCTGGCGACGATACGCCGAGCAGCATTGCGTTCTTATCTTCTCATGCGTGCTTGCGATCTGTGGACTCGCGTTCAGGCCATCTGTGACATGTAAGCCACGCGGCAGGACATGCTCTCGTGATGCAGGAGGTTTTTATCTTGCATCGCACCCATTGGCCCACTGGTGGGATGCTGCTGCAGTATCCCGGCAGGCCGTTGCCAGTCAGAATAGCGAATTGCCTTGCCATCGCTGACCGCCTCTCTCCCCCGTTAGAACTTCCAGGTTCCCCTCACTGCTCCAATGCGGGATCGGTATGCTACCTAACCGCATTTGCATCTCGTCTCGACCTCCACGTGTATTTGATGAACTGTATCCGTAAGTCAAGGCCAATCGGGTTTAAAAGCAGAGGCGAGGCATGTTGCTGCGGCATCCAGGCCGCCTTTGGGCCGTAGAAGGAAGTTGATCGTTTGAGCGATTACTGGAATGGGATGGCACGGCTCATGTTGTTCCATTGTGTGTTTGCAGCATGTTACACTTGCCGGACATATCTCACATAACTAACCTCAGTGCCATCTATGGATCGCAGCTAAGAAACTTGGCTGTTAAGAGCTGGCGAAGAACATCCTACGTGCCCTGAATAAAAGCTACCATATATATTGAGAACGGAGGTCCAGGCCCCGATCTCAACCCCGTCTCGGTGCTTGGCTGTCGCGGAACCATTGGAACCACAGCATCGACTTGAACTGCGGTCCTGCGGGTAACAGGCACAGCAGCTCTGAAGCCCGGCCGATTGCCGACACGAAGACGAGGACATCAAGTCGACTCGTACATTAGCTTGTGGGCGTTTTCAGTCAAAGCAATCTATCAAGCTCAACTTTTAGATACCAGACATCGGAAGCACAGGTATCACCAAGGTCCAGTGTTATGGTGCAATTCCCTAGCTTTGTTCATCCCGGAAGTCAAGCACAGGTTGACACATGTACTCTGGGAGACCCAGCTACAATGAGTGATGTGAAGCTGCATCTGGCGGCTCTGAAGCCAGGGGGTGTTAACTTGGGCGCGGAATGCTATAGACGTGATACTGACGAGTGGACACTGGACAGCGAGATAAAGACAACTGGATATGTGATCAACTAATAGCTTGCCATCATGGATACCCACCTGTCGGTCTGATCTGCTGACTCTGAGCATGTATTCCCTGGACACAGCATCCATCTTTAATGAAGCCAAGTAAACACCGGTGTTACCAGCGGTGTATTGTACATGATTGTCAAGCGTCAAGCTTCAAAACCTCATGAGTGACATTGGAGCCGTTCTCTTGCTAAGTACCAAAGCAATCAAGGTACGGACATGGAGCCATTCATCGAGGTACTCGCCGCCCCTGATACCCTAGCCCGCCTCACAACTAGTGACTCAAGCGAGGACGATTATCCTACCACACATAGTGGTTGATGAACACCGTAACGAAGCCACCCCAACATCCCCTTAATGGAGCAGTTCTTGATAACTGAGACTTCCAGCTAGTCCAAAGAGGATTCCCAGGAGGTGGCACGAGCATAGGTATTGTACCTTAGTCTTCTCTACGACTTGAACGCCAGCAAAGATGACAGAGTAGTGTCTTATACCGATCGAAAACCGCTTCCATCATTGACAGCAAAGTCACGGTAATGAGCAAGAGCTGTGACGATATATCAGGGGAACATTTCATGTAAAGCCAGCAACAGATGGGTATCAGGGGCCGCGCATGGTAGGGCGGCAAAGGAGAACTCGTCCTCTGGTTAAAGGTATTATTTTTGGCGTGGTGTCCCCATGTTCTGTTTTTGTCATGAAGATACACATGATGGAGAAAGACCAATACTACTAGTAGTACTGTCACGAAATACCACCAGGCTGACATAGTGCCTGCTACATGTACCCATCCATCTGGTAAGGTCTGGACGGTGCAGAAAGGTTTCCTCTGTGTGAGACGCAGGGGAAAAAATGAGATTTGAGGCGTTCAAGGAGCATGGGTGTCATGTCAGTGGCAGCACCAAATAGACTAACATGACCAGAAGTTTGGAGGCTAGACCTTGATCACAATCTGGCACCAGCTGGCGACAGGCGAGGCCTGATTCTCTAAGTCTAGTGGTACCAGTTGTCAATATCTATAAGTATCTTCGACAGTTTGGGCTAGCTTCATGGCAGTTGACCCAAGACGTATAGCGTATTTGGTAGATATCCAGATGAGTCCACTGCCCGGACAATGGCGTTCAACTTGGTGGAAGTGACCAGGTTGTCAATATGCACATGTTCGCGCTCAAGTGTCCACATAGTGTTTCCCCCTCACCACTTTCCATGCCGACTGGTGGTAGCTTCCAAAGCACCCATGAGCCTGCTCGATATATAGACCAACGACTTTGATGTTTTTATACCCTTTCAATGACAGATATCATTCTGGTATCGCCTTGAGAGCTACGGTACTATAGTATTCGGCCAAGAAAACATCAACCACCTCCAGATGGTCCCGAAAACGTAACCCTCACCTGATTCCCTACACGTGGCACGTTGCCGGTGTGCAAAACTGCAAGATATCTTTGGCAGATTAACTGGGTTGGGAGTGATTCAGCCCCTAGGAAGGCCAGGAGGGGCATTGGAGTACATTTAGGTGCCTATTGTACATATGGAGCTACCTACCGTGACCTAGGGTATTAAGAAGGGAATCAAGCCATGGGTGATGTGTAAGGACTCGGAATAGAACCCCCCTATTACCATCTGGACCGATTCCTCCCCCCCTCCCCCCCGCCCTCCTCAATAGCCTGACTCCGTGCCCCTGAAGCGGCAAGGCGCTTTTCAGTGGTTGTTCTCGTAGTCTTCGACAGTTTCAAGTACACCGGTGGTCACAATATGCCGGGTGTTTTCAATATATCTGTTATGTACCAAGTGGCAGCTCAAAAAACGGCCTCAAAACCTACCATGTAAGGTACCTATCTTACCTGAATATATTGGTCGGGGAAGGAACGGCGAAGCCGCCCAAGTCTACGGCAAGCCTCCATTGTTGTTGCCAGAAATTGTTTACGGGCAGGCACATGTAACGGTCTGGGGTGTTTCAACTTCCCTGTGAGAAGGACGGTGAGAGCAGCGGGAAATGTTTTGGATATAAAGGACTCTCGGACAGCGCCGTTGCGAAAATGCAGGTACCCGCCGTTCCCTTCCGTCACGGTATGTCTTATGTAGGTCTGGTCTCTTACCCTCGTCATCTGACCGAGTTCCTGTCATCAAGCCTTGAAGCTAACTCTACGCATCCCGCTCTATAGTTCCTATTCAGTTCGAGCTTGGGTGACAACATGGCGCGCTCCTGGTTATGACTCTGCTGTGAGCGGCGAGCAGAGTGCCTGATTTGCCACTGGCAATGCATGAACGTTGGGAGCTGTGCGTCCCCTGAGGGCCCTGGGAACGGATCGCACAACAGCAGAGTCGCACAGTCATCTAACTTAGACGAGCTGTGTGACGGAACTTATGACAGGAGTCCCGCCAGGCGTACAGTAACAGATGGGCTATCTGACATTACAGAACCTAACTTTACCTTGGATACCTGTGATCATCGCTTTGAAGTGCAACCATGGGATTCATTTAGTACATTACCTGCCTTTACAACCAGCAGGTCCGGAACACGACTCGACCGATCTCGAGAGCAGCTTCTGTGTTCCACTCGGGGACGGATCTCGATTCTACTGTGATGCGGGACCACACTTGTATCGAATCAAACCCGGCCGACGATCACTTGCTCATGTTCCTCGGCTTCGTCGAGAAAGCGGCTTCTCGAAGGCGGTGTGGACAAGTCTGCCTCAGTCCTGCAGTGGTTTGACTTGCCGGTGCTGGATCGACCATCGACGTATGTACGATACAGATAATACATAAAAGTGATCAAACCGATAAAACTGTCTAGAACGCAGTCAGTTCATCAGTCTAATAAGGTAGGGTTGGTCGAATTTGTTGGGAAACAAGAGGCCCACTCGCCAAGGTCGATATCGCAAGACACAAAATTGGGAGCAGCGTGACGGCGTGACGGCGGGAAAAGGGAGATAACATTAGCACGATATTAGCCACGTGTCCTAGGAGTTTTCTCGAGCAGAACTGAGAGGCGTAATTAGTTTCGGCCATATCCAAGCCCTCTGCATGGTGATGGCGGTTCTTCATGATAAGGAACTTGGCTGGTGAGGTTATCTTGTCACCACCACTTCAATTGCCTACAAATCACCACCCACTGTTTCTGTAAGGTAACTGATACTACAATACAGTACGGTACAGTAAAGTACACGCTTGGTTACAGTAGCAGGAGGCAGTCAACTTAGCATACTGCCTACCTCCGTACAGAAAGTTAATTACCTAATTTCCAGGTTTGTGGGCTTGGGTGGCATCGCAGCGCCGGGAAGGTGGGTGGGAAGGCCCCACTTCACCACTGGCAGCCGGTGGTGTCGATGGGCACTGTGGACGTTGAGATGACCTAGGGCGGCACGAGAACCAGGGTGGGAAGCGTGCCACAGGGCAAATCCCGGCTTGGCCATGATCTCCAGCAAGGCGCATTCCCAGCTCGATGCATATATTTCCAATTTTCCATGATTCTTGCTGCTCTGCTCCAGGTTTGCTCTTAGCGTGTCGCTCCTTCGCTTTCCCTATCGTATCTTGTTTATCCGAATACACAGTACATAAGGTAGTCTTGCGGTCCAGGGCCATCTGCGGCTTCTGCGCCGGCTGCCACTTCCCTGCGTCGGCGCTGATAACAAGCTGGGATCCCGGAATCGTCATTTATAGATCGATCATCATCGCCGAACCGTACATTTATCTTGAGATAAGCGGGTCTCCAGACGTGCAGAGTGCAGACCGACAACTGCACCCTAATCAACTACCTACGTATCGACCAGACGCGATCGACGGTCTAGCAAAGAGTGGGCTCGGGCAAGAAGCAAGAGCAAGAAGAAGCAATCTTTCCATGCCGCGGCCACAAAGTTGCCAACACTGATTTCTTATCGCGCTCCTCGTCCGTCCGCCATGCCGGTGAGCTTGAAGATCGATGGCCAGCCTGATGACGACACGCGCAACCAAGAACCACCGCGATCGCTCCAAGACCCCGTATTTCGGCCACCTCAGACATTTCGATCCACATCTGCATTGGCGACCATGGCTTCATCCGAGCAGTCGCCGTCGCAGCAGAGCCACTACTTAGAGCTGGCCGAGTCGACTTTTACGCCTTTGTCCATGGACAGCAGCGAAGTTTACCTATCAGACAGCACCCAAAGCCGCGAAGGAGGTCGAATTGCACAGAAGCTGAGTGCTGAAGCAGAGACGGACTGGCTGCTGCGCCGAGCCAGAAGTGCTGAACATTTGAGAAGCAGCGCGTCGGCCAGCGTCAGCCCGGCCCCAGCTGGCAGCACGATTCTTCGCGGCCCAGCGTCAACCGTCAGCGCCATGGTCCAATCGTTCGAGGCGCTCCACGCAGCGAATGCTGCAAGGAAATACGAGCTTCTCTCGGCAAAAAGTCATGGCCATCCCCCTGGAGGAGTGGTCTCACCTCCGTCGACCATTTCGCCGTCTCCATCAACAACTCCCAGCGGCGAGCACCACGTTGTTGCCGGCGCTCCTGGCGCTACTGCGGGTCCCGATGCAGCATCCCAGATAAAGTTGACCGCAGCCCCTGTCACGGCGGATACTGATCCATCAGTGCCTGACTTGAGTCCGTCCCGGGCACATGACGATTCCTCGGGTTTGTCACTTTCTGCTACATCCGAACCCGCTCCTTTTTCGTCCGTCGCTGCAACCGACTCTACCCTAATTCGACTTACACCCACAACAGCGAGTCCGCAAACCCCGAACCCAGCCATTCCCAGCCCGACCCAGTCGCCCATTGTTCGTACCTCGTCGGCCGCAAGTCTGACCCTCAGCCACCCCGCTCCGGATGTGAACAAACGTTCCCAAGCAGGCGGATTCCTCGGGAACATTGCAGCTCTCGAGGCCTCTGCCGAGCGGCTGTCCATGACTGATTCCATCGAACGCGCTATCCGTGAAGAAAACGACGAACTGAAGCGAAGCGAGAGCCGGCGATCGTCGGTACTTCAAGCGACTCGCGCGAGGGCAACCTCAGCGTCAGACAGCGCGTCGGCATTCGGACAGTCGCAACTTAGCAGGCACAATTCGATACTGGAGATTAACAGTGCAGCACGGATCGGAGGATACTCGCCTGGGGGTTACATAATGAGCCCGAACAATTCCATGTCGGCCGCCTCTACTCGTCTTCGCTCGGGGAGCAAAGCGAGCTCGGTTGGCATGCCGCCGTCCATACCAGGGCATCCAGATCCAATCGATAGTGACTCTGCCCAGGAAGTTCGCTTTCTCCCCCGGCATGGCCCTGGAAAGGCATCGACTAGAAGCGTCGCGAGCAAGCTGTCTCTCGTGCAGATTGCTGAGCTTGATCTCCCGACCGGCTTGACGAAGGAGGCATTCGAGGAGGCCGATCGTGCGGCTGCCGCGGGAGCAGACCCGGTAGATGAGGATGCTATCCGGGCGAGCGCACATCAGTTCATCGAGGCAGAGTTTGCAGACGAAGTCGATGTCTTGCAACCCATGTTGGCACAGCCGGCTGCAGATGAGCAAGCTGGGCGACTGCACCTTCACCAGCCGGATCAGTACCCTCATTATATGCCACAGGGGAGCAATGATGAGAGGCCGACGTCTTCGGGTTCCGGGGCAACGTATGATCAGGCACAGGCGGCGTTTGGTGACTTTGATGGGGTTCACTGTGACCCTGAGGCTAGCGATTTGCCGACTCCGGAGACGCAAGCATTGCCCGAATCGCAACCTCAGCCGCAAACTACCCTTCCCCCACGGCCCACGTCCTATTTTGACCCAACAACAAGGCAGCAGATGCTCTACTATCCGGCGCCGGTCCCTGCTATGCTGAATCTTCCGCCCAAGTTGTCCAAGAAACCTAAGAAGGCGGCAGCGGCCAAGGACACACGCCGGTCTCAGATCCTGAGTGCTATGCCGCCCGCAGCTCGGGAATCTCGGGTCTGGTTGCCCGACCCGCTCGAGGGCTTACGCGATGGTCCAGACGAGGATCACTTCTTGGGCGGAACTAGCAGCGAGGAGCAACCGCCATCACATGCCAAGCAGGCTTCGGAGGCGAGCACCATCCAGCCTCCGTCTCCAGCCCCACAACCGCCAGAAATCCGCAAACCTCCGCGGTTGACAGTTGGAGACAACCGCAAATCGCGCTTGGGTCCCATCGATGGTGCGCCGCCACAACTGCGGGCAAGTGCCTTTTTTGAGCTGCCTTCAGCCCCTGTCAAGATTGAGTTGAAGGGCGGTTCCGCTATGGACACTTTGGATAGTATCCTCGATGCTTCGGCAGCGGCTCCCGTCAATGCCTTTACCGACCACTCTTTTGCCGGTAAGCTCGGTGCAGAGGTGTACGGACCGGAGAAGAAGAAAAAGGTGAAGAAAACAGCACCTGCATCTGCACCTGCACCGACGGTTGAACCAAAGAGCCCTAGCGGGCCTAAGAAGCTTGTCAAGAGGAACTCCAGCGCCAACCTGCTTGAGCCGCCGACACCAGGGCACAAGAAACGAGCTAGCCACTTTTCCCTATTCGGCGGGAAACGTGATGCTGCAGAGGCATCCGATAGCGATGTGGACGAAACCAGAAGCGGGCTGGCAGGCATGCAGGACGACTCTCGTTCTCATGACGGGCAAGCTTCCCCGAATCAACTGGCCCCTGGCTCGGATGAAGGATCAGAGGAGGAGGAGGCGGAAGAAGAGGGAGAAGAGCTTTATCAGGGCCCTCCCACAACGCTCCTTGCCGAACTGCAGCTGCGGAAACAACAAAACAAAATGCGGACCCGTCCGCTCACGCATGTCTATCCTAATGGTATGCATAGCACTCTCTTGGAACTGGATGCCGTTGCGGAAGTGGAGCGCAAAGTCAGGAAGACAAAACGTGTCAATCTCGCCTGGGAGGACCCTAACAGCATCCCCGTCCGTCCGGAAGATGAGGATGATGACGATGTCCCGCTCGGCATGCTCTACGTACAGAAGGCTACCGGCAACCGCTCGACCATGGATATCAGCGCCCTGATGAGTGAGGTTAACCGCCCACTCGGTTTGCTGGAGCGCCGCGAGCTGGAGGATAACGAACCTCTGAGCCGCCGCCGCGACCGGCTGCAGGGCAAGGAGAGCACTCAATTGCCCCTCTCCCTCGAGGTAATGCAGAAACGCCTGAGCCACATGCCGCTTACAAGCCCCGGCACCGGCCCTGCTGCTTCTGGTCTACGGTCTCAGTCCAGGCTTACCTTGCCCTTGCACTCCGGGGGCCGATCCGTCGGGGGCTCCGTACCAGGCTCGGTCTCCGGCCAGGACCAGCCCGAAGCCGAGGATAGCGAGCCCGAAATCGAGGGCGAGACGCTGGCAGCCCGCAAGGCGCGCCTGGCTGCCGAGAATCCGCTCCCTCGCGCTCGCCCGGTCAGTGGCGTCTTCTCAGCTGAATTGCTCAGCCAGTTTGGCGGCGCCGACGACGAACCGTCTCAGTCTGACGGCAAGGCCAAGTCCACAGCCGGCGGGGCGCACAGCCGAAGCACCTCGGCGGATTGGGGCAAACAGGACAAACCCCCAACCCTTGACGTCCCAGTTGCGGAGGAAGAAGAGACGCTTGGCCAGCGCCGGCGTAGACTGCAGCTTGAGCGTGAGGCCCGCGAGAGGGAAATGGCTGCCGGCGCCCGCACCGCCACTCCTCTTGATCCACTTAACGCCGCAAGCCGCCCACCACTTTCCCGACCGCTGTCAATGGCTGACGTGCTCACTGTGCACCCCGTTGACCAGAACGCCGTGAGCCTGCACCTGCACCCGGCCGAACAGGAGCGCTTGAGGAGGGAAGCCGAGGCCGCCCGCGCCCAGAAGGAGAAGGAGGTCAAAATGGCGATGTTAAGGGCCCAGATGCCGACCTCGTTGCCTGTCACGGCCGTCGGGGCCCGCACGGGGGGTTATATGGGCGGGAGGTTCAATAATGGACTTGGTGGGGCTGGGCCGATGGCGGCGGGGAGTAGTTTGAGTTTGGGGTATGGTGGTGGTATGGCTCAGATGGGGGTTGGGGTTCAGCAGCAAAGGACTAGTACCCTGCTTGGGACTGGGCATCTGGCTGGGGGGCCGTATGGAGCTGGGCCTGGGTATGCGTCGTCGTCGCCGAATGTGAATATGCTGCCGGTGGGCATGCCGGCGGGTGCGGCATATGATGGGAGGGGAATGCCCATGAACATGAATGGAGGGGGGAATGATATGGTTGAGCGGTGGAGGCAGGGGGTGCTGCCTTGACCTTCTGTCTCGGGCTGATCGAGTTGTGTTGTGTTCATACATAACAGGTTGAACACGGCACAGCACTGCATTGGGTGAGCTTGATACTTCATGTTGGGTTTGCTGCATTGCATTCCATAGCATAGCATAGCGTGTGAGGGTTACTTGTGGGTAGAAGTAGAAGTAATATAAAGATGTAGATTACTAGTATATACACGTTCCTGGTTTTCACCTTATACTAGCAGCAGCCACTCCTATAGCCCCTCGAGGCCTAAACATAGACCCCTTAACCGTTGACTTCTCGACGGCGTTGACTAACCGGACTATATAGTTGTGTGTATTGCTAGTACTGTACATGGAACTTAACTGAAACTACGACGCTTATAAAATAAGTATAATCCTCAATTGATTCTTCAAGTAATAAAATACTGATGGGTAAGTGATCGTGTACCCCATATGTCCTGAAACTGAACGCAATCATTGATATAGGATTAGCCCGCGCCGATACTCAAGGTACCTATATAACTGAATGCGACACAACGGACAATCACCGAACACTTGTCCGGTAAGTGGTACAAGTACCTTACTACCCCAATTATAGGCGGCGAGGGGCAGTGTGTGGTCAAGGCTGTGGCATTTAGAATGAAATAAGAGCGTGCGTAGCTGAGGGCAGCATCCCTAATTGCTCCGTCATTGAGCATCATCAGCGAGGGGAGGCAGATGAGATCAGCATGATGGGCGCTAGCTATGTTATCATTGCCAAACATCAAAGGAACCCCTACTCCTCATTTAGAAGCTTTGGTAGGACGGCGCCAGCTATGGTCGGGAAGCTTATGATGTAACTGTGATGAAAAGCCAGCACATGTTTCTGCGCGACTTCCATCATCGAACAAAGCAATGGTCTCTGTAATCATGATGCTAGGTCGTGAATACAAAAGGATGTGTTCATCAAGGCCTTCGCTCAGCTTTACATTCAACTTGAAGCTTCTCGAGTCCAGTTCTCAGAGGAGTTAACAAACAGAACTGAGCAAAGCTGGAACCACATACTAGTAGACGACGATCATCAGGGATAATGGACAAGGCGAAGGATATCGCCCAAAGGGTTCTTCACCCGCACAAGGAGGGAGCCGCCGGGGCGGAGCGGCACCCGCAGACCGGTCAGGCCGCTGCTGCTGCTGGCGGGGAGCGACACCCGCCGCCGCAGCCGGCCCAGGGTCAGGGACAAACCAGTACTACGTCCACGGGAGCGGCTAAGCCAGGAGGAGTCGGCGAGACAGGCCTAGAACGCGACCTCGAGCCCAAGCCCACAAAGGTGCACCTGCCGACTCCCGGCAGCGAAGCCGAGGGAACTGCACCATACATTCCCTCAGGCAAGCTCCGGGGTAAGCGGGCGCTGATCACGGGCGGCGACTCGGGCATCGGGCGGGCCGTGGCCATCATGTTTGCCATGGAGGGCGCGAAGGTGGCCATCGCCTACCTCCCCGCCGAGGAGGCTGATGCGCAGCACACGCGCGCCCAGGTCGAGAAGAATGGTGGCCAGGCGGTGTTGCTGGCGGGGGATCTGAGTGCGAGCAGGAATTGTGTGGATGTGGTTGAGCGCGCGGTGGCGGGGTTGGGGGGCGGGATTGATGTCTTGGTGAATAACGCGGCGTATAGGGAGGAGAGGGGGGATATTGGGGATATTACCGAGTAAGTCGCCAGCTGGAGATCTTGATCATACTCCTTACCAGGACTGACTCGGCGTGATCTACCCTACATGCAGTGAGCAGTGGTACACCACCTTCCGCACCAACATCGACTCGTACTTCCACATCACCAAGGCCGCGCTCCGCCACATGTCGCCGGGCGCGAGCATCATCAACAGCACCTCAGTGGACGCGTACATTGGCGTGCCGACGCGGGTCGACTACGCGGCAAGCAAGGGTGCCGTCGTGGCCTTCACGCGGGCGCTATCGAACCAGCTCGTCAAGCGCGGAATCCGTGTTAATGCCGTCGCTGCCGGCCCGACCTGGACCCCGATGCTGGCTGTCACCACGAGCGGTGGCGGTGCAGGTGGTGAAGAAGGGGGCAAGGGAGGAGGAGGTGCTGGTGTCCATCATCGACTGGGTTATCACACCCCCATGGACCGTCTCGGTCAGCCAGCCGAGGTGGCGACTAGCTATGTGTTTCTTGCGAGTGGAGATGCGGCGTTTATGAGTGGGCAGACGATGCATCCTAATGGAGGTATTGTGGTTAATGGATAGGGGGTTAAGGGGTTCGGCCGGTGGTGATGATGATCATGTCCCCCTGGGCTATGATGCCATCCATCCATCATGTAATATTTGCCCTCTAAGCATTCCGGTGTTGCCCAGGAAAGATTGGCATGGGCAGTGTAAGTCTAGTCTACCAATTCTTATGGTCAGCGAATCACCAAAGAATTGAGATTGAAAATCGACATGAACCCCTTTGCTTTGCAGGTTGACGAACGAGCTGCGAAATCTACTCGTGCTTCTTCGGAGTTTAACTGCCCACTTCTCCCACGCCGGATTTCCTGGTAAATCGTGTCATTATATGAATCACGCTATGCTTGTATATTGAAAGTTGTTGATTAATAGTGTTTCCGAAACGCCTTGAAGCGCTTTGGTAGCGAGCTCAATTCGTGTAAATGCATGTCCGTAAGTAGATATTTTGTCGAATCTCCACCGTGTTCGAAAACTTAGGTATCTTATCTCGTACCATCTGTGTGTTTACGGTGTAAGTTTCAATTCGAGTTGCCGGTAAGTCCGTATTATAACGTATGATAGCCCGATGCCGTGACTTCGGTGCTTAGGTATTTCAGCCGACGCAATCCGGCAGGCGCTCTGAGCTCGTGCTCGTGCCTGCATCAACGTCGTCGAATCGTCATCCTTCAATTCCCAGCCAACAATCCACCACGCACCGCAACGCCGACCGCAAGACATGTAGCGGCTCGATACCTTATCTTTGCGACAGAACACGGAGGATCAGGCAATAACAAACCCTTCCCACAACACCTACCTAATCATCACCGACCCCACCATGAACCGGTCACCCTCGTCTTCAGGCCTCCTCCCGCTTCCCGGCGCGCCCTCCTCCTCCTGGGCCCTCTACCGCGCCCGCCTTTCGACCCTCTTCCACAGCGCTGACACGTCAGTGCTGATTGCCTTTTGGCTGTTTGGTTCGTCCCCGCCTCCCTTCCTAGTCTCCCTCCTTTCTCCTCCTAACCACCGCTAACCTGTTGGAGTTCGAACACAGGCCTGATCAACAACGTACTCTACGTCCTAATCCTCTCCGCGGCACAAGACCTCGTCGGGTCCTCCATCCCCAAAGGCGTCGTCCTGCTCGCCGACGTGGCGCCGTCCTTCGCCACAAAACTCGTCGCGCCCTACTTCATCCACCGCGTGCCCTATGCCGTGCGCATCCCCGTCTTTGCCGCGCTGTCCTCGGCCGGCATGCTCCTTGTCGCGCTGTCTCCCTCCTCGTCCATTGGTGTCAAGATGCTTGGGGTTGTGCTGGCCAGTCTGAGCAGCGGTGGTGGAGAGCTCAGCTTTTTGGGCCTGACGCATTACTACGGGCATATGAGTCTTGCTGCGTGGGGGAGTGGGACGGGGGGTGCGGGACTGGCTGGGGCGGGGTTGTATGTGGTCCTGACGAGTTGGTTGGGGTTGGGGGTTAGGGGGAGTTTGTTGGCGGCGGCGGTGTTGCCGGGGGTGATGCTGGCTGCGTTTTTTGGGGTGCTGCCGAAGGCTGGGTTGGAGAGTAAAAGGGGGAAGGGCGGGTATGAGCGGGTGGGTGGTGCAGAAGGGGAGGATGGCGGCGACGAGGAGGACTTTGAGGACGTGCCGAGGAGCATGGCGTCGAGTAGTCTGCTCGCGCCTGGCCCGTCGGTCGCGGCTACGGCTTATCGCTCGGCGCCTCATCAACATCATACAAAGGAGTCGTCGTCGCTTTGGGCGAACCTCCGCCGCGCGAGAGCGCTGTTCCTGCCGTACATGCTCCCACTGCTGTTGGTTTACGTCGCCGAGTACACCATCAACCAGGGCGTCTCGCCGACGTTGCTGTTTCCGCTCCAGCACTCGCCCTTCTCCGAGTTCCGCGCCTTCTACCCCTTTTACGGCTTCCTGTACCAGCTTGGCGTCTTCATCTCGCGGTCTTCGACACCGTTCGTCCGTATTCACCATTTGTATCTGCCCTCGTTGCTGCAGGTTGCCAACCTGGTCCTCCTGACGCTCCACGCGCTGTTCAACTTTCTACCCTCCGTCTATCTTGTGTTCATTGTCATATTCTGGGAGGGCTTGCTTGGCGGGGCCGTCTATGTCAACACGTTTGCCGAGATCATGGAGAACGTGCCCGTCGATGAGCGCGAGTTTAGCCTGGGCGCCACGTCAGTCAGTGATAGCGGAGGCATCTGTATTGCCAGTTTTTTGGGCATGGCCATGGAGGTGTGGCTATGCCGATGGCAGGTCGAACATGGGAGAGACTATTGCCGTCGTATCGAAGCGAGCTGAAAGAAGGCTGTCACTCGACTGGTTCAGTTTGCTGAGAAAAGTATCGTGAAGAGGTGTGAACACAAAAGCGATATTCACAGCTGTTGAGATGCACGCTCACATGGAATGGGCCGGCCTACTCCGTGTGTTCACCCTAGAAGCGTCCGATAGGGATGACGACGCTACCGGACAGGCCAGTCGAGTTGTCGGGCCAAGTGAATGAGAAAGTGAGGAGCTAAATCATGGTAAGTAAACGTCAGAACCATTCTGCTTCTGCTCTCGGTAATCAAGGGGACTAATTCCTCCGAGTCAATCAATAATAGCAATAGTGGTGCGTTGCAGTCGCTTTTTAGGCTCTATTGACTTACCGGGCGCTAGAGATCTGCTGGAGTCTCCCGCCTCTTTCTGTTCTATCATTTCTCGCCAAATCTAAAAGGAGTGGCCCCATTCAGATACTCCTGTTTCTTTCTCCCAACAGACGACGTCACGGTGTTTTTGGGACATTGCTCTCGCAATGCGGTTCCAACGACGCTCGGTTGAACTGCTCTTGATGGGACTGGGCGAGCTCGCAAAACTCGTTCAAGCCGGCCATCCCTCTCCCCCATCAGGTTTGCTTCGGAGCCCCCGACAGCCAACACCCAACCCATTCGACTGGCTGGACTTGGACGCAAGTGGCATCTCATCGACACCAGGCACTGCACAATGTGCTGTGGTCATGTCATGGGACAGTTTGGCATTCCCTAATGCACGTATCGCCTCGGCTGGAGGTCAGATCGAGTGTCGGCAGCGGCTGGTCTTTCAGGGCCTGCCTACTAGCTCGTACTTTACTATCTATGCTGTGAAAGTCTCGGGGGTGTTGAATCTCGAAGCGGGGGCTTTCGTTGATAACGTCGAGGTTGGGGTTGAGTACTTGCCAGTGAGTCCGCCTCTCTCCCGTCCCCATCTCCACTCCCACCCGCCAACCCCCCCCCTAAAGCTACGCCTTCTTGAGATCCAGCGGCTCACGCACCGACGCATTATTTAAAGCCACCCACCTCGCCTTCGTCAAAGTCCACAACCGACTCGGCAAGCAACACGACCCTCCCCTACGGCAGAAGCGGCCAGGCATACCGGGGCGTCTTCAACCTGACCATGAACCTATGGCCGATTACTACGGGGCCACAGACTCCCCGTGGTAGGTCAAGCTGTGTGGCACGGCCTGAGCTGGCGCTCACACTGCGCGTGTCGGTATCCCGTAAGCAGCGGCGGGGCTTGGATGCTGAAGGTATTGCTGCCTTGAGTCGTCGCCTTGAGATGGCGGCGCCGGCGGTTGAGCAGTTGCAGGTGGGAGTTTATCCTGGTTGGGGAAGGTGTCCGTGATGCTACGTACTGCTAGGGGGCGAAGGTTGCGTTGGTTGGAGACTTGATGGGCTGGGTTCGAAGCGGTCTGGGCGAGCCTGAGGGGCTCGGGAGTGAGGTTGAAGGCTCCCAGCCGGCGCAAAATGGGACAGAGCCTGAAAGTAAACTCGAAGCAAAAAGGCCAAGTCACCGGCATAGTTTTCAAACTAAGCAGCCTGGCGGTCAAACGGAAGTTCTCTCCAGGCCTCACAAAATAATACTTCATGTTAAGACCCTGCAATCAACGGCATTATGTACTAGTAAGTACAGACGCATATTACTAAACAGTTTCGTAGTGCATAAACCTTAACACCACCGACAGAATCGACGCCGGCTAATCGGCTACTTCTCAGATTCCCCAATCACCACCAGTTAACTACACGCCAGCAACTACACACCCGCAAGACCCGTCGCCGCACCGGCAACATCCAAAGCGCCACTCACAAACCCCGCCAACCCCGGATCCGCGACTCCAAGCTGTTCATAATTCCACACCACATAGGCCAGCGCCGCAAAGCTTGCCAGAATCTCCGCGACCAGCACCTGTGGCAGGCCGTTTCCGTCTCCGTACAGCGACAGCCGCACAGCCACACCCTCCTTCTTGAAGTTTGACTCGCCCATGACGCCAACCAACCTGTCGTACGCGTCCAGCAGCACAAGACACCGCGAGGGCTTTTTCATATCATTTACCCGGATTTTCCGCACCGTCCATGTCAGAGGCCCCCAGCTGCTGCTTCTCCAAACCAGGAACCCGGCAGAGGGTGACGGCTTGCCGGGAAGGCCTGATCGGTGGGAGATGTACCGTGAAGTTGGGGTATCCTCTTCGAGCACGAGAGGAGTCTGCCGGCGGGGCGTGTGGAGGATGAAATCCTTGGAGGTCGGGAACACCTGTGCTGTGGCGAGCTCTGGCCCGGTCACGGCATTGGTGATTTCCTTGGTGGCCGTGGATGCGGCAAAGGCGGACACGCGGATGTGAGGGGTGGAGTCGTCGGGGTTCCAAGCGGCTAGGGACATGGACTTGGAAGTTGTCCCGGGTCCAGTCGCTGGGGTCTTTGAGTTTGACTGCTCGCTGCTTGTCACGGTCGACATTGGATCGGCCGGCTTGTACTCGATCGGACTGGCAAAGCCTTTGTGGGTGTGGCTTGGAAAGCCTGGCCAGCTGATCTCATAGCCTGTGTTCTCTGCGGCAGCGTTGATGGCGGCTACCGGGAGAGTGAGGATCGAGCTTTTATGCTTGATCTCTAGGACAAGCGACGGAGAGCTATCTGCGAAACGCTCGGTACAGTTACGTAGCGTGGCAATGTCTACTTTCTGCGGTGGTGGTCCGAAAGGTGAGGGCGCGATCTTGGGCCCGTCGGGGGCTCGCGCCGGATCGACCGGGACCAGGAAGCTGCTGTGAAGCTGAGGGATAGGGTCGGAATCCCAGGGAACGGAGACGAGCCGGATACTACAGCTGGAGCAGTAGTGGACGAGGAAGTAATATGTTGGGGCGAGCATGTAGTCGCATCTACATGAGAGGCAGCCGAGGATGCCCAGGAGGGTATTTGACGCGGCTCTGGGGAGATTCAGTGAAATGAAACTCAGCATCCAAAGGAATATGCTAGGTGATATCTCCCGGGAGCATCAGACGGGGCCGACTTGTCTTTACCGTGCATCAGATATTGTATCCATTACCATAGCTGACTTTCCCACATGCATGCATGCTGGGCACCGCACCGTCAGAGGCTCGGTGTTCAGCTGCGAGAAATGAACTGGCGTTTTTGACATGATGGTGTAAGGTAGGTAACGAGACCGCCAGTAGTTCAAGGTTTAGCTTGTAAGCTCAATGAAGCCTGCATGTAGTCGCAAGTCCCTAGGAAGATCTTCACGGGCCCGGGGCAGCTGTGATCTTTAAGAGTGACAGCGATGAGCGGGGCGATCGTGTTCTCGCCGACGTGCCCGTTGGAGTCCTTTACATATGCCGTATGGACCCTGCTTCATCCCCTTCGCCAAGATGCTCGTCTCGTCCTCCAGCCGCACCTCGATGCAGGATGTGGTTGCAACTGACAACCTAAAAATCAGCCCATGAGGGGAAGTGAACCTTGCCAAGCACAGGCTACATTAGCTTCAATATGAGCCAAGTTCAAGTTGACCTCTCCTACTGGTATTAGCGTTAGAATATCTTCTACTAAGATAATTCAATGCCAATGGCCCCAGGAGTACAGACCGGTCAGACGACGCTCTGGGGCTATTCTCTCTCTTGAGGAATCAACCAGATCGCTCAGGGCTTGGGTGAGAGTGGGAGCCGAGAAAGGCCGGGAATAACGAGCTTCGAACAACCAAGTTAGCCGCCAGTCTGTCTCAGTGGCTTAGCCACATTTATTGACACTTACATCACAGCTAGTATTTTCAGCTGAACACATTGTGCATGGAACATAGGGCCAATAGGGACCACCTGTTGCACGTGGAAGTAGGAGTGGTTGTTGTCGATTCAGTTCATTCTCAAGAAAGGCGTCTACACATGACCAGGGCAGATGGGATAGCCGAACTTGTAAACGAGCCACCTTATATACCATCGAGATTCGAGCCAGTCTCCTTTTCGCATATTCTGCTTACCTTCAATTTCCATTCTTATTCCTCTTCGACCTTTCTTCCCCCCTTACACGGCGTTGAACGTGCCGTGCGGCCCGTGACGCTCAACCTAGTATACAAGCTACTCCTTGCTGAAATATGAAATCCTCTATATCTATAATACGCCCTTCCATCCATGATGCACGTGAGGTCAACATGGAGCCTTTACTTTCCTTCTATGAGAACGTTACACAGTTGTTTCCCCTTCCGGATACCATCGCGCCGTGATAGGCCGAGGCACTAGATAACGCTCGTTGTATTGCTCGCAACTTTGCTGATTATATGTATACTCAAGGCAAGTACATCAAATGATACATAGTACTACTTAAGATATTGAGAGGCAGAAGATGTAAAATGAAGGCACCGGGTAGATAGTAATCAGTCTCATTGGGCTCCCACTAGGCCACCAACTACATGAACTTGTACGCACACATGCAGTTGTTGGCTCTCCATGATGGGCAACGATAAACACCTCAAACTACTTGGAGGTTGATATTGAGCACCTAGAAAACTTGAATATGAAGAGAACCGGGAAAACGCAGAATGAGGTCTATTTATAACCTAAGAGAAACGAAGTGTAACGTGGAAGACATTGAGCAACTTGCAACGAGACAAAATGGATCCTCTAAGAGGCTCAAACTATGGCGCATTGGTGAAGGTTACTATGTAGTAAGGAGAAAACGGATCCGAGAATAAGACTCAAGCCAAAGGCTGCCTTCTCAAAGTTTATTATCGAATCAGCGTATGAATGGATATTGCCCTTACACATTATGCATGTGGCGGCTGGACTTGAGGAACCTGGCGGTTAGTACTTCATTGGTACTTTAGCTTGGCCTGCGTCACTCCAATCTGCCCTCACCAGCTGTGCCAAGGCAAAGTTCCAAGGCAAGATCTTGACCCACCCGGATGCCCAGATGAGGTCACGGTAAGGTAACACTATGGGGTAAAGCAAAAAGCCGTTAGGTGCCTACAATCTCGGTCTGCAGCGGATAGAAATTCCATGACATCCAAACTTCCCCATCCTAACAATCTGTTCTACATATACCGGTACATACCTCCAATACACACCCACCTGCACTCCATATCACCACTATCATTTTATCGCAACATGTTCCCGCGTTCCTGACAGTATTTTTGGATACCTGCAAAAATGATGATCCGCCTGGCGACGGCGGCCGATCTCGAGGCCATGACTTGGGTATTGATCGGGGCGTCACCACTCGACCCGGTCTACCCATACCGCTTCCCGGACCGGCACCTGTACCCCGGCGAGTTTGCAGCGCTGTGCCGGCGGAAATGCGCCGAATACCTCGAGACGAGCACAGTTGTGGTCTGCGAGATGCCAATAGACGACTGCAGTGACAGCGACGAGGACCACAACAACACGGCGGCAGCAGCAGCACCAACGCAGGTCGTTGCATTCTCCGCGTGGGATGTGCCCGCCCTGGGTACCCGCGCCCGGGGCTACTCGCTGGCTTCAGGGGGTGTCGGTACGTACCTGCTGTAGTACCTGAAATGTGACGTCACTTTGAGCCGACAGCCCACTTTCCGATTTGGGCAACTTTTCAGCTTTCCACTTTCCTCGCGATCGGGACAAGACACCGCAAAATAACATGGAAAAGAAAAACAACTAACCCTCCCCCCTCCAAATCTAGAACCCTCCCCCCGCTCAACAAGCACCGCTCCCCTGCCCCCAACAACCATCGGCTCTCTCTCGCGACAACAAGCCTTCCGCTCGGCCTGCGCACAGCACAAAGCCTCGCTCTTTGACGCCCGCTTCGCATCCACAGGCGGCCATATATTTCTCAAGATCCTGCTCTGCCATCCAGCGTACCAGCGGCGCGGAGCGGGGACTGCGCTGGCAAGCTGGGGGATCAGCCAGGCGGCGATGCGCGGCGTGCACACGACTGTCTTTGCCAGCCCCATGGGCCTGCGCCTTTATCGGAAGCTTGGGTTCAGGGAGATTGGACGGTTCAGGGTGCAATTGGAGGGGGAGAGGGAGTATCTTGAGATTCCGGCGCTTTCGAGGGATCCGCAGCAGGGGTCGGGGGGTAGTAGTAGCCGGGGGCTTGTGGTTGGGAGCAGACAGGTGGGGGGTGCGGGTGCGGGTGGTTCAGGTTGGAGGGGGGCGAGGAGGAGGATAGCGGGGGAGTGTGGGAGTGTGAATGCATCGCTTTGCGTGTGAGAACATATACCATATACCGATGGGAGCATGGGGTTGCTTTGGGATTGGAGCTGACTGGATATCTGTGGCAGATGTGGCGTTATGGTGTTGTTGGTCCTTTTTTTTCCAGTCTGAGTATGGCTGGTAAACGGGAGGCGCCGGTGGATACATGTAAGCATCTAGAACGGACAGGTTCTGTATGAGTACCGGAGTGTATATGTTTTGAGCCAAGTAGCTGGAATATAAATGAAAAGTCAAAATCCCTGTTCAGGTTGTCTTTCGTCTTCTTTCGCATGCTAGACCCGAAGTTCCGGGTCGACTGGATGGAGGATCCGTAACTTTGTCAACTATCTTGGATAGTAAGAAAAGATACTTGCTAGACAAGAAGAAAACATACTAGTACTCAACATGGAATATAAGGGAGACAACTCAACTGGGATATACTTCACTCTTTTTTGTACAAATGGTAGGACTAGAGAATCATACTAGGATAGGAGTTGCCAGAAAGACTTACGGGTTCTCGACTTCAAGGCACCTTCAGGCACCGTGACCCGAGGTACGGATACACGGTGCAATAATCGCATGAGACTGTGCCAGATAACTGGATTGTGCCCCACACGGTACGATTATCTCCCGATAGTTGCTCACTTATCCCTAATTCCGAACATTTTCTCCTTCTTTGCCCCAACCCCAAACAACCTTCACCTGCCATTGACCCCATCCAACCGCCGCCATGGCTTCGACACCCTTCATCTGTGGCTCATGCGTCCGCGCGATGCAGGTTAAAGCCCTTCCGACGGCGTCACTTCCGCAACTACGCCGAAGCTTCTCCCGATCCGTCATTGCCTCGCTCCCAGCAGATGACGCCACGCGCCGTTCCCGCTCCGATCAGACCGAAGATGCCGCTCAACAAGCCGTCTCAGATCCTGCCCAATCCTCCGGCCCCAATCACGAACCAGGCGCCATGACGCGCCGGTTACAGCAAGCAACAGAAGACGCCCTGCTGACCGGCGGCACCGCGGGGCGCAGAGCCGTCCAAGAGGCCGGCTTTGACGAGGAGCTCAAGGCTCAGCTTCTGGAGAAGGTGGCACGCGCCAATTTCGACGCAACGCACGCATCAGCGCTCGCCGAAGCCGGGATAGGTACCTCCCGCATACCCGACTCTGCAGGGCTGGGGACGCGGGCAATGGCTTCTGGCCCGGCGTGGACGGGGGAGGAGTCGACGGAGGATGCCGTCTTGCGAATGTTGGATGACGCGAACAAACAATTAGCGCCCGAGTTAAGGGGCAAGGTGAAGATGCCGGATCTGAAGCCGGTGGATCTGCGCTTCCGCCGGGGCCAAGGTGCTGTCAGCCCCCGGTTGAGGGCGGCCGGGGCTCGGGACAAGGCGCACGCGTATGCCGGGATGGGTCTTAAAGACTCTGGGTTGAGCGAGGAGGAGAGGGAGGCGGTGAAGAAGGAGTTTAGCGAACGCTTTACGCCTGGCGCGAGGGCGCTGCCGAATACGGTATCGGGGTTAACGGCGTTGGCGAACCAGCGGATTGAGGATGCGATTGCACGAGGGCAGTTCAAGAATATACCGCGTGGCAAAGGGGTTGAGAGAGATACCAGGGCAGATAACCCGTTTATTGATACCGTACGTCCCCTTTCCCAAGCCATTACCATAAGACCCACCGCCTGACCGTTTCCCCTTTGCAGACCGAGTACATAATGAACAAGATGATCAAACGCCAAGAAATCGTCCCGCCTTGGATAGAAAAGCAGCAAGAACTCGCCCGCGCCGCAAGCACGTTCCGCGCGCGGCTGCGGCAGGAATGGAAACGGCACGCGGCGCGCATGATCGCGGCCCAGGGCGGGACGCTCGAGCAACAGGTCGCGCGCGCCACGGCCTACGCGCGCGCAGAGGAAGTGCACAACCCCCGCCGGCGTAACCCGGAGCAGATCGCGGTCCCGACGAATGCGACGGATGATGTTGTCATGCAGCGGCTGCAGGAGTCTCCTGCTTCTTCCTCACCCTCACCGCTCGCTGACAACAACAACAACACCTCTAATCCAGAACCGGATTCGGACCCGTATGCCAGCCCGGGCCGCCCCTTCCGTGATCCAACATGGGAAGCCTCCGAGCATGCCTACCACACCCTCGCCATCACCAACCTGAACAACCTCACCCGGTCGTACAACCTCATGGCGCCCGAGCTGGCTAAGAAGCCGTATTTTTCACTCGAAAGGGAGCTGAACAATTGCTTTGCGGACGTCGCGCCCGAGGTGGCGGGGGAGATTCGAGTGCGTGCGACTAAGCCCGGTCGGTCGCTGGTTGACTCGCCGTTTGGGGGGACAGTACAAAGGAAGTCAGCGGGCGGGGGGTTGTTTGGGGATGGCTTGCTTGGTGGGGCGACGCAGCTGTATGAGAGGAAGGAGGGGAAGTATGGGCTGAAGGAGTGGTGGAGGGATTTGTGGAGGAAGAGTGCCCCTGGGGAGGAGTCGTGGGAGTCACAGGAGGGGAAGGTAAAGGTCAAGGTTGGTGGGCAGTAACATGACCTACTAAGGGGGTGGTGAGATCCCTCAGACTCAGGGGCTCGAGCGATGCTGAGAGTCAAACGCTTGTCTAAGCAAGCCTGTTCTGGACTTCCATTGCGTGGACCGTTTAGGGACATCCGTTCTGCTCACTCGCACCGACCTGTCGTGGATGTCGAGTTTGGCCTCACCTCATCGATCCGTGGGGAGGGCTTTACGGCCCGGTACTCTCAACCGAGCTCCACGAGGCTCTTGTCAAGACGAGCTCGGAGAAGGTGCAGTTGCGTCAGTTTCTAGCGACCACAGTGGCACTTGTCCACCTCGTGGAAAGAACCGCGGACGCCTATTGGAGGGTGATCAAGACTAATTACCTATTCTATTGACATGAAACAGCACGTGCCAGCAAATTCAAAGTCTTACGACATATAGAATCAGGGAGTTATTCTGTATTCCTAGGCTCCGAAGGTTCAACTGCAGCGCTACCTTAAGGTAGTACCTGATATTCTCCGAAGATGGCCCCCAACCCGCTCCTGCAAAGTAAAGTTGTCAGACCTTAGCTTATGCGCGGGAATAACCTGATTACTGAACACAGGCGTGATATGTGGATATAAAAGCAAGGTAAGCACAAACGTTGCATGCAGGGAGATCTGTCTGTCAGGGTTCCTACTGTCCTTTAGCCAGCCCTCCGAGTTAAAGAAACCGGATCGCAACAACGACCCCATCTCAGTGACAACTGCAACGACAATCAACCCTTCCCATATCACCTCACACACAACACCACGATGTCTGACCTAGTACACGTCGTCTCTAAACGCGACAACACAAACCACGCCGTCTGCCCCATCACCACCACCACTCCCACTCTCAATCCCCCCAATCACTCACCCCGGTTACCACCATCCTCCGTCCGTGCCCGCGCTCACCTCATCTCCCTGACATCCAACAACCTAGGCTATGCCCGCGGCGGCGCCATCCCGGGGCTGCACTGGTGGGACACATACCCCGTGCCACTTGAATCCTGCCCGGCACCGTTCAACGATCCAAATGAATGCTGGGGTATCGTCCCCGCCTGGGGATACGGTATTGTCCTGGAGAGCACGATAGACGCTATCAAGCCTGGCGAGATGCTGTTTGGGTTTTGGCCTGCTTCGGGGCATGCTGTGTGTTTAAGGCTTGAACCTGAACTTGAGAAGGGGGGTGGGGGTGGGGATGGGGGATTGGAGGGGTATGGGTATTGGTTGGAGGGGAGTGAGCAGAGGAGGAGGTTGTTGAGGATATATAACCGCTACCGGCTCATACAGACGCCCGCGGGGGGTGAGGAGCAGGAGGAGGAGGAGCAGGTGCATGAAATGGCGATGAGGACGCTGTTTTTGGGGAGTGCTGGGTTTCTGCTTAACAACTTCGTTTTTGCCCCTACTAGTACCAGTACTCGTCGCCTGCACCCGTTTGGTCAGGGCGGGCCGTGGTCTGAAGAGGATGCGGACCTCACCTCGGCGGTCGTCATCAGTTTGTCAGCGTCCAGCAAGACAGGCCGGTCATTTGCGTGGGAGCTGGCGCGAGATCGGGATGTGGCAGTTCACGGCCCGTTAGCCCTGCTGCAGTTGACTTCGGTGCCGGGCTGTGTTCCGCAGCACCCTAAAGCGTCGTTGCCGATCATGGCGGCGAGGTATGATGAGCTTGAACGTGGCATGGACTGGGTTGCAAGCTTCCGGCCGAGCAGGGTAGTCATTGTTGACTTTGGTGCTGCGGAGAGTGTTTCCGAGTCACTGGCTGCTGCCGCCAACAAGATGGATGTGGCGGTCTCTGTTATAGGGGTTGGTTCGGAAGCGAAGGTGTACTCGGAATCGGAGCTGCTGGGGCGGGTGGAACGGAGCAAAAGGCTGGGAAAGGTCCAACTCAACACAGGTGCCCTCCTGGATCGCGCGCTAGAGGTGGAAGCGCCGGGGAAATTTATGTCGAAGATGGATGATGCGTGGCGAAGGTGCTATGAGGAGGGCGGCTTTGGGGATATCGAGCTGACGTTTTATCGTGGTGTTAAAGGGCCCCGTGGCATTGAAGGGGCTTGGACCGACCTCTGTAGCCAGAGAGTTGGACCGAATGTTGGCATTGTAGTCCAACTGTCTGGTGATGAATAGGGGTACAAGTTGAGGTGCTTCAGGTTGAGCTACCGAGCGGGGGATTCTCTTTGACATGGTGCCTAGCTACCGTAGGTTACACACTACCCAGCAGAGGTAGGGGGGATCTCTGTCCGCATGTTCCATCTCATGACATTATAGTCCGGCACTAGCAAATTGAGCTTTCATGATAACATTATGGTGCCTAGCCGGTGTCATAATGTTTCCTAGCCGGTGTCCTAATGTTTATATAATGGCAATACTTGTTAGTGCCGGACTATAATGTCATGAGACAGAACATGGGGACAGAGACACCCCTTCCTCTACTAGGTAGGTACCTTAGGTAACGATAACATCAAAGTTCGTAGACAAATGGGACAATCTCCTGTTAGTGCCACAGTAATATTTCTAAGTTAACCCTTCGTTTGAAAGTGAGGTAGTCTCTATGTGGAAAAGGGGGCAACTACAAAGTGAAGTTATATTTACTTAGAGAAGATTAAAGTCAAGTACATTCTTAGGGGTTTACGACTGTGTATGATCTAAGGCCGAGGTTCAAGTTGTGTCTATCAGACTGTATTGTTGTCGTTAAACTATAAGAAGCCCAGCATTCGTTTCGAAGTACGGGTATTGTTGACATTAGTAGAGTGTTGACCGCGAAGCCTGACAGACAAATCCTTCACTGCCAGACAATAAAGTTACCAGTAACCCTGCTTGAAGAGCCTGTAGATTGATGCTCACTTTTCATGCCGGCTTGAAATTGCCCGTTCTACTCCTCTCTTATTATCACGTTGAGAGAGTTGACAGTGACGCATGTCCTTAGGGGTTTGCTCTTCTGTCTGGTGCACCTTTTCTATTCTATGAGTCCATTCTATGATACCGTTCCTCCATACTAGTAGTCTAGTAGTACTACAGCATGGGGCTGTGGGCATACATGTAGGCATCCGCAATTATCTAAAGCTTCAGTTCTCTCCCGCCCATAGCTCAACCTCAAATCCATATTCCTCCCAGGCACCGTCCCCCCAAAATCCCCCTAACCCCGTCCTAATCCAGTCCAACTCCCCCAACATTGAAGGTAGACCTCAAACCTCAAAAGGCGGCCTAACAACCCGCCAATCATCCGGATCCTCCTCATCCGGATCCCCCTCCTCATCCCCCGTCCTATTCTCCCTCTGCTCCTCACAATACCTCCTCCACCACCTCTCAAACGCCGGCCGATTATACAACTCCCTCGGCGCACCCATGCCCTCCCCAAACCGATCCAAAATATAATCACAATACATCCACACCCCCTCCGGATGATGCACAAGCAGCGGCTTGCGGTCCTTGCGCGCCAACCACAACAGTGCCGATGCGTCCTGCCTGCCATTCCATCGGTGCAAACCCGGATTCGGGGTCGATGTTGAGGTAGGTTGCGATCTGGTTGTCTAGGTCGGAGGGACGGTTGATGGGTTTGGTGCCGAGCTTGTGCATGACCAGGGGGATCCCGATCAGGGAGGGGATTGGCGGCGTGGAGGAGGGGGAGGTGAAGATGGGGTGGGAGGAGGGGATGGTGGTGGGGTAGACATCCCGCCGCGCTTCTTGTCGCCGTCGCAGTTGACGATTACGGCTTGGATGGGGACTGATTCTGATGGGGTGCTGGGGGTTACCGTGGTGTCGGGTCGCAATGGGTTTTCACAAAGCGTGCTGTCTGAATGAAAAGCTCCGAGTCCGTTCAATCCAGATCAAGATGCCTAAGTGTCGGTTAGCAAATACCGCGCTGTCAAACTAACAGTTACGGACGGGGGCATACCGGTAGGTGTTTGATCTCCCCAAAGGTCTTCATCTGTATTTGTGGGAGACGTTTGTCGTGGAGACCTGAACGCGTCGGTGTGAGTTTTCCACGCTACCGTTGGTAGGGAAACCAGAATCAGGGGTAGGGTTGTTTACTTATGGGGTTAGGGTGTAGAGACACTTCCCCCTCCCTTATCTGGGATACTGTATTAAAGGCAAAGCAACGCAACACAACCGTTGAGGTGGCTCAAATCGCTCGATTACAACTACCTACCTTAGTGTCCAGTAGACTGCTCTATTCCCAGTCAGCTGTTGTGCCTCCTAAGTCAGGCATCTCACCGCACCAGACCCCAGTACTACTAAACACGACCTCGCGTGCTGAGTGCTCGCTGCGTACGTTCAATAGATATTCACGCCCATGACGAGGCTTTCTCATTATTGTGATCTAAGCCCCTCTTTCCTCGTTTTTTCGCTCATTATGTGTACAGTAGTTGTGTGTAAATTTCACTCAGACTGGAATTACCCCTGACTATTGGGGTTCCCCCGGTAACCAAACCCGTCCCACAACTTAGGCATCGAGCGTCGACCTGTGCGGACTAACCTCGTACGTCGTCGTAACCGTAATGCCATCATGATGTCCGCTTCGTTCGCTCGTCGTACTCCCAGCTCGGATGCTGCTGTGAAACCCGCCGTTATTCGGATGGAACCCGTTGCCATAGTCGGTGCTGTTCTTGTTGCCACTGCCCACAATATGCTCTTCGCTGCTTGGAGGGTCGGCGAGTTCCGTTTCGAGGTACCGGTTCTTGGACGGCGGGTTCCGCGGGGCACCCGAGCCACCAATTGTGGCCAACGCATGTCCGTCCTTGCCGCTCGAGTTCGCATTGTAGCGATCGCCGCTGCCCTTGCTTGAGGTGAGCCAGCGTGTGGCTGAGAAGAGGGGCTTGATGCTGGCCGCGTTGACTGCGATGATGCCGACGAACTGTATGAGAGGAATCAGGGGGGTCAGCGAGGAATGTAGCGTGAATTGTTCCATAGCGGCCGAACCAGAGCGTTGGCGGTGTGAGTGACGACACAAGGAGACTGCAGTCTTTACCGTTTCTCGAATAGCCCAAATGGTGCTAATATTGATGCCTTCAATGTCTCTGAGCGACAGGACACAACGGAGCACGGCGGCGATCATGATAAAGACGCCCGAGCAGAGAAGGATGCCGATGAACATCTTTTTCCGAATATCGAGCTTGACCTTCCAGAGCAGCGGCACTGGGATGCTGACAATGACAAGATCGGTGCTTTTGTGCCGGTCAACGACATTTCCCCAAGAGACTTGCTTGAACTAGGAGGGGGCAGGACAAACTTACGAGACGTTCAGCACCACGAGGGACAGGTAGTTTGCCACACCAAGGGTGCACTGGTCTGTGTGAAGTTAGGACCATGAACGGAGCCTTGAACTGCTCACTTTCACAAGTAACTCACCACCTGGATATGGCACGACTTGCCAATTCTTCTGAACGGGCGTACAATGCCCCCAAATCGTGGCGATGACGCCCGCGTAGGCAAGCACACATGCGCCTCCGGTCCATTTGACCACTGTTTGCTGCTTCAGGCCGAGTCTGGTTTGCATTGATGTCAGCTATGTCGCTTCATTGGCTTAGAGATACTAGGGGTTCCGGGCCGTACGTGATGCGGTTGTAGAAGCAGAGCATGCAGCCCTTGAGACACCAAATCAGGGTCACATAGAAATTCCAGCCGGCCAGCAGACACTTTGACCCAAACTCGAGCTTGGCGATTTCTTCTTGGGTTAATGTGGCCCCGATGTCGTCTGTGATGCCGATGTTGGTTCCGTTTTGGCCTGCGGCGAGGTGAGCAACGACGGTTGACTACATGAAGCTCCGGGAACATGACATGATGACATGCATGTCGGCTCTGGGAAGAGGGCGCTTACCAATTAGCTCCAGCATACACAGCTCCGCCTGCAAGCAACCCGGATGGTGTTAGCTAGACTCCACGATGTTAGTGTACCAGATGTAGGATGACCCACGGTCCAGAATACCAGAGCCAAAACGGCAAACCAGTCGTCGCCCTGCCATCCCCTGAACCCCACAACTTTCCACCGCGCATAGTAGCGCAGTAACAAGATGAGCACACCGATGCCGTACTCGGTCCACGCTTCGGTCTGGAAAGGCGTCGCCGCCATCTCCTCTCGGGACGAGATACGGGAGGGAGGTAAACACTAAGGGTCTGGCGTTCAAGTGGTAAACCACTGCACGGGGACAATCGAAGACGGCGAGATTGGTCGAGGGAGGCGTCGCAACGCTGTCGTCAAACAGGTGAGCACCTACATGTAGGTAGGTAATGCATGTAGTATAAACGTGAGCTGTTGAAACAACTTAGATGATCAAAGAGAATTCCAATTCTTCTTATGTATTGTACATAAAGAACAAGGGAAGTTATGGTAAGGTCGCAAGCAAGTTTTGCCCCTTGGAATCTTTTTCCATGAAGCGTTCCAATCCCGATTCCTGAGATGCCTGCACCTCTGCCAGCATCAGAAACCTGAACAGACCAGGGTCTCTGGCCAGGGATTCAGGGAAGTGTCGAGGGTGTTCAGTCAGCTAAGCTATTAAACGTAGGGATCAACTACCTAGGTCGAGGATTCACAGTCTGTCGGTCTGCTAACAGTTGTTGGTACCTGTGCTCGGTCCTTCTCCTTGTCTTCGATGTTCATGGCTAGAACGTGCAAAATTTGACTTCGGAGTGCCCGCCCTGTCGGTATACACTAGGTCCGGGTAGCGGTCTGGTTCTAACTTCTTGTCGCCATGGACCAGGTCGCTCGGGTCAAATTGCCGTGGAGTAGGGATTCAGATCCCCCTTGCCTTTTGCTGGGAAATCGCTTTTCCCCAGGAATTACTAAGATATTAGTCGAAAGTGGCTTTACCATTGGGTAACTCGGATTCCAATCGATCGTGTAAGTGGCTGAGGTTAGTGCCTGAGAGCGTGCTTGGCTAGCTGCCAGTGGCTGGACACTAACACCAACTAACGTTACGTTATTGTTTGTGTTACTGTTCACAAGTCCAGTAGCAAGATCACCTTCAACAATCCCCGTATTAGGCAGGTAGATGCGTTTCAGTAGAGTGCCAGGCAAGCAACAGCGTACTACACTACGTTATGTAGCTAGGTAAGCTCGGTAGGATACGGCATACGGTACTGTATCGGACCATCGACGATAATAATAGGAATGTTATTGTTAGGGGTAGCTAGGACAACACTAAAAATGCTTGGCTAAGGAGTTGGGACCTTGCATGTGCGGTCTGGCAAACGACCCATCGAGAACGAGATGGAACGAGGGGACTGTTTCCCCATCGAAGGAATATAAATCCTAGTCAGTGACGGGCCCTGGATAGCCTACTAGTACCACGTACCTCGTTCTTTTCTCTGAATCGGATAAGCCATACGACGGACTGGGTAACTAATTACATGTATGTATGTACAGTACATCATATCTTAGTAGTTAGTAGTGTACTGTATGTACAATACATAGGTAGTATTCACTATTGATTCGGTCCTCTCTTCAATCTGCTTCTGGAGCAGTTCCCCCGAAGATCCTCGGAAAGCCCCCGGGTATGGCTTCCACTAGTCAATAACAAAAAGAAACAAGCAGGAGGAATAGCCGGCCAACGGTTACGCTAGAAGAGCCGTGCGCGACAGTGCCGGCAGGGTGGCTTACCCCTTACCCCGTACCCCGGCCTCCAGGAAACCGGGGAATGGATGCCGATCTGCACAAGAAGGCTCTCGACCGACATGGTTAAGGACTAAGGCAACTCCATTTCATTCGTCGATACCCAAATGCTTTGCAGCTGCGGTGTAAGAACTCTGCTCGGGACTGGTTCCGGAATTAGCCAACGTAGCATCATGTCACGCTACACTACCACACTGCCGGTGGCTCTTTGCATTTGCTTACTGTGCTGTTGGACAACATGAATTGATACGGACAACTCTACCTGGCTCGGTGGTTCGAGAGAGGAGGGATCGTCGGTTGAGGGGGGAGGAGAATCGAACGGTGCTTTGACCATTGCATGGCCAGGCCAGGCCATGATGGCCCTGTTAACTAAGGTAATGAATACATACATATTTATATAACAAACCTCGTGTAAACTACGCCGGCCCCGGGATCTGGTTGCGGCGTCAGCCTCTGTCTGCATTTGCTTCTTTCGGAGGATTTGTGTCGAGAGACAAACGCCATGGCTTCCACGCGACAGAACCCAGATACGATCTACGACTTTATCATCTGCGGGTAAGTGAGGGAAGAACCGAGAACATCAAGAGCCGGCCGCTTGTCGTGCTGACCAAGCAATCTCTCTCAGCGGCGGTACCTCAGGCTGTGTGGTTGCTGGCCGGCTCGCAGAGGATCCCAACGTCAAGATCCTCGTCATCGAGGCCGGTCCGGACAGCGAAGGCCTTGAGAATGTACACATGGTTGGCGGGTAAGTGAACCGTGAGCTGCAAGCTTACCTATGGTTTGGGCAATTTACTGACTCCTCCCTTTTGCATGTAGTTGGTCCCAGAACTTCGACAAGGAGACGGACTGGAATATCATCTCGGAAAAGGGGAATGCCATCAACGACCGCCAGGTGAAGCTGAGCCGGGGCAAATTCCTCGGCGGCAGCTCTGGATGCAACGGGACGCTGTGCATCCGCGGCGCCAAGCAGGACTATGATGATTGGGGCCTCGAGGGCTGGAGTGGCGAAGAGTTCTTCAAGTACATGCGCAAGGTACACACCAGACATCCAGGTTACTTCATCTTCACATCATCGTCATCATCATCACCAACATCGTCGTCAACTTAGCCGTCAGAGCCTTTACTGACGTCTAGAACCTAGGCCGAATCGTTCCACAACAAGCCATGGTTCAACGCGTCGGCCGAATCCCACGGCTACGATGGCCCGCTGCATACCGAGCCCCACGATCTAGCCCCCATCTCAAACCTGCTCCTGGAGTCGATGCAGTCCATGGGATTACCCCTGGACGACGACATGTTCTCGCACGGCAACAACCCGCACGGGTGCGGACACGTGCCGCGGACTGTCCATCAGGGGCTTCGCACCACGGCTGCTGACTACATCACCAAGGGGAACCGCAGGGACAACATCCACATTATGGTTGAGACGCACGTGGACAGGGTGATGATTGAGAAAGACGCCAACGGGGAGCTCAGGGCTACAGGAGTCAGGGCAGTCAAGGCAGACGGCAGCGTCGTTGAGGTGACGGCCCGGAAGGAGGTTATTGTTAGTGGTGGCGCCTACTGCAGCCCCAACATCCTCAACCGCTCCGGGATTGGTGCCAAGCAGGAGCTGGAGAAGCACGGCATTGCGACTCTGGTCGACCTGCCCGGCGTGGGGAAGAATCTGATGGACCACTTGGTACGCTCACTCCCTCCCTCCCTCCCTCCTCCCGCACATCCACCTCATCTCCCTAACCCCATCCCATCGTGACCACAGATCGTCTTCATCTTCTACGAAACCTCCCACCCCAACCTCACCAACGACCACCTAGTCTACCACGGCGACTCCTTCACCCGGACCTACTCCCTCTGGCAGACCCAACGCACCGGCTTCCTGTCCTCCTTCCCCTTCGGCGCCTTTGCCTACGCCCGCCTTGACACCCGCCTAGCCGACTCCCCCCTGTGGACCTCCGCCCCGCGCCTTCCCGGGCGAGACCCCATGGGCCTTGACCCAGCCAAACAACCCAACATCGAGTTCTTCACGACGGAATGCTACGGCGGACCAAAACAATTCGACCGCTTCCCCAAAGACGGCCAGCACGTGTTCAGCATTATCGCCGAGCTCTTTGCCCCGCGGTCCAGGGGGAGTGTAACCCTGCGGAGCACAGATCCGTTGGCAAATCCCGTGGTGGATTGTAGCTACCTCGCTGATCCGCTGGATGTGGAGGTGCTTGCCGAGGCGTGCCGGTTTGGGAATGAGATTGTTATGCAGGGGAAAGGTACGAAGGGGATTGTTAAGGGGTCGTGGCCGCCGGAGTGTAGGCATCATGAGTTTGAAAGCAGGGAGGAGTGGGTGGGGTTTGTGAAGGAGAATGCTACGACTTGTGAGTTCCCTCTTCCCCTTTTTTGTTTCTGAAGGATTGTGGGCTGACGAGAGTAAAATTTGAAGGCTACCACGCCGGCGGTACCTGTGCCATGGGCAAGGCATCCGACCCTAACGCTGTCGTTGACGAGAAGCTGTGCGTCAGGGGTGTCAAGGGGCTCAGGGTCGCGGATTGCAGCATTATGCCCACGTTGCACGGCGGTCACACCCAGATGCCGGCATACGGGATTGGTGAGAAGGCTGCGGACTTGATCAAGGAGACGTGGGGTTTGAAATCTGCTTAGGCTGGGTCAACCACAGATGACTGGATGTGCTCGGCAGACAGGCTTGGATTGTGCCTTGGTCTCGGTGCTCACGCTACTCAGGGGTTAGACACCCGGCAGCCAGACTTGACCTGTTCCATACCCTACCTAGATACTTCGTAGTCAACTTGAGATCGCACATCTTGCTTTTGTGTCTATAACGTGTTCCTAGTCATGTAATGACGCGCCCCTACTGGGTACGGTACTCACTACTCGTACCTTGCGCAGACGTCCCGTAAGCGCTTCGGTACACCACGTCAAAGTCTCCGGCACAATCGTGTCCCATCCTCAATCACCTCCCAACCCTCCGTCCCGGGGGTCGACACAGCATAAAAGACGCCAAGCGGATCCCACTTGTACCGGAGGGCTCTCAGTTTCGGGTATTCAGAGCCCCAGAAGTGGCTCTGCCAGTTGGGCTGGTACGGATCGGCCTGGGAAGTAAACAAAGCAACATCAGCAATCCATTCCCCAGTCATCGATCCGAGGATACCACCTACCTCATTGACATAAGTACACCCACTAGTACTCGCCCCCCTGAGCGCCTCATCCATAGTATTCGTCAGCACATTCTGCAGATCCGCCTTTTGCGCGAGCGACGCGCCAGGCGTGACGGGCAGAATAGCAATAATAAAGTCAGTCGCATTCCGCCAGGCCGGGTGCGTAGCACTATTGCTCTTTGGCGCGCCATAGCCCGGGTTGAACAAGTGTCCGACCATGAACCCAAACAGATCCGGCCGGGGCGACAGGACCGTCTTAAAGGCCTCAATGATGCCGTCATTGTTCGTTGCCACGTCGTGGTGGTTGAACATCCATCCGCCGGTAAGAGCCGATGACCCGGCCGCCTCGGCCTCGAACAGGTCAACATAGAGATCATAAAAAGTCGGAAACTCCTTGAGCGTAAAATCATACGGCACGCCCAACGCAGCCAGCTCGTCAAGGAACGGCTTCACAACGGCAGCCAGCTCAGCGGATGTCTTCCCGATCGCCACAAACGGCCTCACGCGAAGAGTCAAAGGGAGCAGCTCGAAGTAGACGTAGAGCCCGTTGTCGACAAAGTGGTTGGACCACTTGTGAAACGCAGCGGTGCCGTTCCACCACACGTCCGAGTCGGTGGTGTGGGTGGTGTTGATGTACAGCTCTGCGCCGGCCGACGGGATGTCCGGGAAGGTCTTCATCGTGACCGACAGGATCACGGCAAACGACGCCGGGCCGCCGCCCTTCAAGGCCCAGAACAGATCAGCGTTTTGCTGGGCATTGGCAGTCACGTAGTGCCCTGATGCGGTGATTGCTTCGAAGGCAAGAACGTTGTCCGCCGCTGTGGAGTCATGTCTGTATGTCAGCATTCCATCCCTGATTTAACTTGTTAACATAGATTTCCCGAGAAAGACTGCACTAACAAAACCCCTTAAGCGTCGTCCACGGCCCATGGCCGCCTCCTTGAATAAATCCTCCAGCAATGCCAACAGTAGGGCATTCACCAGTGACAACAACAAGCGGCGGATTCCGGGCGTGACCAGCAGCAAGTATGGTCTTGCCCTGGACGCCGGCACCGATAGTGACTGCTCCGCCCGTGTACGATCCCGGCCCACGGTAGGAATCAATCCAGGTGATGTCCTGAAAGCTGTGCGTGTTGATGACGAGCGCTCCATAGCCCGTGCTGCGGCCGATGAAGTCGTGGCCCGTGTTGCGCACAATGAGCCGGACGTTGTTCCGCCGGGCAAAGTCGATACCGGCCTTGACGTGCGCCGGCTTGGTAGCCATGATGACATAGACCCCGTAGTAGCCCAGCGTGCAGCTGTCAGCCGGGTTCTCCGTCGGCCGGCATGTGTCGTTTGTGAAGTAGGTCCAGAGATTGGCCGCCGGCTGCGCAACGCTGCATTCGTAAGAGTCAGCACCCGTCACTTGAGATAGCATAGGTACCCTAGATACTCACGTCCAGTCCTCGCTAGCCCAGTTTGCCGTCGCCTCCGCACACGCCGCCGCGTCATATGTTTGCACGGTCCCAAGCGGCCCCTGGAACGTATTGTGACAGACGGCCCCCGGAGGTATATGTACGAGCAACCGGCCGTCAACCGTGTTGTTCAACGAGTTCCACTTGGCGGCCGAGGGCCAGCAACTGCGTCCCGGCGCACACTTGCAGCCAAAGTTGATGCCATTGAGCGTGGCCGTCTCAGAAGCTGCTGCATCTGACCAGTCCAGTCGGGGCAATATGGTGTTGCTGCTTGATGCCGGGTCTGGCTCGCTTCTCACAATGATTCCTCCCAGAGCTCCTGGTAGGAAACTCGCCGCAAGGACGGCCAAGCGTAGAAGTGAGGCGGTCATGATGGCCAGATGGTGGAAGAGAGCCCTAAACACTGACCAACTGGACTGACAACCAGGTCCGGAAGACTGGTGACAGGACTAATAAGTAGGAACCAACAGCGTTGATGGCCAGCGCGACCAACGAGCATATATATTCCCCTCCCATTGAGCTTCTCTGGTAACGCCTCGGCCATCATCTCCCATATTGGGCATTCTAGCGAAGCTAATGCAGCTGACGAGAGATTGCGGATCACGGCAAGCGAGGTGAGGCCCGGAAGAGTTGGTAGGGTTGCAACCCGCCAAGCCGGTAACCAACAACAGCCCGGCTCGCCGCATGAGGTCGGGAGGCTCCAGGGCTCCCGGTACGCTATTGATTGCCAAGAGGCAAAATCTAGGCCGTCTGTGGAAGAGGCGACTTTAGCCAACCAATTTCCTTCTAGAAAGAGAGTGGAAGCGGCCTCTGGTTGATACACCATGCTACCATAACATGCGGTGGCCAAGAAATCTAGGACTAACCCGCATATAATCGAAATGACCAACACCTACCTAGCTTTGTGATCAGACGATAACAGCGAGGCAGGGTTCTCGGGCCACTAAGTCTTCTTCCAGCCAGCTTCCTTGCTGTAACATTAATGACCTAGTGATCACGATGATGTGGCGATTTATATACCCAGGGCGGATGAAGGTTCTCTCACAACCAGGCATCGTATAGAGGAATCTGACGCCGTTGTGATCAGCCTTGATGCAGAGGTGTACCCTTTTAGCGTTAGTGTAGACCTTTTGCAAACGGCTTTTGGCAGCCGAATTGACCACTACCTAGAAATTGCTACTTGGGGCCTAGTCTTTCCGACAACCTCAAAGACGCCCGTTTTAAGAGTGCGTACCAAATCGGCGCGACCTAGGATATGCTTCCAGAGGAAAGGGGTGAGACAAATGACTGGAGCTGCTGAAGTTCTGTCCACGTTGCTGGAGGCTGCTTGGTCCAGATCTCTCCATCTCTCAAACTTCGTGCGATGCTGTGCAGCTGGGAGGATCTTGCCATCGGCCAGATGAAAGCCCACCGCCTCAACTTCTGACATAAACAGCTCTGTCTTGTCAGGTGACAAGGGAATAGGTCCGAATGCGACTCGCGGGAAGTCCACGAACATTGCCTGTGTTTGAGTCTCCAACTGTGCAAAGGTGTCAGGCGGAGATCTGTTCTCTCCACAGCTTGGCAGGTACCTTGCACGGTAACATTATAGGTAGCCTGCAATGCTGCAAGTGGTTGCAAGAGTCTCATGGAGGAAAGCCAAATGGGTCCAGGAATCGTGTCCACTCATTACATGGTCGTCCACGTAAAGGATAAGGCAGTTCCCAGTGTCCTTGTTGAAGCCCAGCATGGACGGAAGGGGAGGTAGCAGCTCACCCGCTGCGATCCGGCGTTGAGTCTCCGCATCAAGTCACTGGAGTCCGAGCTGATAGTCTCCTTTCGGTACCTAATAGTAGTCCCTAGTACTGTGACAGTGCTCGTCACCCTCGGAACATGTCAGGTCCGGGAGGTGGGAGGCACCGTCCAGCCAAGGACCGACGGGGAGCAGCGGGATCTCAAACGCTGGCGCTGGATAATACGGCTCACCGGTAGCCTCGGGTTCCACTGCTCCGCCCAAGGCTTCCGTCCAGGCTCCGGATCAACCCTCCACAAGGGATGGCTGAAAGGAATGCTTGAAATGAAGGACGGTATGGCGTCCTAGGTCTTCGGATGCCAATGGTACATCGCCGAGTTAGTGGCCCAGCTGTCGACCGTCACTGTGCAGCGAGTGAAGTCGAACAGTTCGACAGGATTGAATTCTTCGCCTTTCGTTCCGAATCAATTCTCCGCAAGGGATGGCTGAGGAATGCACGAGATGGTGAACGGTATGGTGTCCCAGGTCCTCGGATACCGGCCTCTGATTTGGCCTCGCCGGGGTCGTGCTTGGCTGTCTACCAGATTCCTATCCCATGCCCAAGAAGAAAGGGGTGCGAGGGAAGAATCGAACTGAGGGCCTCTCAGGTATGTCGTGGTCGCCTGCTCCTCCCGCTCCGTTATACTACACTACCCATTGGGGGTGAAAGTAGGAAGGGAGACTTGACTTATGATCCACAGACGCATCATCATGTGGGAGAAGGTCGAACTATTTCCTCAAAGAGCCTGATGTTGGGGAACATTCCTTGCAGGGTGTCCCACTCTGAGTGGATAAGGGTCGTTAATCTTTGGCATATACGGTCGATACCTGGTATGTGCGCACATCGCAAGCAAGGGAAGCATCAGCGGCAACAGCCACGATGTCATCTGCATAATGGGGCTGACCCCTCCTCGCTTGTGGTGAACACACATCTCAAGCTTGAAGACGGCCAAGACGCCTGGTAGCGATGCCGCTAACGTGTGAAGACAACCTCTCCTGCCAGCTTGTTCCAAAGCCTCAAAAGACTTCCATCTTCCACGTTCCATCAGCGTTCCAACTGCCAGCTTGGCAGCATATCCCCTCATGCCCGGGAGAGATGCCATATCTCTTTAGCCGTTGGCTGTGTATAATAGTGGGCACGGAGGCCAGTATAACACTGATTTCTGACGGTACTAGTATTCCACATCCGGTACAGCTGTTGAGATACCATTGGGCGTGCCGTCAGACTCGCGGGCCAACATCCGACTGCGCAGTAAGGCAGGAGACATGGCGAGTGTTGTGTCGAGTTTGAGGCTCATCATGCAAGGGACCGGGGCGTGACTGATTCATGGTTTTCCTTCTCTCAATCCCTGAGACCATTTCTCGGCGCGACTTCTGCGACGCAACTGAGCGAGATGTGCGCCCTGAGATATTCGAGTCATGGTTGGCATGCCATGCTTGTCGCACCCTTCAGGGTTTCTGCGCCTCAGCTTGCCGTCGTTGTTGGTCAACACTATTAGCGTGCCATTTCAGGGCACGCTCAACATCCTTGTCATGCTGATCCGCCGGCAGATAAACCCACTTCTGTAGCTCCGAGATCCAGCTCCTGTTCGGCAGGAAGGCTTCCAGCATGTAGTAATTGTCGCGGTGGAAAGGGATGTCCACGGTGGGCGGCCCATTGCGCTCCAGGAAGACGTCTGTGCCAGCCCGCATGTCTTCATCCGTCATGAGAAAACGACGGCGCCTGTTCCCTTTGTTCTGCCCGTGACGGCGGATGGACCGCGTGATGGAATCAAGATGCGCCTCAAGGATCCTGGCATACCAGAGGGGACTGGTCAATGACCTCGTCACGATGCTTGCATTCCTGGCGAGGAGCTCCTGGTTCCAGGCTGGAAAGCTGCCTCGAGGGACCATGGGGATTGGCTCGCCCTGGTCGAGGTTGTCCTGCCAATGGGCAAAATCAACGACGATGCAGAGCGAGTTCCATCGATGCAGACACGTGAGACACGTGCAAATGAGTGAAGAATCAGGGGCCTGAATGTGTTGGAAAGGTGACCGAGAGGATGTAATCAGCCTTAGGCGTTCGTAGTACTCAAGCACAGCGCGGACCGTGGAATCCAGATCGTTGGCCAGAACCGGACGCAAAAAGCATCGCTTGATGGTGGAGTAGCGTAGGTTGATGATGCTCTTGCAAATGGTGGCCTCCTCCGAGAGAATGAAGCTGCGCAGCGAGCTGGTTACTCGGCAAAGAACGAAAATCTCGCTGGGACGAAGGAGTGTCAAGATGGCCATGAGAATTTCGTATGGTAAATCCAAGAGTCTTCGAGGTTCAGCGGCCGGAATTTTGGCTTTCCGGCCGAGCTTCCGGCGCCGCCGTTCCGTTCGTTTGGAATGGGGTTCGAGCGGTTCCGTCAAGTCAATCTTTGGCAGAAGGTCGCCATCTTCATCATCTACGAAGACCAGTGCTCGTTGCTTCTTTCCATTTAGCATCCTGGCGGTACCGGGTAGAGGACTGCGGCAGGTTGCAACTGCCCGCCATGGATGATGGAAGTTATGTGGAGACCAGAACGCGTTGATGATGGAGGTTCGACAATCGATAAACCGCAGTCGACACTTGTCATCAGCTGGTGACCAGGCGGAATCGGCAGGTGCAAATGCCCCTCCTCCATTTTGAACTAGCACAGGGCCTACGTCGGAACATCACGAACGTCGTGCCTGCCATCCAATTGCGCTGAAGCTGTCGATGTCACACCACGCACAGACATACCACGACAAATATGTTATCGTTTACAACTATAAGGATGTCGGTAAGTGAATGCGTCTGAACCACGTTTGCGAGCGGCGGCCTTACAGTCCTTACTCGATGCACTGGATCCAGACATAGACGTCGCGAGCAAGGAAATCACGGTCCTCACGCAGGATCTCGAATCTGTTGGTCTTCAGACCGAGATCAGGCCCGGTCGTGACCAGACTCTGCTGGTTTTCGTCAAAGCCCCACGTAGCATTCTGGGACGCTACGTCTATGACTCGCGGTACCTTACGCCCTCCCTCCACTCACCCTTCACTGCGGCTGCTTTGCTGATGCCAGTACCGCCCAGGCTGAAGGACTGGCTGTACGGCGTCATCCAGACGCACCCCGGCGGGGCCAAGGATGCTGTCGTCGACGGAGCATTCGAAGCCGAGGATATCCTCTCAGTCTACCACCTGGTCAATTGGCCCAAGTCGAGCGGCGGCGCAGGCATCACTCCCGGATGGGGCCAGTGGGAAAACGTTGACAGCATCTTCCCGCTGCACAACGAGCCAGCCAACCTGGCTCTGTTGAGAAAACTGAGCGGCCGCTTCTTCCTGACCTATGATGACCTGGACGACATCCGGAACCTCTTCGGAACCAAGGTGATACTCATTGCGTTGTTCGGCACGGTTGCTGGCCCACCTGGGCTCAATCACTGACATGACCAGGTCGCCTTTTACTTCGCATTCATCCAGACCTATCTCGTCTTCCTCACGTTCCCCGCCGTTACGGGGCTCCTCGCATGGAAGTTCCTGCCTCCTTACTCGCCCACGTACGCCATCCTCACCACTGTCTGGTGTACCATCTTCTTGGAGTATTGGAAGATTCAGCAGGTCGACCTCAGCATCCGATGGGACGTCAAGGGCGTTGGCGTCGTCAAAGTCACCCGGCCCCAATTCCGGTGGGAGAAGGTCGTTGTGGACAGCACCGGCAGGAAGAAGCATTACTTTCCAAAATGGAAGCTTGTCTTGCGCCAGCTGCTGCAGATTCCCTTCATGGCCGTCGCCACCCTCGCCCTTGGTGTCATCATACTTGCTGTGTTTGCTCTCGAGACATTGATTTCGGATGGCTACAACGGCCCGTACAAGGACATGATGGTGAGTGTGCAGCCAAGCCCGCTTGCTTGCCGGTACTGACATCCAACAGGAGTACGTGCCTACCATCTTGCTCGGCATCGCCCTGCCCCAGCTCAACAATCGCCTCGAGGCCATCGCCACCTTCCTCACCGACTTTGAGAACCACCGTACGGCAGACAACTACGACATGTCTCGCACACAAAAGCTCTTCTTCCTCCAGATCATCACAAACTACCTGCCCATTTTCATCACCGCGTTCCTCTACGTTCCCTTTGGCGAGCAAATCGTCCCCCGACTCGCGTCCTTGGCCAGGAATCTCGGCGGCTCCCGTGTGTCGAGGTATCTTGGGCAGGCAACTACGCAGCAGATCGATAGCGACAGGCTACGCACCGAAATTATCACTCTCGCCTTGACTGGCCAGCTCTCGTCGTTTTTTGAGGAGAACTTGCTGCCCGTTCTCAAGCGCAGGCTCTTGGAGTGGTATCGGGCTAGCAGGACCGGGCACTCGGCATTCTCTTCGATCACCAACGACAACCCGACCGAGATGGGGATCCTCGAAAGCGCCCGACGACAAGCGAAGCTCGAACCGTACAATGTGCAAGACGACATAGCCGAGATCGTCCTCCAGTTCGGGTTCCTGGCTCTCTTTTCGCCCGTTTGGCCGCTCATCTCCATCGGCTTTGTTGTCAACAATGTCATTGAGCTGCGTACCGACTTCATCAAGATGACTCGCCAACACCAGCGCCCAGCCCCTGTTCGAACGGATGGCATTGGTCCCTGGATTGTCTCGCTCGACATCATTGCATGGGCCGGGAGCATCTCGACGGGTGCCATCGTCCATCTCTACAGCCCCAACCCCATCGCCGGCGGGGCGTGGTGGGCTCTCCCCATCACCATCCTCATCAGCGAGCACATCTTCCTGATGCTCCGCGCCTTGACACATTTTATCCTCGACCGCATCGGCTCAGAACACATCCGCAAGCAGAGGAACCAGCGGTACCTCTCGCGCGTCAAGCACTTGGAGGAGATGGAGGCCAACCGCCGCGCAACCTTCTTGGAGACGCCGGCTGAGAGAGAGCGAAACAAATCCATCCGGGCGACGAGCAGCGATGCCTTCTTCGCCACCCAAGTCGAAGAGGGCGCCAGTGCTCAAGCCGGCATCAGCTTCATGCACGCCTTCAGAAAGGCCAAGGACTCGGAATCGATGAGCCAGCAATCCAAACAGGATTGACGAGTCATTCACAGGAAGGAACCATCCAGTCAGCTTGACGAGCCTCACTGAGAACAAAGGGTTCATATTTCTCCACGAAACGATATAGCTCCCGAGTCCAGGACTATGGCATGTTACATACTCGCCGGATCCCTGACCAAACACGGTGTTACTGACTGGGAACTAACACAAGCCATCACTTAATACACCTCACGTTTCACGCATGATGCGGTGGGCTGCTTGCGACCACAACGCTCCTCGGCGCCATGGTGATCTAGAAAATACTTGTTTCTAGTCCCGACTGTTGGTGGACATGACTCATAGCCTTTTTGAAGCGTGACTCTCAATGGCGATGCCCCAACCCGTGGGCATGACCGGCATGGTCATGCCCCTCATGATGATGCTCCCCATCATCAAGCCCATCCCCATCCTCACTCCAATCCGGAAACCCATCCTCAAAAAGATGCTGCAATTTTTCCTGCCTCGCCTCATGCCCTTCAACCCCCTCATCCCGCATTACCCCCACCCACTTATCAAACTCCTCATCCGTCAACAAACACTCATCCAACGCAGCCTCGAGCGCCGCCCTTCCATCTTCCAGTCCATTACCTCCGAAAATAAAAACAAGCTCCTGCCTTCGATCCCCCCACTCCCCGCCCTTGGCAATATCCCACCGCACAAGCTTGTCCACGTCCTCGTCGCCCGTGAGGTACTGTTCCTCGGGCAGAGTACAAAACCACGGCCGGCCGCCCGTCAGTGTGATCATGGCGCCCGCCTGGGACCACTCGCCTGCACGATGTGGGCGAGTGGCGAGGAAGAACTCGCCTTTGGACCGGAAGAGGTGACGGAAGACGGGGCTGGCGCGCTTGTTGGCCAGGATGACGTCGTTGGGGGGAGGTACCATGTCGTCTGGGGGTGAGGCGTCGTCCTCGGAGTCCTTCATGTCCAGGTCGGTGGGTTCTGATGGGTCATCGCTTATCGCATCATCTTCCTCACCGTCTTGGTCATTTTCATCGCCGTCGTCGTCGTCATCATCGTCATCATCGGGATGCTCAAGTTGCATGATGAACTTGTCATGGAGCAGCTTGAACAGGCGCCGAGGGTGGAACGGCCTTGTGCGCGAGTAGATGAAGTTGCGGATGTTGTACTCGTCGGTTTCGGGTTTGGGGGTGATGACGCTCTTGCCATTGACCTGTTTGACTGTGAGAATGGGAACCGGCATTTTCTCGGAGACGAGACTGACTTGTCTTAGGGTCATGGCGTGGAGGTCCTGGAGCCATCCGTATCCGGTCTGTGCCCTCTCCAAGCTGAACATGCCGGTATTGATGATCTCCCTGACGTCGATTTTGCCGTAGCTCGTCTCAAGGACCTTGGCCCGATGGTTCAGCTTGCCGAGCAAGTCTCGGATGCGAGCGAGAGTCTTGTCGTCGACCTAGGTACCGCATCAAGGGTACCCGTGAGTAAGCTGATCGCATTGAGGGCTGTAGAAGGCTAGGAGCAGCAAAGGACACGATTGAATACGTATGTACAATACCTACCATTTCCGTCTTGTTGACGACGATAACATCGGCAAACTCGATCTGGTCGACCATGAGATCCGAGACAGTGCGCTCGTCCTCGGGCAGGACGTCGTTGCGGCGCGACGAGAGCATATCGTCCGTGTCGAAGTCGTTGAACATGGTGAAGGCGTCGATCACCGTCACCGTGGTATCCAGACGCGCAAACTTGTCGAGGCCACCAGCGGCCGTCCTTGATCCCTTTGAGTTGGTGCTTCAAGTTGCGCGCCACAGGAGGTGAGAGAAAACACTTACAGCCGCCTGAGTACATTGATCATATCCTCATCCAGAGCCGGCCCGTCTGGTCCATCAGCCACGGTGGACATCATGTGCTCAGCCAGACGCTTGTCGAACGTCTCGGCAACCTGCTCGGGCTCGCTGATGCCGCTGCTCTCGATGATGACATAGTCGAACTGCTCGAGCTCGGCGAGGCGCAGCAGCTCCTCGAGAAGGTCGCCCCGGAGCGTGCAGCAGATGCAGCCATTCTGAAGGGCAATGACTTTCTCCTCCGTCTTGGTCAGCCGGTGCGTCTGCTTGATTAGAGAGGCGTCGACGTTGATCCTGTGCCATGGCATGCATCTGTCAGGCACTTGCACTAGGAATGTTTTGGATATCAAAGTACACGGGCGGTGGGGGTTACGCACGCCCCAATGTCGTTTACAACGACAGCGATGCGTAGGCCATGTTCGCTCTTTAGGATGTGCTGCAGAAGTGTTGTCTTGCCGCTTCCCTGTGCGGAATGGAAACCTCAGGTAAGTCAGGGGATTCGGGCCTGAGGAGTGAAGTGGCTCGGGGGGGTGACGTACAAGAAAGCCCGAGAGAAGAGTGACTGGGAGAGGCTTGGATGGTGTTTGTGTCTTGGCCGGTGGCTGGACGCCGTTGCTTTCTGAGACGCCAGGCATGGTTCATACGAGGTGAGTTACAAATATGCTTCGATTCTTTTTCGTCGTCGTCGTCTTCTCGAGTCCTTATTAACTTATAAGAGCAGAAAGGCTAGGGTCTAGCCATCAAGGTGGCCTTCAAGGTATTAGGTACCTATCAAGGTACTTCAACTTGAGAGCAAGCGTCAACTTGCATCAGGGTCCAAGGGAAAGACCCATCCAGCCAATAAAAGCATACTCATTCCGAAGCAGGCAGCCGGCTTGAACCCCTGACGACTCTCTCCCGGCCATTCACACAAGGTGCGGAGAGGTACCGCAGATCACAAGTCCCCCCATGCGGCCATGCCAAACAAAGGTCCCTCCATAATACGAATACTTCCAAGTTCAATTTCTATCTCATGTTGTCTTAAAGTTCAATGGACCAGCCCGCACACGCATCGCCTTCCCCCACTTGAGCAAGACGAGGATGAAGACAAATGCGCCTGCACAAACCGCCGCCTGGATACCAAAACTCAACTTGGTTCCCTGCGCCTCGGCCCACGTCACTTGGAAGTAGCTCACAATAAACCCGCCTATTGTGCGCGAGAAGTTCAGCCACGCCGACACTTCGCCCGACGCCTCGGGATAGCTGTCGACGCAGTAACTGCTGAGCGCGACGGTCGTCACCATCATGCCAAAGACGTACATGCCCCAGCAGACGCTCGTTGCCATGTAGTGCCAGGCATTCTCGAAGCACTGTCCGACCAGCACAAGCCCGGCGATGACGAGGGGCAGCGAGAAGAAGACGGCTCGCAACCGGGCCTCGGGCTCGAACCGCCCCTTGTGTGCCCGGATGTACTGCTTGGCTAGGGCATCGTGCAGCCAGTGGCCTGTGGCTTCGCCCAGGATTACCGCGACCACGGGCGTGAAGTAGAAGAAGCCGACTTGCTTTGGACCGAAGCCGTAGAGAGGTGTGACGAACATGGCTAGGGTTGTGTTGATCCCCACGGCCCAGGCAAATGTCTGGGAGCGATGGCATGGTTAGCATCACATCATGCCCTTTCTCTTCTCATTCTCGCCAGTGATGCACTTAGACTTACCAGAGCGTAGAACAGACAAGCAATCGCCACAGTTGGCTTTAGCAGCACGCTCGCTGTCCTCCAGCTGGCTTGGCCAAGGGTATTGCGGAGGTCCCGCGACCTCCACTGCGCTGCGCCAGTCAAGCGGGCAATGCGGCTGCCTCGCGGCGGCTGATCGTGTGCCGGTATTGTGCGGTCGTAGTATGTCTCGTCCAGAAAGCAGACCACAAGAGCCAACCCCAGGACATTCATGGCAAAGAAAACCCAGAACGGCACTGGCCACCGCAGTGTCTCAGTCATGAACGCCGCGAGCAGCGGGCCAGCGTACGGACTCATCACGATGAACGATCTGGTTTGTGTCAGTCTCAAAGGCATGTCTTGCTAGCAGGCCCAACAGAAGCCACTCACGCCCAGATGTTTATTTTTCGAGCCTGCTCGTGGAAGAAGAAGATGTCTTTGATAAACATGAGACCTCCCGACTGGCTGACGGTCGAGAAGAACCCGTTGAGGATGCGGGCGGCCATGAAGGACTCGAAGGTGGTCGCGCCCGCGCACCATGCCGCTGTCGCCGTGGAGACTATCATGAACCAGAAGACGACGGGAAGGCGGCCGAAGTAGGCGCTGAGCATGACAACTAGGGCACATCGGCGTCAGTCGGCTATGATTTCGATACCAAAGTGCCAGTCCTGCCGAGCTTAAGAACAATGATGGACGGGACTCACCGACCACGCCGCCTGCACCGAGCATGAAGACGTTCCCTGCCTGCGAGTGGTTGACATAATCTGGCGTGGTATTCCATTCTCTACCATTCGCATTCCGTCAGCCAAGTCTGGTCCTGTCACAGTCCACCTCCCGTCACCACTACAGAATCCACACGACTGGGACTGGGACTTACGCTGCCTGCGGAATAAGAGTTACCGCACCCGTGGCACTTCCATAATCCGGTAGAAACGACACAATCGACACAACAAAGAGAATGACATGTTTCTTGGCCCAGCTCCAGTTCAGGGGATCGTTGACAATGTCGTCGCTGGGCTGAGGGATCAGAACAGTATGCCCGTCCTTGGCGAGCTTGACGACTCCGTGTCCTGAGCCGGTGATGGCTTCCTCCGAAGTGTCAATGTCGACCACGTAGCCTTCGTCCTCGCGGAACTCGTGGATGCGCCGTGCTTTGTCGTCCGGCGCTGGCGGCGCATTCTCCCGGATCTGGACTGAGGCGGTCCAATCATCTTCTGTTTTCTCGGTGTATTCAGGTTGCTGTTTGTCGGCCATCCTGCCCGTCGTCAGGATGATTCTGGGACCCGAATATCGGCGGTCCTCAACTCCCTCGGTGGAAAGTGTCAATTGAAGCTGCGTGCTGGCCTGCTTCGCGACTGTACGTTACGGGAGAGGTGAGGGGGAGGACACCACAAGTTCGGCAGCCTTGAGTTGCATGGTGTGATGGTAATAGTATTAATATACAGGTAGGGGTAGTGACTTACTCCGCACCCGACAACAATGGGCCGCCGCCACCACCGGGAGTTATTATCCAGAGCTGACGGCCAGATTCACAGCTCGGGTAAATGCTACCCTCACGGCACTCGCCCCAACTACCGGTCACTCATGTTGGGACTAACGGAATGCGGCATCGATTGTCGGCGGGCATGAGAGTAAGTGCCAGGTGCATGTGGAGTACCAGTCAACATGAACATGAAGTGACGAGCCCGAGGAGGCGGAGCTCCTGCTGCATCTCTGCTGTTATGTCCAAATATACCGTGAGGGTGGCTCTCTAGACGTGTAAGTATTTGCTCCTCAATGGGTCGCATACTGCTCCAATCATTGATGCATGCGGGTGAGAATAATGTGCACCCTTGAACCATCATTCTCATGCCGGGACACTAGTACTCAAATGCCGGCATACCCAGAATGTAAATATCTATATTACCAGGTATTTTAACCTCCTGCAGTTGGATGTCAAACCCGAGTGTGATTGGCAGTTACCCCAACTCCCACACACCTCAGAGTTGTTACCATTGGAGATGGATATCTGGGTCGACATTTGATGGATCTCAGCACCAACAGATACAACACTGCTGGCGCTGTCACCCAGGCCAATAGACCGGGCTTATAAGTCAAGAACCTGAAGCAATACAACGTACCTGACTTGTACCGTGCCCATTTGGCCCGCCCTGCCCTGAGTCATGATCCCAGTCTGCTCCTCCGAGTTGTCCTGCGGAGTCTATGGAAACGAAAGAGGAGAAAGAGGCAAGACCAGGCCTAAACCATAACATTGAACCCGACACCGGGTAACATAAGCGGATGCCCCTGACTGCGGACTTGGGTGCGTCGCAAAGCTCTATATCAGCATACATCTGTACAGCGATCTCAAACGGCCAGTCTAGACCGGGCACAAGGCTGGAGCAAAGGCGCCGAGATCAAATACAATATGATGCAACATAGTCAGTTGGCTTATCTCGGTTCCTACTACAACTATAACAGTGGTACCATTGAAACATGAATCAAGCTATTGCACAGAGACCTTATCCACCACTCCTACTGGACTACACCGTACGCGCATGTACATACAAGTACCACTCTGAAACTCAAATCCACGGCAAAGTCGGCCCCCTGTCCATCGGATGCGCCGATGTCGTCCAAGTCAACGACGACACTGATAGCGCCACTTCTGTAACCCCCGATGGCAACCGACACGACTGTTTCCTATCTGCGCCCGTCTCACACGTCTCGCCGGGTAGCTGTTTCTCCACGGTCGCGTTGAACAAGACCCTATTTAATACAACCATTAGCTCTCAAGTCCAGACGGAGGGGATCCGATCACGGTTATCAGAGTTGAGTAGGGTGGGACTCACGCATGGCTCGGATCACGATCATCACAATACCACTCGACCCTAAACCCTACCCTATGACTTGACCGATCCAGGAGATAGCTACACCCCACCAACTGCCAGGGGATCGGCCGTTTCCCCTCCCCCGCGACACAGTCGTGCCATTCCCCATCATCGACCACAGGCATGCGGTGCAGCCGGTAGGTGTCGCCTGGGCCGGGGTTGTACAGGGTGAACGACCCTGTCGTTGTCAGATCACCATCAGCATCATCATCAGGGATGGAGTCAAGTTGGTAGTCTTGTAGTTGGATGGCTGTGGTGTTGGTCAGTGACCGGATGGTGCAGCTCCGGGTGTAGTATGTGTGCGGCATCAGGGGGATCCGCCATTGTTCGGAGTAGCCGGTGAAGGTTAGGGGGGTGTTGATGGCGGGGAGGGTGCAGGTGTAGTCGGAGTCAGGGTCGGAGTCAATGGTGCCAGATGATCTGGATGGATTGGTGCAGGATAGGTTGAGGTGGGCGTAGGCGAGTCCGGTGTAGTGATCTCTGGGAGTTGACGGTTAGTAGTAGTGGTTTTGAGTTGAGAGCTGGGGAACAGGCAGAACGTACGGTTCGAGACCCTCAATACCGTCCGAACACCCCCAATCCTGCCTAACACCAAGCATCCCGTACTCAGTATCAATACTGACCTCAATCCAAGACCCATTCGAACTTGAGCCCTCGCCGGATGCGTCAGCAACCAAACAACGAACCCACGGCGCTGACCCATTGTTATTATTATTACCCCCCGACGTAACATCCCCAGTCGCCTCACACCTTATCCGCCCGTTATCAGACAGATTCGTCAGATCCAAATCAAGCTCATAACTTGAAGACCCCCCTGCACCACCACCACCACCAGCACCAGTCTTCCCCCGCGCACCATGATGTCGATACACCAGACTATTGATCCGCCACTGCGGGTCATAGGACCGGTCCACACACCGCTGGGCGGGCTCCTGGGGCGTGTACGGACGCAGCGGCAGCTGGGGGTTGATGGCGAGCGGCCGGGACAGGCCGGCGGCGACCCGCGAGTTGCCCATGATGCACAGCGTCTCCTGGCCGCGGGGTGCGTGTGGCTCGTCCAGGCAGCCTTGGACGAGGGGCGGTTCCCAGGAGCCGTTTGCTGCAAAGACGAGGCTAAACGTGAAGAAAGTTGATGATCAGTTCCGTGCTGCCAGCGCCCAAATATCATATGTCGTTACATGTAAGGTGAGGATCTGACTGACCTCGTCCTCGACGAATTCCCACACACCCAACTGCCCCTCAACCGCATATCAAAATCCGCAAGCAGAAACTGAAACTGCAAGTTCGGCACACTGCAATTATGCCACACACTCAACGCCTCAGGCCCATGCGCCTGGGGGTCCAGCTCAATGTTGTTTGCCGTACAGTTTGCCAGGATACCTGTCGCATGGTGATACGCCTGGAACTGGACATCGCCTATTGTGCCCCCGTCGGACGCGTTCACTGACGTCAGCGTCGGCCCGTAAATGTCCCATGATGGGTTGGTGAGCGAGGCCTCGACACATTGTTCAGGGGTATTGCGCACGTCACTCGGGAACGGGTCGGGCCAGTACTGCCGGGGGTTTATGGTTATGCCTATGGGACTGATGGGTGTAGCGGAGGTGGTTGTGGGTGTGATGGTGATCATGATGGCCAGGGCTCCAATCACCCCGAGGGAGAGGTGAAGCCTTTCGAGAAGATTCATGGTGGTATGTTTCGAAAAATTCGAAGTCACAGGGCGGCTACCTGGATGAAAAAAGGTATAAAATCAGCCCCCTGGCAGGGAGGAAGTGTATGTTGGGAAGTTAGTGATTCTGGTGTGTCCTCGACTTCTAGAAGCATGTATACCGTTGAGAGGGAACCGCCCATCAATGGGGTATAGCTCAGGTAGCTAAGGTAGTCGGGTAAAGTATGAGCGAGCGGAGGATTGATGTATCTCCCGCTACTCAGGCTAATCATATCATTCGCTCCTAACAGTACGCACGATAGTTAAAGTCCATATCGAACTTAGCCTAAGGGGTCGAGCTGTCCATATAGAATGGCCGTTCTCTCCGAGATATATTGCGCTCTACATCTAGAGCATGCCCGGCAGTCTGGAGTCCGGTGTTGTCTGGTGCCTTCGCAACTATGTTCTCTGCCAGTATATGTTCGACAGATGTCAAGTTCCATTCAGTTTCATGACAGGAATTGCTTATGAGAAGAAAGACTTGGTAACTCTGGTCACCCTATTTGATGTCGCATGTGACGTCCTGCCAGTGTTGGATAGGTATATAGGTAGGTATGTAGGGACCTAACAATCATGTTAGACGGTGGATTGGACCAGAAAACTTTCCCTGAACTTCTGATGTATTAACATAAACCCAGATCCAGGTAGCGGAGAAGGGAGGCCACAAATATCGCAGTACCCTATAGGCATCAAGAGACAACAATTTGCTAATAGTATGTACATCCATTGACATTTATAGTAGGTCCTAGGCGACAAGACCAACATCCTCCCAGGCAACTATCTACAACCCAGCCTTGATCTGCTCAACCCCCTTCTCATCATTATACAGCACATACCGATACCTCGGCTTGCCAGCAGTAAAGTCCACAATCGCCCGATTCGCCTCCTTCATGGGAATCTCCTCAATCCACGGGTGCACCTTCTTATCCACCGCCAACTGCAGCATCTCCCTGATATCACTCGGCGAACCGATCAGCGACCCGGTAATCTTCAACCTCTTGAAAATCAACGGGAACTGCTGAATACTCGGCAACCCATCATCCGGCGCGCCCAGCTGCACAAACGTGCCATCAAACTTGAGCAGCGACATGTACCCCATGAGCGGCATCGACGACGACGAGACGGTGCAAATAATCAGATCCAGCGTCGACGCATGGTTCTTGGCCCAATCCGGATCCTCCTCCGTGGCAATGAACTCATCGGCCCCCAACTTCATCGCATCCCCTTTCTTCCCCGACGTCCGCGAAATAACAACCACCTTATCACAACCCAACGCCTTAGCCCACATAACCCCAAAATGCCCCAGCCCCCCAAGACCAACCACACCCACCGTCTTCCCGGGGCCAGCACCGTGATGCTTCAGCGGGGTATACGTCGTCACACCACCGCACAGCATAGGCGCAGCCTCAGCGGAACTTAGCCCCTCGGGGATCTTGACGACAAAGTGCGACGGCGCGCGGTGGTACAGGGCATATCCGCCGTAGGACTTGCCGCCGTTGAGGTGGGTGCTGTTGTACGTCCCGACGTGGTGCACCTGGCAGTAGTTTTCGGTCCCCGAAGCGCAGGCCTCGCAGTCGCCCTTGCGGCCCTGGCAGGAATCGTTTTGGGCGCCGACACCGACCCGGTCGCCGATTTTCAGGTCGCCTTCGGCTTTGGAGCCGACGCGGACGACGGTGCCGACGATTTCGTGGCCGACGCAGCAGGGGTAGTTTGTTGGGCCCTGGTAGTAAGGTGGGTTAGTATGTGGTGTAGTAGGCAGGGTGACAAGGTGATGTAGGTTTATGGACTTACCCAACCGCTCTTGAGGGTGTGGAGATCGCTGCCGCAGATGCCGCAGTGTGTAACCTTGATGTCGACGTCGGTCTCTTCCCAGGGCTTGGGCTCGTACTCGCCCCATTTCATGTTGCCCTCTGCGGATGAGGGATCGTGGCCGAGCCACCCCTCAAACTTGTAATCGGTCTGAGCCATTGTGTCGTGAGAGCGAAGTGTGTATTGGGAGAAGCGTTGCTGGCGTAGTTTGTTTGTTTTGCCAGTAGCCGTGTTGGAAGAGGCAAGGGATCGTAAGGGTCGATGGTAATAACGGTTGATGGAGCTTCAGATAAGATGATTAGGGAGAAGACATCATAAGGGCATATAAATACATGATATCTTTATCTCTGATACGGCCCCTGGGCTTGGACTTTGTTCGGCATTCGTAGTGGCGCTCACCCGGGGTCGTCAGGCTAGGGATACCTCACCTACGTAGCCAGTGTACAATCTTGAGAAGGGCTTTCTATGCTCCACATCTTTGAATTACTAATGCTGCCATTCGCGACAAAATGACTCGCTTTCCGTGGAGTTTGTTTGGGGCGAGCATCATTATCTCCGTCGTCGTGGTGCTCGTCATTCACTCGCCACTAGAGAGAAGTGGAGTGGAAGAGTCTGCCGGTATGGAGTTCGGGAGCTAAATCTTTCGCTTGAGTCGGGTGGAGCAAAGGCCGGGATAACCTAAGAAATGTCGTCAGAAATGGGATATCACTAAACTACCGAGGCAGCGGTCTCCTACGTCGTGCTGCATGCCCTCGGGATGCCTTACCCGGCGCTGTCGCGCTGGAAGGTTGATAACGCATGAAAACCGGGATATAATCAGAAAATCTCCACCCAGAACACTAATGAGGCCTCGGTCCAAGTGGAACGGGAATCTGGATAACAAGATTACTAACCTGGACGTTGGGCCAAAATTTGCACTGATGCTTCCAATTCGTTCCATCGTTTCTGTTTCGAATCTTAACTGACAAACTTTTTGAATTCCGGGACATCATTGCGACTGTAGAATGAGGATGGCCAGGAAAACTCATCTGAGCTCGTAGCCATGACGTCTTTGAGTCCTCGCCTTCTTCCACAGCAACGGGTCTGAGGTGTTCTTGCGTTCCAGTTTCCTAGCCAATAGCATGCTGCATAGAATCCATGGCAATGCCAAAAACGGAACAACCCAAACAGCAGTGGAAACTGCAAAAGGTACCAACACAGCTGAGATACAATGGACCATTGGAGACTCTCGATCGATCCCAGGAGTTACGGAGCAAAGGGAGCCGTAGCCGTAGCCGTAGCCTTGACGCACTCATCACAGATAGCCGCCCCAACCGACTCGACAATCTTGGCAGTCCACGATCCGCACGAACTCACAACGCAGCCGGACTTGAGCAACTCGGCCTCGTCCGAGTTCCTGTTCTTGCACTGGCATTCAACATCGAACATGTCGGAACAACCCGCAATGGTGGCAGCGGAAGCGAGACATGGGAACTTAAAGTGGACATCTAATAGTCAGTCATTTTGAACTGGCAACCCGCGAGAAAAAGTGACCAGCGAGAGAGAAAGGTGTTTGCGTACGGCGCAGTACGGCATTGACGCAGTCATCGGACATGCTTCTGGCGTCGTCGCCGTTAACGTTATCGCCGATGCCATCGTGTCCATGTCGCCGATCTTTCTAGCCGGAGTTGCGCCGAGGACGGCCATGCCAAGGCTGGGGAAGAGGACGTGGAGAGCGGCTAGCACGGAGAGATGCATCGTCATCCTTGTTCGCTTCGGGCCTGGGTGGCTTTGACCTTTGGACTGGCTGTTTGTGAGCAGATAAAGAAGGGGTGAGCGATGGCTGACAACGAACGGCTTGACAGAGATACTAGAGCAGGATGTAAGTAGACGCTCGCGCTTACGATCTGTAGCCCCCTTCCCTGTTCAAGACCTGGACACAAAGTGGTCAATCTCACCGTCCTACTGTTCACTTCAGCGGCCACTTCTCGAGTCTGACCGACCCAATGGTCTGTTACATTCATGGTGGCATCGTCGAGGTGCCTGATGCCTCGAAGTGTTCCGTGTCCATCACTGCAGGCTGTGGTTGGGGTTGTCCACTGGCACCTGACGACCCGTATCACCAGAAAGCCCTCGTAAAGCCCTCTGTCGGACTCGGACACCAATCAGCAGCGGGAGCCTGGCGTGATCAAGATAACAAATAGATTAAGAAAGCCAACAGTCCGAGTCACATCATGCTTCACGACTTGAATGTCTCTTGCTTAGTGAGCAATGGTCATCATCTTGTACTCGGTCGCTCTCGCCCTCTCCTGTTCTTTATGCGAAAAGACGCTTGGATTGTTGGCAAAGTCCCGATCGAGAGCCGGCCGTCGACATCGGCAGTTTTGGCCAATACTTTGATTGGGAATTGGAGGACAGTGGATTGAAGCCACAAAGCTGCTATGAGCCATTCTCCGGGATTCGGGTACAAGTATTGACGATCACGGATGTTGGTGAAAGCGGCGGCTTTCCAGCCGATCGGATGCTCCTAACGTTAACTCGGGGCTGTTCGGTCGAAGCCGGGAGAGCACGGTGCGGAGCGGCCCTTGTTTGACATTGCCCAATCACATTTCCGAATTGGCCCTCGAAAACTTTTTTGACTCGCACAGCAACCGCCAAGACTCACACCCCACAATCCTAACGCGGGTCGCGGGTAAATGCCAGCATATGGGGTGATGCCGGTGACACACTGACAGATCGCAACCGAAACCGAAACCATCGCGAAAGCTGTCCTACGCCCGACAGTCCCGGTTTCGTCAACACTGCACTCCAGCAAGGCATTGTTCTCCCCACCACGTCGCATAATACCTGTGGACTCCGTGAATCCTTCTTTTCGCCGACAGAATGCTCTCCTCGCTCAGGGTCGTTTCGCGACGGGCGGTTGCAGCCCGCAACTTGAGCGCTTTCCGCGCTGCTTCCACGTGGGCCAATGTCCCTCAAGGCCCTCCAGTACGTTAACCATCCCACCGTCGCCTTCGTGGCTGCTGAATAGGTTGAACGAATTGACTAAGTAGAGTTTTACAGGATGTGAGTAGTAGATTTTCAAAGCTGCCGCAGCTTCCTCGCTGTCCACTGCTGACCGGTGTTGTTTGGTGATTTGGTCAGGCCATTCTCGGTATGTGCCTCATGAGTCACCTTGGCCAACCCTCTGCACGTCCCGCCAACCAACCAGCCCCAAAGATTCGCAATAAAACTGACGAGCTTTGTCGCGCAGGTATCACGGAAGCCTTCAAGGCCGATTCGTTCGAAAAGAAGATCAACCTCGGTTCGTTCGACCTCCTAACTGCCACTCCTACTCCCATCCTCACACAATCGTCACGTCAACTGACACTCCCTGTTTCACCCGGATCCAGGTGTCGGCGCCTACCGCGATGACAAGGGGAAGCCTTACGTCCTCCCCTCGGTGCGCCAGGCCGAGGAAAAGGTGATCGCCTCGCGCCTGAACAAGGAATACGCGGGCATCACGGGCGTGCCCGAGTTCACCAAGGCCGCCGCGGTGCTGGCCTACGGCAAGGACAGCTCCGCCCTCGACCGGCTGGCCATCACGCAGTCCATCTCCGGCACAGGCGCCCTGCGCATCGGCGCCGCCTTCCTCGCGCGCTTCTACCCCGGCGCCAAGACCATCTACATCCCAACCCCCTCCTGGGCGAACCACGCCGCCGTGTTCAAGGACTCGGGCCTGCAGGTCGAAAAGTACGCCTACTACAACAAGGACACCATCGGGCTCGACTTTGCCGGCATGCTCGCCGACATCAACAAGGCGCCCGGGGGGAGCATCTTCCTGTTCCATGCCTGCGCGCACAACCCGACGGGCGTCGACCCCACACAGGAGCAGTGGAAGGAGATTGAGTCCGCCGTCAAGGCAAAAGGCCATTTCGCGTTCTTCGACATGGCCTACCAGGGCTTCGCCAGCGGGGACATCCACAAGGACGCGTTCGCCGTGCGGCATTTCGTTGCGCAGGGCCACAACATCTGCCTCGCGCAGTCGTTCGCCAAGAACATGGGCCTGTACGGCGAGCGGGTGGGCGCGTTTTCCATGGTGTGCGCCGACGCGGAGGAGCGGAAGCGGGTGGATTCGCAGATCAAGATTTTGGTCCGGCCGCTGTACTCGAACCCGCCGATTCACGGTGCCCGGATTGCGGCGGAGATTCTTAACACGCCTGCCCTGTATGAGCAATGGCTTGCTGAGGTGAAGGGCATGGCGGATCGGATTATCACCATGCGGGCGCTCCTGAAGGAGAATTTGGAGAAGTTGGGTTCGAAGCATGACTGGAGCCATATTACCAGCCAGATTGGCATGTTTGCGTACACTGGGTTGAACGCGGAGCAGATGGACAAGCTGGCTAAGGAGCACAGCGTCTATGCCACGCGGGATGGTCGCATCTCGGTGGCTGGCATTACGAGTGACAATGTTGGCCGTCTGGCGGAGGCCATCTTCAAGGTGAAGGGCTAGGGCGTTTCATGTGTTGGGGAGGGGTGTGTAGTAATTGTGTGGGTGGCTGGCTGAGTTTCTGTAAATTCTGTATGTGTTTTTCGCATCCAGCATCTGGATTGCAAGATGGATATGGGTAAAGAAAGGATACTCGCCAGTGTGGTCGCTTAGACAGCCGAGCAGCCTCGGGTACGATTTAGATGGTACACAAGAGGTAGAAAAAAGACACATAGAGCGCCAGTCTTCAAAAGATGGTATCAAAACCCTGGGCTTTCAGATTCCCTCCACGTCGGATTATCGAGGGTATAGCGTAGCCATCGCAACCATATATCCCCCAACGCAGTGACAATCCTCACGCCCCGCCCAACCTCTCCAAATCCCCTCTCACCTCCTTCACCTGCCTGCCCATATCCCTATACACCCTCGCCATCTCCCGCATAACCTTCTCCTTTCCCACTCTTCCCCCCTCCCCCCCCCTATTATTATTATCAATCCTCCCCCCATCACCCCCGTCCCCGCCACCATTGTCACCCCCATCACCCCCATGACTGTCAACCTTGACCCCATAAGCCTCCAACTCCCCTTTCAACCCCCTCACCGCCTCCACCAACCTCCCCCTCGCATCCCTCAAATGCACCATATAATTCCCCAACGCCCTTCCCACCTCAGGCGTATACACATCCCTTTCCGCCTGCGCCAACACCCCCTCCACCTCCGCCTGCTGCCTCTGTGCAATAAGCCTCGCCTCAACCGCGCGAAACTCAAGCCACCTCGCTACAACACCATGTTTCGCTTCCAAACTCCTTAGCAGCTGCCCTAGCACACCAGCCGTCTGCTCGTGCAGGAGGGTTGTTAGACCCGGCTCAGCAGCGGCCAGACGGGTGCGGGAGAGCAGGGCTTTCCGTTCGGAGATTGTTTGGACTAGAGTCTGGTAGTGGGAGGGGAGGTGGGGGATGGAGCGGTGGATGTAGGAGGGGTTTGTGGATGGGTTGGCGATGCGCGCGAGGTGGACGGCGGAGGTGTGGAGGGTGGTGGAGAGTAGGTTGGAGAGTTGGGGGAGGAGGGAGGGGAAGAGGGAGAGGGGGGGTTGCGAGAGGAGGAGGGTGATGGATTCAAGATCTTGGGGGAGGGTGGAGGGGGTTTTAAGGAGGGTTGGGAGGAGGAGTAGGAGGTCGAGAAGCGGTTCGGGGAGCTCAGTGGTGGGTTGAGAGCTGGAGCCGTCGGGTTGGTGCGGTCTGGCGGTGCGTCGGGTCAAGGACGGTGCCGGAGCTGGTTTGGATTGGAGGGAGTACGGGTTTGCGGTGCATATTGCGTCGATGAGAAGGCTTTGCTTTGCGTCCCTGAGGCGGTACTCGTTCAGTTCCTGATGGTTGAGAAGTTAGTTGGGCTGGATATCTCGGGAGCGACTGGCAACGGACCTCGCGTATCGCAGACCGTTCCTTGGCTGCAGGGTCGTTCTTTGTTGATCCATCTGGGTTGAGAATTGTTGTGGTCAAGGTGGAATAGAGTGCGGCAAACTGGGGGTTATTCCGCAAAACGGCATCTTCGACTGGGGGGAGCATCGTGATAATTCTTGTCGTAAATCATTGCGGTTGGTGTCGAAGACCATTGGGTGGTCGCGTCGATGCGCGACGATGCCTCCACGAAAGCATGTGACTGTCTCTTTGCCTTCACCTTTGCTGGAAGTGGACAGTATTTAGCACTGTAATGCACTGTCGCCAGCTGCAACTCCGGCTGCCACCTGTACGCTCAACTTCACGATTTTTTGATTTCGGCTTCATCCCGCAGTTGCTGGCCGGTCCCGATCCGTTTACGAACGACGCAACACAAAACCCGCGCGTCCCCCGACAGAGACTCGCCAATGCGACCGTCATAGCACCGGATCGACGTTAATTCCATCCACACCGCACCGGGAGAGGAGAAAAACCATGCCTCCGTCACTCCCCCTGCAGTCCAGCCTGCGGGCATCGGCATCGGCATCGGCATCAGCTTCCAAACCCTCCAGCAGCATCTCGACCCTCCTCAGCAAGACCCTCCTCAGCAGCCGCATCACCCGCCGCGCCCTCACCACCACCCCCCTACTACAATACAAACAACCCCCCGTACCGGGCTCCTCCCTCCCGATCCCCTCCGCGCGCGCCCCCTGTCCGGAGATCCCACCCTACCCCTACGGCCCGCGGCCCTTCTACCACCAATCCAACACCGGGCTCTACGGCAGCGCAGCGATCCGCTTCGGCAACAACGTCTCCGAAAAACACAACGTCAAAACCCGGCGCAACTGGCGGCCCAACGTGCACCACAAGCGTTTGTGGTCTGAATCCCTCAACGTCTTTGTCTCGACCCGTGTGACCGCCCGCGTGCTGCGCACGATTGACAAGGCCGGTGGACTGGACGAGTACCTGCTCAAGAGCAAACCGGCAAGGGTTAAGGATCTGGGACCGTGGGGTTGGAGGCTGCGCTGGCGGATTATGCAGACTCCGGTCGTGAGGGAGAGGTTTGCGAGGGAGAGGGAGGCGCTTGGGTTACCGATGAAGGTGGAGGAGGAGGAGGAGGGTGTGATGGCGACGCTGCCGGATGGAAGTACTGTTTCGGGAGAGGCGCTGATGGCGGAGACGGATAGGATGTTGAGTGATGAGGCTGTGTTTGAGCTTGGTGCAAGGGAAGCGGAGGAGACGGGGGATAAGTTCATGCGGGAGGAGAAGCCGGTGAAGGAGTAGGGTTTGTGAGCATGGGCATACGTATCATCAAGATCTGTACAATATGTAAACTTTGATGTGTAAAACGGGCCAAGTCCCTACCAGTTGTCCTGGGGATTCTTTACACGAAGCTCATGGCAAAATGGTATTCAGTACGGCTTAGCATCATGTACCAAGTGTCATCGGACGATCACCAATACCATCCAGGATTGAGTTCAGGTTCAGGGCGAATCCATCAAAATGACAATCCGCTCTCTAAAAGCGTCTATGGGTCTATCTACTTTGCCAACCATATTGAACTGGCCATGTCTGACCCTTTAGCTGCGAAAGATGATAAACCGTGCCTTGATAAAACCATGCTTTGCTCTGGCATTACAATACGCAGAGCCGCATGGCAAGCTGATCGCGGATGACCAGCTTCAGAAGCGAATGATGACTAGCTTCAGACGCGAAGCCAAGGATGACCACCTTCAGAACCGAAGAATGGCCAGCCTAGAAGCGAAGGTCCCAACCGATCTTGGGCCCAAGGATAGGCAGCTCATCCGCCACGCTCTGCACATCCTTATCACCACGACCGCTCAGGCAAATGACAAGATCCTCGTCCTTCTTCATCGTCTTGGCCAGCTCAATGGCCCCGTAGATACCATGCGACGACTCGAGCGCGGGGATGATGCCCTCCAGCTGCGTCATCAGCTTGAAACCAATAAACGCCTGCGCATCCGTAGCAGCAATGAACTTGGCACGCTGCGTGTCCTTCCAGTGCGACAACTCCGGTCCGACACCGGGATAATCCAAGCCGGCCGAGACCGAGTGGGTGTCATCAATCTGGCCATGCTCATTCTGCAGAATATATGTGCGCACACCATGGAGCACACCCTTTGATCCCGCAGTAAGCGTCGCACTGTGGCGCGCAGTGTCGATACCATCACCGCCGGCCTCCACACCAAGCAGCTTCACGCTCGGCTCGTTGCTAAACGGATAAAACATGCCGACAGCGTTGCTACCGCCCCCGACACAGGCGACGACGGCGTCGGGAAGTTTGCCACGCTTCTCGAGCATCTGGGCCTTGGTCTCGTTGCCAATGACGGACTGGAACGTGCGGACAATGGTCGGGAACGGGTGCGGGCCGATGGCGGAGCCAATGATGTAGTGCGTGTCCTCGACATTAACGACCCACGCACGCATGGCTTCGTTGACCGCGTCGCGGAGCGTGCGGCTGCCGGCCTCGACGGCGACTACCTTGGCCCCGAGCAGCTTCATGCGGAAGACGTTGAGCGCCTGCCGGCGAACATCCTCGGCGCCCATGTAGACGGTGCAGTCCATGCCGAATTTGGCGCAGACGGTGGCTGTCGCGACGCCGTGCTGGCCCGCACCCGTCTCGGCGATGATCTTGGTCTTGCCGAGCCGTCTGGCGAGGAGGAGCTGGCCCAGTGCGTTGTTGATTTTATGGGATCCCGTGTGGTTGAGATCCTCGCGCTTCAGCCAGATGTTCGCACCGCCGGCGTACTCGGTGAGCCGCTCTGCCTTGTGCAGGTGGCCGGGACGACCCATCCAGGGGTAGTACGAGCGGTATTCCTCCCAGAAGCCAGGGTCGTCTTTGATCTTGTTGAAGCCCTCCTCGAGCTCCGTCAGGCAATCCATCAATGACTCAGGGACGTACTGTCCGCCGAACTCGCCAAAGCGATCCGATATCTTGTTATGCATAGCCGCGAGCTCGGCAACAAGACCATCCTGATCATCCGAGTCCGTGACAACGCCATCAACGGTGGCCTCGCGCTCGGGCTCTGTGGCGCCTGAGATGGCCTCAATGATGCCCACCTCGCGGGTGGCTTCGTCCTCGTCGCTGGTTGTGCGCCCGCAGAGGTAAGCGCAGAAATCCTGCACATCCTGGCACTCCTTGCCTGGGGCAGCGTTTTTCAGCGTAGACACGATCATGCTGCCAACCACGACGCCATCCGCGATCTGGGAGACAGACACAAAGTGGTCGCGGGTGCTGACACCGAAGCCCACGGCCGCGGGCTTGTCGCCGCTATACTTCTTGACCCGCGACAACAGTTCCGGGAGGTGAGCGTTCAGGGTGCCACTGGCGCCGGTCACGCCCTGGCGAGAGACGACGTAGATGAAGGAGTCGGCCAGCTGGCAGAGGATGCGCATGCGGGCGTCAGAGGTAGCGGGCGCAATAAGCGGCACATACGAAAGACTGTAGGATGGACACACCGTCAGCTTGGTTCAAAGAGTATTATCCACAGAGCAGGTGAACGTACCCCCCACGAGAGCAAAGCCTCCTAAACGAAACAGCCTCCTCGGGCGGCAAATCCACAATGATGAAGCCGTTGACACCGGCCTCGCGGCAGTCCTTCATCAGGCGCTCCTCGCCGTAGCTCAGCAGCGGGTTGTAGTATCCCATGAGCAGGATTGGGGCGCGCAGGCCCAGCTTGCGGGCGTCGCGGACCATCTGGAGGGTCGACGGGATCGTGACTCCATTTTGAAGGGCAATCTATATCAAAATCTCAATCGTAAGCACTCTGCCTGGATCCAAACCCAACCGATGGCGGGGGAGCTCACGGTGTTCGCAGTCTGAATCGTCGGACCATCGGCGATTGGGTCAGTAAACGGCACGCCGAGCTCGATGACATCTGCGATAACACGACCCGTTAGCCATCCTTTCTCCCCCGATGAGATATGGTGTGCCATCGCCCTACTTACCTGCGCCACCCTTCTCCATGGCAAGCAGGATGTTGGGCGTGTGCTCGGGCTTGGGGAAGCCGGCGGTGACATAGGTGACCAGCGCAGCCTACACATTGGGTTCGTGTCGTCAGCCATTGGCAAGTCCATCCATATCACGATGTTTCGTTCGCGAGCTGCTCCTCGGTGCGGGATCCAGCAGGACATGGCGGGGCAATTGGTACTGTACTTACCCTATTCTGCGCCTTGCAGCGCGCAAAAGTCTGCTTGATGGCCTCCATGATGGATCAATTGGCTCAGTTGGAGGTTGATATGGTCACAGAATTGGAGTTCGCTGGAATATATTGCGGTGGGAGGTGAAGAAGAGGCCAGCGAAAGCCTTTGTTGTTGATGGGTTGTAGAGAGAGCTGACACTTAATGGAGGGGCGGCTTTGAGTCACACAGAGCAATGGGTTCCTGCTTTTTTTTGCCCGAATTGAAAACTGGAACCCCGCCACCACAGGGTCCACTGTGCCGATCCCGGGGCTCGCGCCGATCCACGCTAGCCCACGTTCTGCGTCAACACTCTTCACTTGCCGGATCCAGGGCCGTCTGCCAATTCTTAACTTAACCCCGGTTGGACCGCTCCGGCTCGTCAGGCAACACACCGGGACACATTACTGAGCCCGGTCACTTTTGGAAAACGAAGAAACTGTCATACAGTCAAACCTGCAATTAGCGATTGGGTCCGTCACGGCCAAATTGATCGCTAATCCGAGGTTATCGCCAATCCCAGGGTGCCCCACTATTTTCCCAGAATGGAGAGAGGAAGGCTCAGAACACAGCAAAATCGCTGTATTCTACATCTTACTTGTCTTCCCAACAAGCCGACCTTCTAGGACTGTGGAAAGCTAGTGATGAGACCTTAACATTGTAAGGAAAGGTGGCAATGGTGGCCATTGGGTTATAGTGAGGTTCCTTCCCTAGGGGATCATGGAGCTGTCAGGGGGTTGGGACCACTCCAGAATAGCGATATTTCAGCCTTGGCAACCCTATTTGTATGTAATACTAAGCAGAAGTCAATCGCCATACCGTTATAGCCAGGGAATGTCCATTTCCCATACAAATAACGATGGGATCCCGATTTTCTATCGCTAATTAGAGGATATCGCTAATCCTCTAATCGCTAATTGCAGGCTTGACTGTATACGGGATCAAAATCTATTCTGTCAAAGGTAAGATGGCCGGAGGTATATATGTAAATACCAATAATTACAGTCTGTCACTGTCAGGCAAGTTAAGGTACATACATATCTCAGCAATAGCAAACCAGAACCTCCAAGGTGAGTTAAGTCAGGAGTCCCAGTTTGCTGTGGTCAGCAGCCTTCTCGCTCATATTCCACACTCATAACAGTGCAGTGCACAGGTGGAGGATCTCAGGCGCGAATCACGATCCAGCCAAGGTTGTCAGTCGTTCGTTCAGAGTCTCTGACAGCATTATGGTCTGGTCGGGGAAAAGGGGTAGATACACCTCGTGCAGATTATTGGTGATCTACCTATCTAAGGCTTCTTCTAACATCCTTCAATATGGAGTAGACTCGGACCGGATGAAAAATGCTAGCTACCCCATCCCATTCCACTGGGAAACCAGAGACCGGACGGAAAATAATTAACAAAGCTCATGACCAGATGGAAACCAGAGAGAGATCATGCCAGTGCGTGACCCAATAAGGTATGCCAGGAACTCCAAACCATGCAATGCAACAAACCATGCCATACCCGTACATTATGCACACAACACAACATAAAAGGAGAAAGCCTCGCTGGCAAAATATGCACTGCAGTATTGCAAAGTGCAGAGTCCAATGCATGCATGCACGGGGTATCTGTTAGTGTTGGGTGAAAACCAAGCGAAACAAAGGTACCGCTGAACCAGTGTCTCAACCCGACGGGCCCATTTATATCATCACCACTTCCTCACAATCCAAATCACCTCACTTCTTTCATACCGGGGAATACGATTCCGCCGGCGGGTGCTCATGCAGCGAGTCAGGCCGACTAGAAGACCGCCTCTAGCGGTAATCCGTGTCGTCCATTACCTCGGGATGACTGCTTTTCCTCGCATGCGACGGCCACCTCGCCGGGCCGGCTTTGCCCCTGCTGACGCTGCCAGCATACACCACGTCGTCTTGAGTATAGCTGGAAGGGACGTCGCCAGCGGGGTTCGAGTTCGAGTTCAACTCGAGATCTTTCATCCCATACTGCTCGCCGCCCTCGGCGCGGGTCTTGTCGCGCAGCGTCGCAGCAATGAGGGCGCGGACGACGCCAATCAGCACCACAATGACATACACCAGCAGCAGGGCAGTCGAAATGAGCGCATCCTGTACGAGCCCATTCTGAAGCTTGCTGATGACGTAGTTGACGGCGTCGGTGATCTCGTCGGTGGTGACCGTCGAAGGCGAGGCCAGGAAGCTCGTCAGGTCGCTGTCGCCATTGACACTATCGTTGGCGCCCTGCGAGAAGATGTCGTTGGAAAACAGCGGCAGGCTGACGCGCGAGTTCTCGTGCACCCAGGTGAGCCCCTTTTGGATGGTCTCGACCTTGCGGGTGATGAGACAGCCCACAAGGTTGCGAGCCGTGTTGAGGAGCATAGTGTCCTTGAAGACGGCGTTGATGGCTTTGTCGATTTCGGCGTCGAAGACATTCAAAGTGTCGTTGACGGCCGACGTGGCGTTGTGAACCCAGCCAAATACGTCGTCGTTGATGTCGTCCTGAAGCTTGAGGATCACGCCGTTGGCGTCGTCTGCCCAGTTTGTTGACACTTGCTGGAGCGTGTTGACGACGTCCTCGGCGAAGTCGCCGACTTGGCCGGCGAGGGCGGGCGCCTCCTGCTGGATGGACCGCAGCAGGATATACTGGCAGAGGCAGGAAAAGAAACCGGCCATCGCGAGCGAGAGAACAAACAGCGCCGGAAGCGAGGTTGCATAGGCAATCGTCCACCGGACCAGCAGGTTGTTCTTGCCCTTGAACCTGGATGCGATCCTGATGCCGAATCCTGCCGTCATGGGTCTCGAGGCAAGGTATACGACATCCATTGGGTCGTAACCGCGCTCCGTAAACACCTTAGACCGCTCCTTTTCCTTGCGCCACCGCCGAATCTCCAGGTAGCCCATACCCACCATGGCCGAGATTGCCAGGATGGGAATGACGACGAAAAAGGCAATCTTCGCCTTTTGAACAATGTCGAACAGCGAGTTGAAGAAGTCGTTGAGGAACGTGTTGTTGGAGCAGAAAGACAAGGCCTGCTTCTGAGCAACAGGGAAGACAGAGTCATCAAAGCGATAGTTGCCCAGAGTCGAGTTAATCTGCTCTTTGACCAGATTGAAAGGGGTCGCGATGGCATCCTTGGCAAACTTTTCGACTTCGTCAAAGTTGGGAATTGTCGTGTTCAGGGATAGCAAATCCCGGACGAAATCGTCGGTGTTGATCTCGATGTTTTTGAGCTTGTCGAGCGATCCGCTGATGTCGAGGTTCGGGATGTCCACCAGCCCGCTCAAAAAGTTGGAGACCTGGTTCGCAAGATTGTTGATTCCATCCTGGACAGTTGAAACAGACTCTTGTATTTCACCTGTAATGCTCCCGATGGCATCGTTCATGACCTTGGTCGCTCCCTCAACCACCTTGACGGCGACGTCCAAGCCACCGTGGATCAAGGCCATGGCCACGCACACCCATGTCCCGACGTACATGTTGATGACGAAAAAGATCAGATTCTCAACGCCTGTCAGGATGAGCATCAGCACTTGCACCATTGCCGACACAGCCTTGGTGATGCCATCGGACGCGAGCGAATTTACGCCAACCGAGAGGTAATGCGGCATCGAGGCCATGGCGCTGCCGACATCTTCGACCTTGGTGCATGCCGACAGGGCTTTTTGCTTCGCTTCGGCGATATTTTCGTTGAGGCTGCCGGTCAGGATAATGACGCGAACCAAAACGAGGAGCAGCAGAACGGTCCAGCGGTTGAACCACAGCTGCGATAGCCTGGCCCGAAGGCCCAGGTAGGGCGTGATGGTCGGGGCGGTATGTGCGTGTGGTTCAAGTTGCGGTGCGGGTCCCCGCCCGCCGTCGAGATCGACCGTTTCCCAACTATTTCCGCTGAGGTTTGGGGGCAACGGAGGGACCGGGGGTATGTCCCTCGACTTCTTCTCGTTGTAAAACATCTTGATTAGGTGGTCAGGCCAGCCAACCAGGGAGGTCCAAGGCTCTGCCGGGGAGGTTTGAGAGTCGGTATTGCGAAATTACGGTAAACAAATTAAAGCCGTTTCTTGAAGTATAGACCAGCTATTTGAAGGAGAAAGGGAAAATCTTGAGATGGGAAGGAAATGCCAGCGAAGCACTTTCAAGCAGGAGTATTACTCATAGTGGTGTTGTTGAACACGTCGTGTCAAAGAAGTGAATGGGCAAAGGAGAGAACAATAGGAAAATGGCAACACAATAACAGTTTGCGATGGCAGAACAGCCCTCAATAAAAGGAAAACAGACGACGAAATCGTCGCAACAACCTGTGCATGACCAGTTCTTTGTTTCGGGCGCTCAAAGCCATTCGTTGCCGTGGGTCGCTCGCGAAGCGCTTGCCGCTAAGCGCCAGGGAGTTTCGCAGCCAGTCGTTTCTTTGTCGCAACGAACAGCGGCTCCCCAAACCCGAGGCTTAGCGTGAAGGCAAGCTGCTGATGTTTGGGCATCGACGGGTCCGCAATCCCATGCAAGGAACAGCGAACAGCGGAGGGAGCCTGTGAGTTGTGATTTGAGTTGCGGTGTGAAGCCGCACCCGGGCCAGGGCGACGCCATTTGCTGTTCCGCTCGGTGAGGTATGGTAAATCGTAACTAAGGTATTTACCCATCATGATGGCATATCAAGGGTCTTTATCACAGTATCGCTGGCAGTAGTGGGCATGCTAGCCATCACATCCCTTTCATCGATCGATGACCTCGGCGGGGAGAATGTGGAGAGGTGAGTCAAGAAGGTGCAGTGAGGTGAGCGACGACGCGGCTGTCCGGGAATTGCACAGTACAGTACAGTATCTTTTACTGTATCGGTCTGCCGGGCCGACTTCACTCTTTCCGCCGTCTGTTGTCAGTGGGGCTGAGAAACGAAACATCAACCAGCAACTTTACCGAACTCGTCTAGCAAGAAAATCGGGGGGACCTCGCCTCAGTCGACAAATCGATGTTTTCGGGCAAAATCGAAGGATAGGTAAAGACAAGGTCAGCAACATCTGGTCCCACTGCCAAGGCTGTTTGGGATCTGCGCCTGGCGGTGAAACGATTGGCTGCCAGTGATCCGATGCGCGGCTGTTGCTTCGCGCCCCACGTTCCAAAAGAGGTAATCAAGGATTAAGCTCCATTCGCGGTACCTCCGTATGTAACTTGATCTTAAGCGCCGCAAGCATGGAAAATGGCGGGGAACAATCCTGAACTGCTCCTTTTCGGACAATTGTGTCAGGTCACTTTGAGTCTTTGCGCTTGTTGAATCCTAAGCTGGGCAGACATAGCAAGTCCCGGCCCATTTACTGCTTGTCCTGGGATCACGTGACGAGTGACCCATGTGAGCAACACGTTTTTTCCATTCTTCAGTCACACAACTTCGAAGTCTACAGCCTTTCTCTTATTCCGCATACACAACACAGGGAGATCAATAATCCATTGAAGTCATAACGTTCTTTGGCATTGTCACTATTAGGATGCTTTGAACTTGCATAGCTATAAAGTCGGCGCCTTCAGCATCTCAAGTTCTCTACTCCTACCCACAAAATATTCGCCTTGGTCTCAACTTTGCTCTCGACCTCACGGTGCTCGACGGCCATTAACTCTCCATACTCTCCAGTATCGCTATAGGAAACCATCCCGCCATCTTGAGCCCCAATTTTAGCTCCAGCAGCGCCATGCCAGGCACCTTCAGATAATCTCGCATGTATATCGCCCATTTCCAATGTATTTGCCCTCGAGACTCCTATCCACTTTTAGTTCACCCCTCCGTACAGCGGATTCTTCCGTCCAATGCAGAAATGAATTGATCCGGTGATAGTCCTGCTCGTTTAGTACTCCAGCAAACCGATCCACCATCTTTACATCTATCTCCCCACAAGAGTACGGGTCATCTGCGATTGCTTTCCCTTGACTATCAGGGCTCAATCCGCAGGCCTTCTTTGTTCTTAGGAGCTGCATCCTTTCCTTCAATCCCTGTATCCGGGGATCATGTTTGGAACGCCTCTCCCAGGCCTTCCACGACCTTTCCCAAAATTGGACCAACAACAGTGCAGAAATAGGTTCCGCTACCTCAGAAGGATGTTCCTCCTCCTCTTCACCCTCTTCTTTCTCCTCTTCCTCCTTTTCCCCGTCTTCCTCCTCTTCCGAGTCCATCGTCCAGTTCTTCCATTTGTCTCGATCTTCCCGTACATAGAAGATTCCAATCCTTCGAAATTGTCCGGTGTTTTGGTAGACTGGTAGTAGCAGTAATCCACAAACCTCAAGAGTAACAAAGTCTCTCAATCCGACCTCAAAGGGGGCGAAGTGAACGGTGACGGACCGTACCATATTCTCCATATCCACTCCGTCCCACACAACTCTGGCTTTGACTCTGGTGGCGAACTTCTCGGTTCGCTGTTGGTCAGGAAAGAAATCGATCTCCCAGTCATAGCTAGTGTCTCCTTTCCTGACAAACGTCGCCTTGGTCAATGGACCCCGAAATCGTATCGTGCCACCGGTCACGGAGCCAAAGGGCTGAGATGACATTGCTGGTTTCATGTCGACCGCAAGTATCTCCACCAATCCCCCGCAGTGTTCGTTGATGGTCATCATTAAACCACCCTCTAACGAAGCCCAGGACCAGGAGGGGGCCGTATTTAGTGTTCGCCGCGTAAATGGCTCACGAACCTCCCATAGAAGACCGCTGCGAAGTCGATATGCCCATATTCCAGCGAAATGGCTGCTGCCGTCCCAGATCCTGCCTAAGTCCTCTGCTAACCCTGCAACGGCGACGAGTTTATCCGCCTGGTTGGTCAACTTCTTGAATGAGTATTCGTTAATTAATTCAAACCATGTGTCCATAAGCCCTGGGTCGGTTTTGGTCTCCAAGTCTTGCCAGTATTTGTGTTGTTTCAGAATCGCCTCGTTCCAGTTTACAGGTCTCGATTAAGGGAAAATCTCGCCGACTTGGAGTTCAGAACAATCCCAGTGTACCTCATCCTGCCCAGAAACGAGCAAACGCGTAGACAGGAGCCGCTCCTGAACCACCCAGCCCCTAGTGAATAGAATGAGACCGTGCCCCGGAGGGTACTCGAAGTGGGATCCCGCAATCCTCTCTTGGTTGCCTGACCCAACCGTTATCCGGCAAGGCACACCTGATAGTGACCGGTAGAAGAGACCACCGGTGCTGTCGGGCAATGCCCCGGCAGCGAGGTTAAGATACGAGTTTCGATATACTCGATGCATCTTGCTTGATTCCTCGGCCCAGTCCTCAGCTGAGTCTTGAACGATGCAAAGTGAGTCGATCCAAAGGAATGATATCCCTAGTCGTCGAGTTACCTCAATCGCATCTCTGAATGTCTTTGGCATCTCATGAAGTGCAATGCCGTTCAGGAACCAGGAGTAATTTTCTTTAAGAAGACGAATGGGCTTGACTCCTCCCCAGCAGTGACTCAATGTCATATATTCGTCCAAGTCGTCTCCGATGGTGTCGCATAGCATTACCGCATCGGCACCAATCTCTCCTACCCGAAGGAATCGCTTCGGCCGTTGTTCAACTGGAATATCTTTCATTCGAATACGGCGAGCGCGACAAGTAGCATGATTGCGCGAACAGTTATCGATCCAACTGTGTACTTGGTCCCAGCCGTCATCTGTTTTGGCGTCGATTAGACGAGGAAAGTTCGGGACTAGTAGCAAGATTAGTATGACATATTAGTTACTCAATGCTCGGGATATGATTTGGGATAGATGAACCAGAGGGGATTACTTAGGTCTGCCTGGAAGTTTAGGGTGAGGCGACCAAGGGGCACCCTCTTGTCGTCCAGGATGTCAATTTCGACGCCTATATCGGGATACCAACCCGTCCTTGCTACCAGAGGTTCTTCGCTTTCCGCGCTGATATTCTTCTCGGTGGCTCTCACAAGCAAATTGCAAACATGACATCCGCGAGCCGCCGAGTCCACAAGTTCTGCATGACTGTAGAACCTGTGCTCTGCGACCGGTTTCCCAGCTGGGATATTTCTAGTGATCGTGTCGCATCTCGAGCACAGGCGATTCAGGGCCAGTGGAATTTCCGGTGACACTGGCGTTGATGACGACGATGTTGACTTCGAGAACCTATTTTGGGAAAGGACTGTTTCCCTCCCATCCTCTTCGTCCCTTTGGGGTTCTCTTTCGGGCACGAGGGCGGCTGAGTCAACTAAGTTCGTAAGACGGCCGTTGTTCGACTAGGTAGCGGCAGAGACGATCGGGTCACTGTTTACCTAAGGGATTGACTTGTGGAGCCTTGTAGAGCTTAGGAAGATGCTTCACTGAAGTTCACTCCTTGGGTGTGGTGTTCGAACTGACCTGATGGGTTCCATTGAGATTTGGGATTACCGGTAGGCAGCGAAACCCCGCTCCAGGCTACCCGCCCCTGAACGGCAGTTGCACGTCCGCCGGGCTTACATACTGCTGAATGGTCGCCTTGTTGTTCTGCCCAGGTGAATGGTTCTGGTGCCTCGGATTGGTCTCCCACTTCAAGTTGGCCAAGCAAGTGTTCAATAGTCGTACATTGCATACCTTAGGCCAAATCCTCTGTAGGACGCCATGCAGCCGCTCCACATCTCTCTTTCTTCCAATACCAAGCAAACCTGAAGGTCTGAAAAGCAGTGATAGGATCTGGACATCTGGTCGTAGTGTGGGTTGTAGGAGTGAAGGTTGAAAACCTGAAGCCAAGTCCTCGCTGCCTCTCTGGTGACCATTGAAATGAATACAGAGGTTTCTCCCAGTCTTCGTTCCTTCCTGACAGAGGTGTGGGCAGGTACAGGAAGATCCCGACGGTCCAGACCAAGGCACAGTTGCTCCTTCCACTCTTCAGGTCCTACCTACCTGACTTCTCAAGTCTTCGTAATGGCGGCTGCCCATAATGATATATGGCTTCTTAGTAGAGCCGGTCAAACACCCTTAAGGCGTTGACCCTGCTGAGTCACTGACCTTTACCCAGGACGCAGTGACTCCTGTCGAGAACGCCGGCGTCAAATTATCAAACTTGAGTCGATCTGGCAGATTACGAAGCATGTGTGCAATGAGAGACCAAGTCCCGTGTCTGAAGCGCGTTCTTGCCGAGCAAACTAACTGGGTTGGGCTGGTGAAGCCAGCAGGGTGAGACGAGTCGGACTAGGTATTGGTAGCATGGCTCTTTGAAGAGATCTTGCCTTGACTGCTCATCGATTGCGCGATGTCCTTGCCAGATTGGCACATTGATAACCTAATCTGCCGGGTGTCCTGTTACATGAGGCCGGGGTCTCGGACGGGAAGAGGCCTGTGCAAGCGGGAGGAGGACCATGTTCCATCAGCTTGAATTCGAAGATAAGGAGAAGCCGATGAGCACGGCGGATAACACACACCGAACACTCCTCATGAGATTTCGGTAGTTGGTCAGTAACCGTCAAGTAGGGTTAAAGAGTTCAAGGCGTTAAATACAAATGATGGCATTGCTTCTCTGCCTTCAACTCTGGAAGTTGAGGTCTCTCCGCCGACTCTTGATTCTCGTCCGACTTACCAGCCTGAGATTACACAAACGGCACCCCTCAAACCTTGTTGACTGATCAGTCACGATTCAACCTACCCCAGAGAAACAAGCAGCAACGCGAGAATCACCATCACAGCAACCATGCCCCCCTCCCTACACCCACTGATCGACAACGGCCTCACCAAAGGCTCCCCCTCCGAGTCCTTCCCCGGCGGCACACTGCACTGCCTCTGCCCCAGTTCCAGTTCCAACTCCCCAGTCGAAATAACCCTCTCCAGCAACGTCTCCCACAACCACTTCTGCGGGTGCTCCAAATGCTGGAAACCGTCCGGGTCCCTCTTCTCCCTCGTCGGCGTGATCCCCAAAACCCACCTCTCTGTCACAGCCAACGGCCACAAACTGGCAGTAATCGACAACAGCGCCGCCATTTTGCGCTACGCGTGCAAAGACTGCGGGACACACATGTACGGACGCATCGAGAAGGAACATCCCTTCTACGGGCTCGACTTTGTGCATGTTGAATTGTCGGACCAGAAGGGATGGCAGGAACCGCAGTTTGCTGCGTTTGTGTCGTCTATTATCGAGCAGGGGTTTGATCCCAGGGGTATGGATGAGGTGCGGGCTAGGTTTAAGAGTCTTGGGTTGGAGACGTATGATGCGCTTTCGCCGCCTCTTATGGATGCGATTGCTACCTGGACGGCGAAGAGGGCTGGGAAGTTGTCGCTATGAGGATCTTGAGCGGAGTGGAATCAGGGTCGGGAGAGGTGATGCTGGATCTGGGCAAGCATGGGGGTTCAGGAGTCACTATGGGGCCAGTATCGGGCTTGATTCCTGTATATGGTGACTCTGTATCGAGAATAATCAAAGCTGAAAGAATTAATGTTAGGCTTCACGCAGTAGTGTCCATGGGGCTGCAATGATGTTGAGTGACAGAGTACACGCAGAGGACAATTGGCGATACCTATCGGCGCTACATTTCTGGCACTAATGTAGTCGCGTGTAAATGCCCACGGAAGACATCAACCAGGGACATGGAAGTTGGAAGTAAGTGTAGGACTGACAAGCAAATGTAACAGAATCGATGGCTGATCATCTTTTGAAATCAGCCTGACAATGCGCCCCTTTTTGGACTTGGACGCCACAACGCCATGACAAAACTTTGTGGAAGGAAAATCCACTCCCTACAACGCCTAAACTTGCTCCACAAAGGCATCATTTGCGGTGATGCCCACCTTGGCGAGGTTGGCTGCCATATGCTCTCCTTGCTTGTGGCTTCTTATCCCGACTCAGGCTTGCTGACAGCGTGATATCGACCCTAGGCGGCGTGGCGAAACCAAAGCTCTGTGAATCAGGTTAGCTTGCCTACGTTGGAGCAGCTTGGACTTGGAGTTTCTCACCTTCGCCACCTTGGCCAAATCAAGCTTGTGGATGTCAAACACGCTCCGCAGACTGTGGGATGCGTAGGCGTGGAGGTAGGATCGGAACCCGTCCTTGGCGCTTTGGTTCAGGTAGTAGTTGCTCCCAATGAGTTTCTCCAACTGAGACTGCACATTGAGGATTTTGTTCTTGGGGAAGTCGTATTCCACCACCGGGACCTTGGCAGCCTTCAGATGGGCGAGAAAGCCAAGCTCACTGGGCTGCAAGAAGAGCAGCGACCGACCCTTGGAATTGTTGCCCCGCGCTGTCCGGCCGACACGGTGGATGTAGTCGCGGGGATCGTCCGGTGGATCGAATTGGACAATCCAGTCGACTGCCGGAATATCAAGACCCCGAGCCGCGACATCAGTGCAGATAAGCGTGCCCTGCTTGGCGTTGCAGAATTCGAAGAAGGTGTTGGTTCTCTTTTGCTGCTTCTGCTTTCCGTGGAGGTCGAGAACCTGCAGATCAATGTACTGCAGAAGCTCGCTGTAGTACTTGACCGAGTTGCAGGACGAGAAAAAGACGATGACCTTCTTTTTGGCCATCTTTTTCAGGAACGAGAAGAGCAGAAGGAAGCGCTTATCAGCCTCCACAACAACATATCCCTGGTCCAGCCCTTCCACCGTGCTGTGTTGCTTCCCTTCGTCAACGTTGATGTAGAGAGGTCCTGGCCGAAGAGAGATTCTTGCTAGGTCCTCGACCTTTGTTGTCTGGGTAGCCGAAAAGAGCATCGTCTGCCGGTTTTCCTTGGGGAGGATCTTTACGATTTGGCGCATTTCATCCTCAAAACCAACCTCCAGAATCCGGTCGGCCTCGTCGATAATCAGGGACTTCAAATTCTTGAAGACGAATGGTGTTGATTGGAGATCTAGGGAACATAATGTCAGAGTCCGTCACACGCAGCAATCACGAGTAGTAGAACGAAGAACGTACGGTCAAGCAGTCTCCCGGGTGTGGCAATGAGGAGGTTAACGCCCTTCCCAAGCTTCTCGGCCTCGGCCCTTCTGTTAGCTCCTCCAATGACAACTCCATCTGGACAATCCGTCAGCTTGATTTCTAGGCGCTTTTGCGTTGGCCAAAAAGAAGTTAACTGAGCCCTTACAAGTCTGCGAGTGGTTTTTCATCAACTCCCGCGCAACCCCAAAAATCTGCAGCGCCAGTTCGCGCGTCGGGGTGACGACAATAGCACCAGTTCCGTTTCTCGGCTTGAAGCGGAGGGCACTGAGCATCTCAACGACGGGGATGAGAAAGGCAAGTGTCTTTCCAGACCCAGTCTTGGCTGCCCCCAGCACGTCTTTGCCCGCAAGGAGAGGAGGTATGCCGCGCCGCTGGATTTCGGTCATCTTTGTGAAGCCCATCTCTGCAATGGCGCTCATTGTCTTCTCGGAGAGGTTCAGCTCAGAAAACGCCTCGGCGTCGGTCGAAACGGGGGGCGGGAGCAGCGCGCCATCGTTTTTCGGTATCTCATCTAGATCTGCCGACTCGTCCCTGTCGTTCGAGTTCTCCTCGCGTCTTCCATTGTCCACTTCTGCGGCATCCTCATCAAGATCCTCCTCGTGCGTGCTTTCTGCGCTATCGCTGGCGCTTCCAGCATCGCTATCGCTTTCAGCATCGCTTGTGTCGGGTGTCGGATCGCTCTTTAACTTTTTCACCTTCGAAGCAGAGGCGGAGGATTCAGAGCTGACGCCCTTGGCGTCCTTGAATTTCCTCTTTTTGCTGAGATCGGAAGCCATGATCACGTTGCAGCTCGTACCCCAGTCGCAAGTCTTGGACAATGTTCTCGTTGTGGTGTCTGGAATTTTTTTATCGTCGAATCTTATCGAGGACTGGAGGGCAGATAGCGAGTGGGGGACCAATCGTCCTGACTCCCGCAGCAGTCAGGACCCGCACACCGCAGTTCCTGGAATCATGGCATCTCCATGCATCGCCCGGCGGGGGCGGGCGCTCTGGGGCTCGGAAGGGGTTTTGCCGTGTTCCGTTTCAAAGTGGAGCATCCGGTCGGGCCAACGGCGGGGTAGCTTGATTACATAATGTGAAGTCCCCTCGGCCGAAAATCGGCCGCTTCGGTTACGAGCTTGCCCGACACCCTTAACCTTCAAGTCCTCTATTGTACATACAACCCTGAGAACTCGGAACTGCACCCCACACTTTCGGTGACCAGGTGAATCGTCTACTTGGATTCTTGCTCGCTTCCAGCTGTACATTCACTCACGACGTTTGCGGCGCGTAGCGTCTCGGAAAAGTGTGCTGGACTGGCCACCCCAAGATGCTCTGTTAGTCTGTCCATCGCCCTCTCACCAAGCTGTCTCCGCGTTCTGCTTTCAAAGCCTTTTCTTCGCCATCTTGACTTCGCCCACCGTCTCGCACCTCGCATCCCAATCTGCGGTACTCATTAATTAAATATATTGCTCCCGACGCACGGTGCCTCGGGGTTCTCTATAGTCCTGGGTCTTGGTTCCCGACTATTGAGGTGATCAATTTCCAGCCGCGTCTGACGTTTCACCAAGGTAGGCAGCTCATTTGGCTTGGGCTGAGCATACCTTGACCTATTCTCCAATGTATTGACCGAAGACATCTTTGAACGACGCGGTCAGCATTCATGTCACTCATCTCGAAGCTCTGCCAAGTCAGTGGACTTAGTTTTCGAGAGGCATCTCCCTCTCTCGCGAAACTGAAAACTGCCGGAGCTAAAAATAGACGCGCGATTCCTCATGGTTACATCTTCCCAGAGATCAATTGCTTGGGTTTCGTTTCCACAGATCGGTTGAAACCTTCTGTCACGATGTGAGCTCAGCGACCTCGGACCGTCTACAGCTTGAGCGACTTCCGGAATGCGGCACCGTGGGTGATTGAACGAGGAACGGCGAGCACCAAAGGTGTCCGACATAACTGCTTACCTAACGTTCCGGTCAGCTGGGCAGGCCAAGCTACTCCATCTTCTTGGACAGCATCCTGGGAGTTCACCATGCACTACGCTTAAACTGCTGAGAGGCTTCAACCTGGGATGTGTCCTGCGTGGAATCGGCATCGTCTTACCCCATTGGAGCTGCGTCCAGGCATCGGAGCATGATTTTGTTCCCTTCCTGCAACCTAATGGCATCCTCGGGGGCGCAGACACGGCTCAGGCCGGCCCATGTAGCATCGTGGGCATCACAAGTCCGCCTTCATTGGCCGGCACCGGATGGCAAGACGGCAGGTGCTTGCAAGGTTGTCTCTGGGGAAGGATTCAGAAGATGGAAGCTGCCTCTTTCTTGGGCCAGCCTACAATTTCCGACGTCCCTACCTTCCTACGACGGCAAGTCGACGTCACACTTTAGCGACGCCCAGAGGGATGGGTCGACACCGAGCACTTGCCCCATGCCTCATCGCGAGTGTCGTCCTGACTCAGCTGCATCGGCAGCTGCTCCGGCAGCTAAGGTAGGAAGGTGTAAGGGAGCACCGGGATCGTAGTATAAAAGGGGCGTTCGTTTTCTTCTGGCTAGGCCCGAAGATCGACAGCAGCAGTCCCAGAGCTCGAACATACCTGGTAGCACCAAGACACCTGAGCTTGTGCATCCGATACACCATCCCTTCCGGAAGTCCTTCAACGATGAAGCCTATCGCTCTTCTTTCCCTCGTCCTCGGCGGCGTTGTTGCTCTTGAGGCCAGTGGAGTCGATGGCGGCGCACAGGGCTTGAGCAGGCGGACTGGAAGGCCTATCAAGTTCTCCGGCCGTGATGTTCCGCATGCGATGAACAAACTTGCTGACGCACCATCCGGGTTCACCATCTCGACCGTGGAGCCCACGGAATTCCGCTCCAAGGCAGCACTCAACAAGGTGCCGGTCGAATTCATCGAGCCCAGTTTGAGGCGTCGGCGCGAGAGCTTCAAAGTCCTCCAGAAGCTGCGTCGGCAAGTCTTGGTCAGCGACTTCTTTGAGTGCACAAACCCAGTAAGCCACCCTTGCAACAGTCATGACAATTGAAGTCCAGAACCGCTCACCAAACCCCTCCCTCAACAGAGCCGCAGGCCCGCTACAGCAGACTGCGATGTCATCATCAACCAGCTCCTCTCAGAGAGCCAGGAGTTCATTGTCGACGCCAACGCCTGCCTCGTCTTCTCGTTCAGGACGTGCCAAGGATTCTTCTGCTCGCTCTGCCAAACGCTGAGCACCACATCCGACTTCATTGGCAGCCAACTTGACACGGTCGATGCGCTTTGTGTCGAGAATGGCCAGGCTGGTACCATTGTTGGCGAGGACCCGCCGCAGTGGGATGCTGGTTTCACCTTCGCGGGAGCCCCCTTGCCAACATTTGATGTCTGCTGATAGCAAAGGGTTTTGCGGCGATGGCGCCCCAAGGCGGCGGCTGAATAATAGCTTGGGAATGTTCAGGTCTAGCGGTTGGGTCACTTGACCTGGTCATGCATCATATTCTGTTTGCAATTTTGCATGAGAGATTTGGGTCAAAGGTCGAGGTTGTCAGGGAGTCATGATCGTCAGGAGATGAAGCGCAGGGCCATAGTGCCCACAGCAGTCGTTTCTGATGCTCACATTACCTAGGTATTAACAGAGTTATTACCCATATGATCGTGCAGCGTCTGTGAGAGCAGTGTAAGGCCTAAATTGCTTCATTTATCCGTTATCGCTGCTTGATGTTATCGCTATCGTTATCGCTATCGCGCTTCACGATTCCACACAGCTTTCCCTCACAGGCCAAACTGAGAAATTCCAACACATTTAGTTGTTAACAAGCTCAACTTAGCCCTGCAAACAGAGTGCTTTCTTGTCCACAACCTTTTTCTCCTTGGAAAGATTGGGCTTCCTCGGCTTCGTACTGTACAGTTTCTCAACTCAATTCATTGAGCTGCTCTCTCATGCCATGTCAGCAGTTCAGTGGGGTAGTCTCCAGCCATTGCCCCCACAAACGCCCGAGACCCCGCCATCGGGTGGAGGTTCAAAGTTCAAACCCGCAGAAATGGAACCGCCCCATCTCGCCAATGCCCAAATCCCGTGGTAAGAAAGGACGAGAGATTCTAACAAGTCGAATACGGTAGTTAAGGCTTTCCTTCCAGCCAGCATTAGGTTTCTGTGAGTTAAAGCGGCTTGCCTCAGGCGGGTTACCGACAGTCCTAACCCCCACTGAACTGTTGTGGCTGTCACAGGGCTGGGCGCCCGTCGACAAAAGCCAAGATGCGGATGGGGACAAAGTTTACGACATGAAAATGCAGCCTTCCTTTCACCCAGGGGCATGCATGCGAGCGACTGGTCAGCTGGGTCCCTTGGCACTTGCCGACCGCGCGGAGATATGGGGTTTGGGATCACTGCCGAGCCTTTCGATGTTGCTGCACGCCTTCCGGTTTCAGCCGGCATTGCTATTAAGGTATTTGTACCTTCGTTAAACGGTAGGAGAGTTGCACAAACCGTCCGCAGGTCTCGCTGCTAACTGGATCTCAGCTACACGGGAGCTATAGGCTGGTTGCTTCGTCGAGTGGCGAGTTCGCATTTTCATTAGTTCGGGGAAAGGCCCCTACGCAGAAGAACCGCATCAATCACGTCACCCGTGTCTCTGGAACAATGACAGGAACACAGCGGCTCGAAGATGGCGGTCTGTGAAAAATGCCACACAACGCTGAGAATCCGCTGGACATGGCCATGTGGCCTGAAGAAAAAGACATCTCCTCCCTCTCGGTCCCCACCATGCCTGGGGCATTGGCATTACCCCCCCTTGCCCTGCCCTGTTCACCACCTGGCTGGGCTGTAACTGTTAGGGCCTAGAAGGCCTGAAGCTGTTGCCCGTAGCCAGTATGGAGTAGCCACCGCATGCTAAAAATGCGGGTCCAGCATACCGCCCCTTGCCCGGCCGAGATCCCGCCCTAGGAATTCCGATGCAGCGGGAAAGTCGTGCGGCCGTTCAGTAAAGTGCGAAACTACGAATCGAACCTTAGCTTCTCTGCTGGTGGCTGCCTCCACAGGTCGACATCACCCAAGATCGTCTCCGCCCTGAAACTGCGTGCACCATTTCACTTGCGCACCGTCGACCCTCGACTCGAGTGACGTCGAATCCGGAAGGCGGCCATAGCACCAAAGAAGCACTGCTTGGCCAGCGGCAAAAATTCAAACCCCCACGAACTCTCACGCGATCAACCACTGCCGGAATCTTCCACGCCGGCAACCCCAAAACCGGCCGCCGCTTCAGACCCAATTCGGCTGCTACATGTCTCGGCTATCCATTCTGCCCTCGTCCACCTCCAGATCGTTGATACAACGGCTGTCACGCAGTAAAGATGGCCCCAAAGACTAACGGCGTCGGCATCCAGCCCGAGGACACGCGCATCTGCGTTGTCATGGTTGGCCTGCCGGCCCGAGGCAAAAGCTACATTGCGCAGAGAGGTAAAACCAATTCGCCCCGCTGTATCACTCTAGGATATGCTAACCATCTCTTATCTGCAGCCCAGCGCTACCTGAAGTGGCTGTCGATCCCAGCGGCGACCTTTAATGTGGGAAACTATCGCCGCTGCGATGCGCCTCATCCGTCGGCCGACTTCTTCGACACCAACAACGCCGAGGGCGAGCGAAAGCGCCGTGCAGCCGCCGAAGCCGCAGTGTCGGACATGTTGAAGTGGTTCAAGAGCGGCGGCGTCGTGGGCATTTTGGACGCGACCAACAGCACAAAGGAGCGCCGCAAGTGGGTGCTCGACCGCATTGGCAGCGAGGGCATCGAGGTCCTGTTTGTCGAGTCCAAATGTGACGACGAGGAACTCATCATGGCCAACATCCGCGATGTTAAGACCACCAGCCCGGATTACGTCGGTCAGGACCCTGAGGAGGCAGCGCGGGACTTCCGCAACCGCATTCGGAACTACGAGAAGGTCTACAAGTCCATCAACGAGGACGGCGACGAGGATCATTTGACCTACCTCAAGATCATGAACGTCGGCAAGCAGGTCTTTATCAATCGCATCAAGGACTATCTGCAGAGCCGCGTTGTCTACTACCTTATGAACCTGCACATCCGCCCGCGCTCTGTGTGGCTCTCTCGGGTAAGATCGGAGATTGAGTGGGAAGCAGTTTTTCGCATCAGATTTGCTAACACTTCATTTAGCACGGCGAGTCTATGCTCAACCTCGAAGGTCGCATCGGCGGAGATTCCCCGCTCTCGCACCGCGGCGAAGAGTATGCGTGTAAGCTCCCAGAGCTCGTCCTCGAGTCTGTCGGTGTAAGTGCCAAAGAAACCTTGCCCTGGTTGCGTGTGCCAAGCCGGGACACGACTCTGACCCACCCAGTCCCCGCCCATCCTCGTTGGCTCTGCGTTTCACGTGTCGGATGCTCCAGGCTTGCAGACTCTACATTTTTTGGCTTTGCTAACATTCTATCGCAGAGCGACCGCCCGTTGACGGTCTGGACATCGACCTTAAAACGGACCATTGCCACGGCGCGCCACCTGCCCAAGCATTACAACCAGCTGCAGTGGAAGGCACTGGACGAGCTCGACGCTGGCGTGTGCGATGGCATGACATACCAGGAGATCGCCGACATGTACCCAGAGGACTTCCAGGCGCGCGACGAGGATAAGTACAACTACCGATACCGCGGCGGCGAGAGCTACCGCGACGTGGTGATTCGGCTGGAGCCCATCATCATGGAGCTGGAGCGCAGCGAGGACATTCTCATCATCTCGCACCAGGCCGTGATCCGGTGCATCTATGCCTACTTTATGCAGAAGTCGCAGGAGGAGAGCCCCTGGGTCCCCGTGCCCCTGCATACCCTCATGAAGCTGACCCCGCGGGCCTACGGCACCGAGGTGCAGACATACCGTGCTAACATTAAGGCTGTCAGCACCTGGCGTGGCAAGGGCAGCACGGCTAAACATGAGGATCCCACCCCGGAGGGTGGCATTTGAGTTGCACGCTGTTGCATACTGCTATGCTCGGTTTCAGGGTTTGGGGATGGGGAATGGGGAATGGGTTTTTTCTTTTCTACTATACATGGGCTCGGTGCAAAAAGGGAAAAGGTTACTAGGTAGCATGGTTTCCGATGCGGTTGTGGTTGCCGGCGCTTCGCCAAACGACAACCACGCTGTTGGGAGCAACATAAACAGATGATTGGGCAATGGGCACTCGAGGGGGGCTGATGGGTTGCGGAGCTCAAAGCGGCAGGCAACCGACTGTCCTACTTCCCTCCGTTGGTCCAACATTCATAAGAATCCGGAGCGAATTATTAGATTCGTTAAGAATACTAAGCTGCGGATTTTTTTTCTGATGCCTCTTCCCCGCAGTGGTGCAGTGTCTACCATCATCAAGTCTCTGAATGTGACTTGCTCGATTTCCTTCTTAAGTTGAACTTCCCAGCTCATTGTTCTCAACATTACTCTCCATATTTTTCTACCTTCACTGACCGGTTCAAGACTTTACACTCATGGCTCCCAAGATCTCAAGCTCCAGCGACTTGCAGTCCCTAGCGGAAGAGTTCGAGGTTGAGAATGGAGCCCACAAATTCAAACGCACCGTCTTTGCCGCGCTCGACGACGACGATGTCGCATACTGGGGCGCAAAAGAAGGCATCCGCAAATACTTCATCTCCCCCGAAGAATTTGAAGCAACCCTCCAGCCAATCCCAGATGACTGGATGTTCCCAGATCTCACGGATGATCTTGCCAAGGAGATCACCATCGCGGACACCGACGACGGCAGTGTCATCGCCAGCGAGGACTTGTTCATCAAGCGCCCCAAGCTCAGCGCATACGACCCGGAAGAGGTAGGCAGGTACCTGCCTTCAGCACCAAGAATGCTGCTTGAAGAGATTCATATCCTCGAGACCTTGTCCAAAAACCCGCATCCAAATATCGTACGCTACCACGGTGCCCGTGTCCGTCGCGGTCGGGTAACAGGCATCCTCCTCTCCCGGCACAGCACTACCCTCGATTCCATCGAGAACAACAAACCCCTCAAGGAGTCCCTAGACCGGAACAGAATAACGACCGATCTTGAATCCGCCGTCGCGCATTTACATGCGCTGGGGCTTGCGCATAACGATATCAACCCGACTAATATCCTCATCGGCAGGGATAAGGAGGCTGTGTTGGCGGACTTTGGATCGTGCCAGCCGGTGGGGAAAGGGTTGATGTTTTCGAGGGGAACGCCCGGGTGGATGGATGAGGGGAGTAATTATGAGACGTCGGAGATGAGGCATGATTTGGTTGGGTTGAGGAAGGTCGGGGAGTGGATGGAGAATGTGTGGGAAGGGAAAAAGACGGGGACGGGGTCGTATCCGCTGGAAGGGTTGCCGAGGGAGTTTTTGGAGGCGAGAGGGCTTGCTTAGGTGACAGGTGTGGATGTTCCGAGTCATCATGATAGAGGGTGGATAGTGCCTTGAGACCGGTTGGAGGCGGAGGTTGATGTGAGGCAGGACTGAGGAATGGCTTTCTATTGTTGACGCGGACTCGAGATGAACGACTACGGCGAATTCTCCGTCGCCGTGGACAAGGCGAACATGGTCTGTGGACGAGAGAATGCGAGGGGGTATAGCGTGCAAAAAAAGACATAAACCGGCATAAAGCTCAGGCGGGGGTCACGGTTTCATAGAACAGTTCTCCAAGCTGGGTCGGAGGGGCTTTTCCTCGAACCGAACTCGAACCGGGAACCTCCCGCCCTACGAAACCGTGCACAACGATTTCATAGTTAGCTGAAATATCCACTCGGCCACTACAGAGTCAAACTTGCTTGATCTCGGACGAAACGATGGCTATATACTCTCCTCGCTGCCACATCCTCCGAGCTCCTGACCCCTGGGTTGTGTTGCCTGGGTTTGATCATCTAGGTATCTAGCATTTGGATATACCCGAGGATCAGAGATGGCGAGTTGTAGATGATACCTTAGTGGCTGGAGACTACAAAAAGAACAGTAAAGGCAACGGATTGTAGAATGCTGGCACCTGGCAGCAATACTAGGTAGGATAGTACCCTAGCTCAGGCATTCTCGGCCACACAACGGCTCTCCGATGCGAGAGACGAAGATATGATCACCGCAGTGCAGAGTATAGGCGCCTTGATCTTTTATGTGTACATACCACTTGAGATTTGTCTATTCTTCGTGTTACTAATCTATCACTTAGGTGACGAAACAGGTCTGCCAAAAGACTCAACTCTTCTACGAAACAGGTGCCCGAACACCAAAACAGAAAACATCCCTAACTTAGGAGACAACTGGAAAACAAACCAAGGACACCAGAAACCATCAAATCCAACTTGAACTCCAAGACAGCATTCCCAACCTAACCACGTCCTCACCCAGTCACCCCCTCCAAAACTACTCACGCCCCAGCAACAGCCAACACAGCCTTGCTCCTCTTAACCACCTTGCCCGCTAGCTCCGTCAACGACGAGCTCCCCAACAAATCAAAAATACTCATCTCAATCTGCGCCCTCGGCACCAGCCAATTCCGCAACTCCACCGCCACAAGCGAGTCAACCCCGTACCTAGTGAGCGGCTGCGCCGGATCAATCTCATCCACCGGAATCACAAACATCTCGGCCAGCTTATTCACCACCGCGCGCTCCACCAACCCGGCCGCCTCATCCGACGAACTAGCGCCCGCCATCTGCTCGTGCAAACTCGCCTCCCTTCTAACCCCGCCCTTGCCGCCGGCGGTTTGTTTACCAGCGCTCCCCGCTGGCCTGCGCAGCCCAGCAAATCTTGGTTCAGCAGTCCCCAACGACCCGCCGGTGATACCAGCAGCGACCTGCGCGGTACGAACCGGCCTGCGCGGGGTACGGATCGCGTAGTCAACCAGCGCCAACACCTCGGACTCTTCGAGCGGGCGATGGCCGGATTTGATCAGCCTTTCCTTAACCCCGTCCGTCTCAGCGACGAAACCGACCGAGTTAACAATGCCCAGATCAATAGACACAGCCGGCAATCCCTGCGCAGCGCGGTGTCGGGCGAGCGCGTCCTGGTACGTCCCGCCCGCGGCGTAGTTGGATTGCGACGTGCTGCCGAGGACGCCGCTGGCTGACGACAAGAGGATGAAGAAATCTATCTCGTCCGGGTTGTGGAATAGAGTATCCAGGTTGCGTGTGCCGTCGAGCTTCGGGTTCATGGCGCGCAGCCATTGGGGGTATGTCATGCGCTCGAGGATGGAGTCGTCCAGCACCATGCCGCCGTGCACCACGCCGCGGATGGGAGGGAGGCCGGCGGCGCGGCACTCGGCGAGGACGGACTGGAGCTGGGCCATGTTGCCCACGTCGCAGTTCTTGACGAGCACGCTGGCGCCTGTCGCGGCGAGTTCCTTGCCGATTTTGGTTGTGTCGGCGCGGGTGGCGGCGCTGCGCGAGACGAGGAGGAGGTTCTTGGCGCCGTGGTCGAGGAGGTACCACGCGATGGACTGGCCGATGCCGGTAAGGCCGCCGACGATTAGGTAGGTTGCGTCCGGGGAGAGGTCGGCGAGCTTGCGTTCAGGGGCGGTCTGGGAGGGGCATGTCAGCTTTAGCTGGTACTGTGCTTAAGATCTGCGCGCGCGGGGTTGCTCACCTTGACGACGTCGTCGGCACTCGGGATCAGAACAAGCTTACCAATGTGCTTGCCAGCCTGCATAGCACGGAAGGCGCGCGCAACATCTGCCAGCGGGTAGCTCACGACGGGCGAGATGTTGCGGATCGTCTTGGTCTCGAGCAGGCGGATGACCTCCTGCAGGATGCGCTGGATGACGCGGCCCTTGTTGTCTGCCAGCTGAACAACATCCACATGAATAAATGACAAGGCCCGTCTGAAGGGCTCCATCTCGAGGGACTTGTTGTGGTGGATATCCTTCTTGCCGATCTCGACGAACCGGCCATGGGGAGCCAGCACGTTCCAGCTCTCGTGCAGGAGCTTGCCGGCTAGCGAGTTGATGACAATGTCGACGCCCTTACGGCCGGTGGCATTGAGCACGTCCTCGGCAAAGGAGGGGTCGCGGCTGGAGAAGATGTGATCGTCGGCAAGACCGTACGTGTTCTTGAGGAAGTCGCGCTTCTCCTGGGAGCTGACCGTGGCGAACACCTCGAGACCGATCCACTGGCAGAGGATGATGCAGGCCTGGCCAACACCACCGGACGCCGCATGCACAAGAACCGTCTCACCAACCTCCGCGCGGCCGGCATCAAACAGCGAGAAATACGCCGTCACAAACACAATGACGAACGACGCCGCCGTCTCGTAGTCCATGTGGTCGGGAATCTTGGCAACCGAAGTCCATGGAACCCGGGCACGGTTGGCAAAGTGGCCATGGACTGTCAGCGCGCAGACGCGGTCGCCGACCTGGAGCCCCTGAGCCGCAGCCTTTGGCCCAACCCGGGTGATAACACCGGCGCACTCGACGCCCATCTCCTGCTTCTCGTTGAGCTGGCCCATGGCCGCCATGACGTCACGGAAGTTCAGCCCGAACGCCTTGGGCTCAATCTCAACCCAGTCCTCTGGCAGCGGAAGGCGGGCATCGGGATCGTCCCGGAAGATGATGCTATCCAAAAGCCCGGGCACGTCAACATGCATGCGCAGACTGCGGCCGGGCTGGATGAACTTTTGCATCTCGGGTTCCTTCTCGTCGCTGTTGTAAAAGTCCTCGTTCTCGACCGTGTCGGGGTGCATCCGCGGCACGAGGATTTTGGAGTCCCGCTCGGCGTATTCCGTGTCGAACGTCCCGCTCTCCTTGCTAAAGTCCAGTGCGGTCTGGAACACTTTTGTAATGGCATCTTGGCTGGCGGCAGTCCACGCCGAGCGGGCAGGGTCCAGATCGAGCGAGACGTAGCGTTTGCTGAGATCCTCGACGCGCGCGGTACGCAACAGACCGACGTGCAGTGCGTTCTCGGGCGTCGGCGCATCCACGGCTGAGCCCTTGGTTACCCACAGCAACCCCTTGCAGCTCGTCACGAGGGATTTAATGGCGGTGAAGCTCTGCTCATCAAACGCCTGCGGCGAGCCGTCCAGGCCGGACAGGAAAATGCAGACCTTGCCAGCGGCATTAAGGGTGGCAAGATCGGACAGCGTGGGCGTGACGCCAGTGGTGCGCACGATGCTCTCCATCAGGCTCTTGATCCATTCCGTCGGAGGAGGGTTGTCGCCATACACCAGCGTCACCTCGTGCTCAAACGCTTGCTTGCCGGCGGCGGGGATGGCCGTGGACAGGATGCAGCTCATGGCCTGGTGGGTTGTGTCCTCGCAGTCCCAGACATTGACGTCCAAGCCGGTGAAGCCAGTGCCCTTGAGAATCCTCTCCCACGACTCGAGCGGCATGTTGGGGCTGTACTTTCGCTCGGGCTCTTCGCTGAGCCACCAGCCGGGCACGTTGCCAAAGATCAGGTGCATGTCGGGGCTGTCGCGGGTCGTCTCGACCAGGATGAGCTTGCCGCCGTCCTTGAGCAGCCGGCGCACGTTGGTCATGGTGTTGTTCATGTTCTTGGTGGCGTGGAGGACCTGCGCGGCAATGATGATGTCGTAGGAGCCCAGCTGGAAGCCCTGCTTCTCGGGATCTTGCTCGATATCCAGAGTCGAGAAGCTGATCATGTCACCCCACGCAGCGAAGCGGTCCCGAGCAGACTGGAAGAAGCCGGCTGAAATATCCGTAAAATCGTAGTGCTCAAACTGGGCAACCGCAGCGCCTTCTTCACCTCCCAACGCCGTCAAGACGGGTATCGTGCAGCCACCAGTGCCGGCGCCAATCTCCAAGATCTTAGCACGGGGATTCTCAGCCGCAATCGCGCGAACAATCTCGCCAGCCTGCGCCGTGGACCGCGTAAAGTGCAGCAGATGCTGGTAGAACTTGTACAGCAGCTGTCCTTCCAGCATCAGCTCCAACGGCGCCACCTGCTTGCGCATGATGGGGACAAGGTTCTTGCCCATGCGAACAGCCAGTTCGCCATTGACGCTCGAGACCGCCACTCTGTCGTAGAGCATCTGCTTGACACCCTCAGACGAGTTCGCCCACCTGGAACTCTTGGGCGCGAGCTCGTTGTTGGCCGCCTGTTTCTCAAGCAACAGCATCCAGTCGTAGAAAGTCTTGTGGTACCACTCCAAGTTCGCAATATCCTCGTCGGTCAACTGATGCAGGGCATCGTGAACAAAGTGGTACGCGGCGCGCGCAAGATCTTGGGCAACAGCCTTCTCCTCGGACGGAGCCGACGTCTTGAGTGTCTCCCGGAGCGGCGACGGGTCGTTCAAACTGAAAGCCTCCTGCCAGTCGTTGATAAGGACGAGCTTCTCGCGGCCCTGGCTGTCCTCATCCTCGGCACGACCCACGCTTTGGAAGTGCATGCCCTCCAGCTCGATGACCGGGCTGCTGCTGCCGTCCTGCGCAGACTCAGACACAACCGCGGCATGGACATCAAACCCTTGTCTGTTGTACTGCAGAAGCGCCGAGTACTCCTTGAGCTGATGGCCGGCCTGGCTGCTAATGTCGGCCGAGATGTACAGCGACCGGATGGCTCGGGGGACCGCAGCGCCCACGGTCTTGCGGCCCTCAGGGGTCAGCGTCGGATAGGCCGCCTGGAAAACTGCATCCAGAGTGATGGGGTGAATGACGTGCGGCTGCTGGTAGTTGTACGGCATGGTAGCGGCCGAGTCGGCAATCTTGAAGGTCGTCACCGCCTTGTCGTCTGCCATGCGGATCTCGGCGAGATTCTGGAACGACGGGCCGTGGGCGACGCCAACGGCGTGCAGCGCCTTGAATAGGTCCCTGGGGTTCATCTTCTTGGGGTACGCCGCGCCAGCAGAACCGCCCCTCGCGACGTCCAGCGAGCTGGTGGATTTCAGGGCAAAAGACCCGGCGGGCTTCTGGCCGAATTCGACGGCAATCATGCCCTTGGCCGACTCAACCCACTCCTCTCCCTGTGACGGGGCAGAGTACACGTGAAATTGGCGCCAGTCCTGCACCAGAGACCGCTCGCTTGAAGGCTCGAGGAACAGCTGGACTTCTACGCCGTCGGCGTTCTCTGGGATGATCATTGCTTTTGAGATCTCGACATCTCGAAGCAGGTAGCCGGTGATGGGCTTGTCGCCGGATGAGTGCAGCTGCTTCATGGCTTCAATGGCCATGCAAATGTATCCCGAGCCGGGATACACGATGTTCGACTGGACAATATGGTCTCGCACCCAGGGCAATTCGGACGCCCTCAGGATGAGTCTCCAGATCGGCGAGTGGTCGCTCGTGCCAGGCATGCGCAAGCCCAGCAAATCATGCGGCGGGTGCGGACGGAAGCGGTGCTCCTGGCTCATGCGGGACTCGGCCCAGAACCTGGTCGAATGGTTCCAGGGGTACGACGGCAGGTTGGGAAGTGCCCGGAGACCAGCCTGACCCTGCGGGAAGTTGACCATGCCAACATCGACGGGATAACCCCTTTGCACGAGGAAACCAGCAAGGTTCTGCATCGTCAAAACAGCATGCTTGCCTCTCTCAAGACACGATCCGTAGGCAATGCCGAGCTTTTTCAGCGCCGGCTCGCTCAGCGACTGCCTCATCGGGCCGGCGAGAGCGCTGTGCGGGCCAATCTCGACCACGGCGTCAATGTTTTGTGACAGACCAGTCTCCTTCTCGGTGGCAACCATGCTGCGGAATGACTGCGCGAACAGAACGGGCTTGATCATGTTGTCAACCCAGTTCTCGGGGCCGAGCAGGTCGGCATTGTCGAGAATACCGCCGGTGACGGGAGACGAGTAGGTCACGCCCTCCTTGAAGGATCTGCTGCCTCGGCGCATGTACTGGTCAAGCGCGGCCCTGTACTTGGCCTCGAGCGGGAGCATGTAATGGGAGTGGAAGGCCGACTGGACCTTGAGCTTGCGCGCAAAGATGCTTTCCGCGGCGAACTTGCTCTCCAGCTCATCAATCCCACTCATGTCTCCGGAGAGTGTGACGCTGGAGGGGCTGTTGACACACGCCACGACGACTTTGCCGGAGGTGAGCGCATCAAGGTACGGCTGGACGCCCTCAACACCGAGCCCGACTGCCATCATGCCGCCGGTGGAAGTGGACTTTTCGATATGCTCGGCGTTAACGAGACCTCGGAAATAGGTCGAGGCAACCGCCTCCCTGAGGTCCAGCGCCCCAGCAGCAAAAGCAGCAGCGACCTCGCCGCTGGAGTGGCCGGTGACCGCAGTGGGAGTGATGCCCCAAGACTCAAGAAGCCGGACCAGAGCGAGCTGAATGACCGAAGACAGAGGCATGCTGAAGCGGACCTCGTTGACGCGGGAGGTCTTTTCGTCACGGCTCAGCTCAGCTAGTAAACCATAGTTAGCTAACACCGTCACAGCCAAAGAAGTAGGGTTACTCACTAATCAACGACCAATCAGCCCCAAACTCCCTCAGGTACCCATCACACTCCTCAAGCGTCTCCATAAACACCGGGTAAGTCCCCATAAGCTCCCGGCCCATAGCAAACCACTGCGCACCCTGCCCATTAAACACAAACCCCAGTCTCGGAACCACCGAGGACGCCTGAACGGGCTTGACCTCGCCTGCAGCCAGCACCTCAACAAGCTCCGGCACTGACTGAGCCGACATCGCCAGCGTCCAAGGAAACCTTGTCCTGCGCTGACCCAATGTATACGCCAAGGCATCAAACGGTGTGTCAGTGGCCTGCTTGAGATACTCAGCCAGATTCCCGGCCATGTTCTTGACCGTCTTTTCGTCGCGGGCGCTGAGGAGGATGAGCTTCCTCTGAGTCGTTTCCTCACGCTCCGCAGCAGCGGCGCCGTTCACGGCAGCAAGGGCTTGTTTGACGTAATGCTCGGCCTCTTCCAGGATGACGTGGGTGTTTGTGCCGCCGTAGCCGAAATTGTTGACGGATGCCCGCTTGATGGCCGAGGATGGCCAGGCTTCGAGCTTTTGCGGGACCTGGATACATGTATGGGTTAGTTACCGTCAGAGGAGTTGGAAGTGCAGTGGGATGCTTACCTTCAGTCTCAAGCCGTCAAAGTCGATGTCCGGATTGGGCTTCTCAAAGTTGATGCTCGGCGGCACCTGACCGTGCTCAAGCGCCTTGGACATCTTAATGACAGCCGCCAGACCAGACGCCGCTTCGGTATGTCCCAGATTGGTCTTGACAGAGGCAATATACACGGGCTTGTCCGCCGGACGGCCTTCACCGAGCGCGCGGCCGATAGCTGTAGCCTCGATGGGATCACCCGCCTTAGTACCCGTGCCGTGGGCTTCAACAACCGCGGTGTCCAAGGGATCAAGGCCAGCCTTTTCATAGCACATCTTGATCAGGGCCAGCTGGGCGTCTCCGTCGGGCGATGTGATGGTCGCCGTCTTGCCGTCTTGGTTCACGCCGGTCTCCCGAATCACCACCCGGATAGGATCGCCGTCGCGCAGGGCATCGTCTAGCCTCTTGACGATCAGCGTCGCCACGCCCTCGCCACGGCCGTAGCCCTGGACTCGGTGGTCAAAGGCGTAGCATTTGCCGTCGGGGCCGCAGGATCTGCGAAGTGGTTAGCTGGCTAACGCAACAATTCGATCAAGATGGATGTATATACCCAAGCGATGACAGGTTGGCAAAAAAGTCCGGATTCATGTTAATACACGCCCCCCCGACAATGGCACAGTCGGACTCGCCCAACCGCAGGCTCTGGCAAGCAAGATGCAGTCCCATCAGAGACGTAGAACACCCGGTGTCAACGGCGGTGCTGGGGCCCTTGAGGTCAAAGAAGTGCGAGATGCGGTTGGCAAGCATGGCGGCGTAGTTGCCTGTGACGAAGGCACGGGGCACCCGGAGAGGGTCTGTCAAGAGCCGGTCATGGTAGTCCTTGGTGAAGGTGCCAGAGTAGACTGATGTCTTGGATCCCACGAGCTTTTGGAGGGGGATGCCGGCTGCCTTCGGTCAATGCTAGCCCGGAGCGAAGGGGTTCGCACAGGTGGGGAAAATACATACCGCTTTCGAGCGCCTCAAAGGTCAGCTCGAGCTGCAGCCGGATTTGAGGGTCCATAGACTGTGATTCCGCTGTTAGCCATCGCTCACGCAGAATTAAAAGGCCAGGGGCAACCTACAGCAGCGACGTCGGCTGTAAAGTTAAAAAAGGAGGGATCAAACAGGCCGACATCCTCCTCGAGGAAATAACCTCCTTTGATGTAAGACTAGGATCTTTTGTCAGCCCCTTAACTCTCTCCACATAAACTTGAGCAACTGCCTACGTACCGTAGAGAACTTGTCTGCTTGCGGATGATGGAACGCCGCGCGGTTGAATCTTGTCTCTGGGATCTCGGACCAGGCACTCCGTCCCTGAGAAACAAACTCCCAAAGCTTATCCGGGTTGTTGACGCCGCCCGCGAAGCGGCATGCCATGCCGACTATGGCCAGGGGCATGGTAGCCGGCTTGCTACTATCGCCATTGGTGTACCCATTGGCATGGCTATGTCCATTGGTGGTGGTGGTTCCATTGCTGCCCGCCATGATTGCAGGTCTGGTCTGAGAATGAACGGAGTGGGTGCAATGCAAGGACGAGGCTGGCTTTGGGTGGGTGGTAGGTATGAGGTTAGGCTTCTGAGATGATGACACGATTGACGACGGGTGGTGATGGCGCATATAGATGCAAACTCAGGGTCTCTCTGATAGTAAACATAGCCCCAGCCGTTCGAGCCCGTTGTGGTTGTGGGGTTCACTCCGGCATCCCGAATCAGGGGCCCGCCAAGAGCCGGCCGGCATGGACCGGGGATCCACCCGGAGCTCTCGAAGCTCAAAACATGCGGAGCAAACTTCAAGGCCGTTGATGAATACGGTAAAGCGCCATGTTCTCGACTTCGGAACGCTGCAGTAAGACGGCCTATTAGCTTGCATTGCACATCCTCCAACCGGGCAATGAGCAGGCGCATCCGCCGAACGCCATACACCTTGCCGAGGCCAGTGAGGTGAGAGCTGAGTGAACCCCCCGGAGCCGAATTGGGCAAGTGCCGAGCTCCATCGCCGGGGGCTGAGCTGCAACTCCCCGCGTCTAGCACCCGCAGGATAAGGTTGCACCAGGAACGCCAATCACTCGGAGCTAGTGGCGGGATGGTGTGGTGAAATGCCTATTTAATCCGTCGAGGGGCAACCGGAAGGCCGCTTGCAACATTTCTCGTTGGGGCAAACTCCGGCTCGGTCGCTCACTCACAGCTTCAGCTCAGTCACTCCCAGCCAAGCAGCAAGCAAGCGAATGCTACCAGACCCCGATTGAAGGGTAAGGCTGCTGCATCAAGCCCTAGCCCCCCCCCCCTGCCATATAGGCAATCCGGTTCAACACGCGGTCTCTCAAGTGTTTTGCTGTCAAGGGAGAGAGAGTAGATCCAGATACCCAGTGCTGTGAAGCTACTAGTATAGAATCCTTGCATATCATCGGATTTGGTAGCTCTGCGGACTAGGAGGTCATCACAAGAGCAAAGACAGTCAATCTCGAGGTCATGTCTCAGTTCAAGGAAACCTTTTTCCACGCCTCGGGCCAGGCGTCGGGCATCTGGACGGGCAATCTCTGGGCGGGCCTGGTTGTGGTGTTTACGCTGGCTGTAAGTCAACAGAGCAGATGAGATGAGGGAGATTGTCAGGGGAAAACTTGCCCGTGCTAACATCGTGCAGATCCTGATCCGCCGGGTCATCGACATCACCTACAACCTCTACTTCCACCCGCTGGCGCATTTCCCGGGCCCCAAATTTGCCGCCTTCAGCAACGTGAGATATCCGGCCAGCGCTTTAGCGGATCATTAACCACAGCAAACTCTCCGCAGATTCCGTACAGCTACTGGTTTCTTGGAGGGCGCCAACCCTACAAGATCCTCGAGCTGCATCGGAGATACGGCAAGTCAAAGTCCCAAGCAGCCACTCACATTACTTACCCACCAGCCAGGCCCAAAGAATTGCTAACAGACGGGTTGGTTCAGGACCGGTAGTGCGGACGGCGCCAAATGAACTCTCATTCAACTCAGCACAGTCATGGAAGGACATCTACGGGTTCAGGCAGAACCACAAGACATTCATCAAGAGCGATTTTTATGACGGCGGCAGCTTCACCGGCCGCGGGGTGCATTCCATCGTGAGCGAGCGCGGTGTTGACGAGCACGCGCAAATGCGCCGCTACTTGTCGCATGCCTTCTCGGACCGGTCGCTCAGTGAGCAGGAAGAGCTGATCGCCAAGAGCATTGACAAGTTCGTGGGAAAGCTGGGCGCGGCGGGCGCCAAATCTTCGGGGTTTGACATTGGCAAGGGGTATGAAATGATGACTTTTGACATCATTGGTGATCTTGCGTTTGGCGAGACTTTTGGGGGGCTTGAAAAGGGTAGGTACTCCTTTCTCTTCTGTCTTGTTCGCGCAATGGCTGACTCCGGGCCAGACCAGCCCCATCCGTGGATTTCGATCGCAATGGGGGCATTGACGCAGGGAGCGCTTGCAGATGTTTTCAAGCGCTTCCCAATGCTGGGGAAGACACTCTCCGTCCTGATGTCGAGCCAGCTGAAGAAGCTGACAGAGGACACGAGGACCAACGAGGACATGGCGATAGACTTGGTAAATCGGTAGGTTTTTCAGGGGGCGCGATCATGATGATATGGACAAAAGCGACTGACACCGCCCGCAGGCGCATTGCACGCAAGACCGACAGAAAAGACTTCATGACGCGCATCCTCGAGCAGCGGGATCCAGACGAAGTGTCAGACCTGCAGCTCGCAGCGCACGCCTCCGACTTTGTTTTGGCGGGCAGCGAAACCACGGCTACTGCCATGGGCACCATCACATACTACCTTTTGCGCAACCCTGACATAATGGCCAGATTACAGCGCGAGATTCGCGCGGCCTTCAAGTCGTACGGCGAGATCTGCGACAAGGCAACGCTACCGTTGCCGTACTTGAAGGCGGTGATTCTGGAGGGGCTGAGGATGTATCCGCCGCTGCCGTTTGCGCTCCCGCGGGTTGTTCCCGACCCCGGAGACACGGTGGACGGGCATTACCTCCCCGGAGGCGTAAGCAATGCAATCGGAAAAGGGGCAAATCGCACAGAACGCATGCTGACATCGCCCTCAGACGATCGTTTCAACGAACCCAATCGCAGCGAGCCTCGACGCAGCAAATTTCAAGGACCCGATGGCGTTCAAGCCGGAGCGGTGGATGGGAGCCAACCAGGAGGATATCCTCGAGGCGAGCCAGCCGTTTTCACTCGGGCCGAGGGCATGCCTGGGCAGAAAGTCAGTACATACAACGAGTGCAGAACTCGCCGAACTAGCAATGAGCTGACTTTAAGGTGAAACAGTCTCGGCTGGATGGAGCTCCGAACCACGATTTCCAAGGTTCTCTGGATGTATGATCTGGAGCTGGCGGACCAGTCGCTGGACTGGCACCGTGACTCGAAAATGCACACGCTCTGGATGAAGCCTAAGCTCATGGTGAGAGTAACAAAGCGGGCGGGGGCGTAGGTATTAGGAAGGGCGGAGGATAAGACGCGGTTTCCCTAGAGTTGTGATAGTGTTACATGGCTGCGAAGCTGAGGATAGTGGCGTTCTCCATGGTGCCCAGAATGAGTAATCCCCGAGGAGGCTGTTTTGTATAAGTAGGGTAGGCAGCGCATCAAGGTGGAAGGCAATCCTCAGGTCCAAAGCAAGTGAAGTGAACGCTTGCATCACCCGACTGTGCTCCAGAGAGACCATGGCTTCCTTGACCATTGAAGAGAGCACCATCCCCCAGTTGGATGGCAAGACCGCCATTGTTACTGGTGAGAAATCCTCGGCCTGACTCGAGCTGGAACGAGTCATCTTAACCGAACTAACACAATATGGGGGAACTGCAGGCGGCGCATCAGGAATCGGTCTCGCAGCAGCTCGGCTGATGGCACGCAAAGGCGCAAAGGTGTACATCCTCGACCTGAACGAACCCACCGAGCCCGCACCTGAACTCCACTTCCGCAAAGTCAACGTAGCATCATGGGCTGAGCTGCGCGACGTGTTTGCAGAGGCCGGGCACGTCGACTATGCCTTTGCCAACGCCGGCGTCAGCGAAGAGACAAACTACTTCGCTGACACGTTCGATGCAGAGGGCAATCTGCAGGAACCGACCTACGCCGTGCTCGACGTCAACCTGCGCGGGGTGCTCAACTTTGTCAAGCTCGCGTGGAGCACCATGCGCAAGAATGGCACGGCGGGAAGCATCGTCATAACCACCAGCGCGACGGCATACGCGCCGGAGCAGTCCCTGCCTGTTTACGCAAGCGGCAAGATCGCGGTTCGTACTCTCTCAATCCCTTTCACCCAAGCTGACCCGCTGACCGGAACAAAAAAAAAACAGCTAGTAGGCCTAATCCGCGCCCTACGCTCCGTCATCATCCGCGACGGCATAACCATCAACGGCGTCGCGCCCGCCGCGACCATCACCAAGCTCCTCCCCGGCGAGCTCGCAGCGCCGATCATGGCCATGGGGCTGCCCGTCAGCAACGCCGATTTCGTGGGGCGCGCATTGGTGTACTCGGCGACGGCGCGGCAGGCAAAGCGGGTTGAAGTGTACGGCAAGGAGAAGGAGGCTGACGCGTTTGTGGAGGAGCGCTGGAATGGACGGGTCATCCTGACGCTGGGAGACAGCTACACGGAGCTGGAGGAGCCGATTTCTGAGCTCCGCCCGTTTTGGTTTGGGCGCGAGAATTTGAGGTTGACGCGTCTGCAGCAGGCGGCGACGGATTTTAGGCCGTTTCCGGTCCCTAACCCTGCGGAGTAGAGAGGGGTATGGTAGCGACGGGTGATGGACTGGCGTTGTTGTTTGGATGTTGCAAGTTGGGTAGTTTGTTGTTTATAGGAAAGTAAAGGGTTGGCAAGAGTCACAGTCCGGTGTTGATTCGGGTGCTTTGGTTGTTTAGTGAGCGGACCTCCATGAAGCGGATGGATCGATGGATGAAGACTAGGTAAGTACCTACTGCATACTCGGGCTGTTGATGACCCACTTCAAATTATAAGCTTCAGTGATGTTCAACGCTAACTTACAGGGCATTTGGCAGGGGTATGTGCTACAGCGGGTAAGTGTCACTGATAAGATTACAGTATGAAGATACCGTTTTGTTACTGTAAGTTACATAATCGATTGGAATTCCTCTGCAGTCTGCACTGAGCCCTGTAACCATGCTAAAAACATCAACTGCATCCACAAGCATCTCATAATCTCACCCATCTACAACCCACTCCTCCCTGATCACTCGCATCATATCATTCCCCCTAGGAACCAAACACACAGGCACATCCTCCGGCGGAATAAGCGTAACAGGCGAACCACCACTGACAAGCCTCATCGTCCGCTCAACTTCGGCCGCCGAAACCCCGTCATCAAGTCGCAGACGGTGATCCCTCAGCAGCCTTGCAAAAAACGCGACAAACTCCACCCGTGCAAAATGCCTGCCCAGACACGCCCGCGGACCTTCGTTGAACGTCATGAAGGTTCCCTTGATATGGCCCGGAATTGAAGCAGTGCCTGCTTTGATCTCGGTTTCCTGGGCTGCTGACACCGGCTGGGATGGATCAAACGTGTTGGGCTCGTTGACCAGCCATCGCCGGGGTTCAAAGATGTGAGGTGAAGGCCAGTTTTTTTCCGAGTAGTGGATGGCTGTGTTGTTTACGATGACACCGGTGTTGGCTGGGAGAGCTACGTTTCGTGTGGTGCCGGTGATGCTGTCGTGGACGAGTAGGTCTTGCGGTTCGACTGTTGTGCGGCCGATGGGGATGACGATGGGGAAGACGCGCATTACCTCGTACTGTCGATGTTATCAGCATGGTTGTCTATGTGAATGGAGAGATTTTTGAGAGCCACTCGCCATGAATGCGATCAGGTACCGAAACTTGGGCAGGTCTTCGGTGTACGACAGCTCCTCGCGACCGGCTTCCCGCGCCTCCTTGCGGATTCTATCCGCCTCTTCGATGATTTGATCCTGCACATCACTATACAGCGCTAACATGATGCAGCAAAACAGGATGGTGTTGGCTGTGGTGTCGTAGCCTGTTGGGAATGTCAGCCAGCTAATCGATCCAGCCCCCCGAATCTCTCTTTACTTACCAGCCAGCAGAAAAATAAACACATTGCCCTTAATCTCCTCATCGGTCAGGCTTGTCCTTCCTCCCGGGCCAGCTACAGCCTGCTTGGCACCCTCCTCACTCGACCTCAGCACTGCAGTCAGCAGATTTTCCCTCGCTGCACCCGACTCCGTCTTAACCCCGCGCTGCAAACCCGCCTTGGCCTCCGCAAGCAGCTCATTCATGTACTGCTCAAACTCAACATACGCCGTGTGCGCTATCTTCCAGGGCGAGTTGCGGAGCAGCCACTTGGGCATGAGCAGGATGTGCGGCAGATGCATGACGACGCCAAAGATGGCAGCGACCAGCGACAGGCTGTGGCCTTGCGGTACAGCCTTCGAGTCCTCCACCCAATCCGCCTGCCTCCCAAACCCAGCCAGGGACATGGTGTTGACGGTCAGCGTGTAAATGTTGTGCTTGAGCGAGCCAGCGCCGCTGCTCTTGGCCCACGACGCAGCCATCATGCCGGTCTGTCTCTCCGTCTCCTCCCACACAAGCTGCTGCACCGCTTCGCCGAAGGGTGGCAGCGTGATGCGCAGATGGAACCGCCACAGGTCGCCGTCTGTAGAGACAACGTTTGGACCGAAGGGTTCGAGCATTTCTGTATCTCGCTCAGCAGTTGCCCTTCAAGTTGGGCCTCGAAGAGGGACAGTGGTGGCGGCATACTCATCTTCTCTGGCGGCTTGACAAACGCTTTCCTTCGGGAAACGACATTCATCGCAGTCTTTGCATTACCGACGTAGCAGACCAGGCCTCCCGGGGAAACCACGAGGAACACCTCGCCAAACTCGGCATGAGCACGGCCTTTGTCCTCATAATGCCAGTCCTTGACCATGAAGCGCGCCCACCGCGGCCATCCCTGGCCCTTCTTTAGCAGGTGGTTACGGCACCACCATCTCAAGAGCGGGTCGGTGAGGTAAGCCCACCCTTCGAGCTCGTGGATGGGGGATATCGTGTAGGGCAGGCCCGTCGCTCTGGCTTTGGAGATGTTGCGTGCGAGTTTGGTCAAAGCAAGGACAGCTTGTGCAGTCAGTGCGATGGCGATGAGAAGCACGTATTGCACCATGGTGATGGTGAGCGTGGGGTTCGCGGCTTAGGGGAACGGTTGTTTGTTTGTTCCAGTTGCTGGCTGTCATTCAGATGCTGGCATGCGTACATTTCCTGTCTGTTCAACCCGTTCCTCACACCCGACATTGACGCTGTCCAGGCGTCATCGCCAGCAAGCCACAGGGACAGCGCCTTACGGCCGGCCATGTCTCGTTCAGTCTGCTCAGCCCTCGGAGCCTTGAACAGGTCCGCAAGCACAGAACGCCACTACCAAAGGCGCACAACGCTCTATTCCGGCCCGCAGTGGACGAAGCGCGTGCTAGCGTGAGTTCGGCCGCCGGCTGTCGGTCGCGACTGGATTTTGTCGAGCCACTCGCTGCACATCGGCATTTGCCTTTTAAGGAAGTCCTGCAAAAAGCATTTCGGGAGCGGCCCGCATCACACCGAATCCCGAACCACGCCTGCGGGCCGGGGGGAGAAAGGACCAGTCACGATGTCACGATAATCAAGCATCTCGACAGCTTTGCATTGGGCCGCCCTTGTTTGGTTGCGCTGCGATGCTAACGTTGCAGCCACAGCAATCCCCTGTCTCTCTTGTGCCGTTGCAGGATTGAGGGCGGCTATCCGTACTTGCGACTGATCTCCCCTCCCCTCATCCGAAACCCCGCTCTCTCTGAAGGCGTCTCTGCCGTCTCTGCAGCGTGGTGTGTTGGCTTGTCTCTGCTTTTGACTGAGGTTTCACAACGCCAACAGACATCTTCAATAACTGTGATTGCGCTGCTTGAACGTACAGTCTCTCAGGATCTGTTGAGCGCCTTGCAGGCCATACAGTGTTTTTGGCGTCACCATGGCACACCCTTCTCCTTCCGGCGGCGTTCACAGCGTCCAGGCGATTTACACAAACATCATTGAGACGAGAGGCCAGGTCGTCTGGGAGAACCTCAGCTATTTTCTCCAGCTGGATGTCAAGCAATGGACGTTTGCGTTGATCTCTCTGGTAAGCAGCAAAGTTCTGGTCACTTGGAAAACGCGAATGCTGAAGAAGTAGTTTACAGTGGCTCGCCTACGCGGTTGCAAAAGGCATTTACAACCTCTACTTCCACCCGCTCGCCGGGTTCCCAGGGCCGTTTTGGGCCCGCGCATCGCTGGTAAGCGGCAGACTTTAGGCCTGTGTTACCCCCCTTAGACGTCCCGGTTGTCGCTAACGAACCAACCCAAAGTTCTGGCGCTTCTGGCATACGATGCGCGGCCGTTCGCATCGTGTGATTGAGCAACAACACCGGAAATACGGTTAGTAGTGCAGCGTATCTCCCTGAACAAGCCATCAAAAAAGCTGAATGAGATTGTGCTGTGCAAAAGGCCCCGTCTTCCGCGTCTCCCCCAACGAACTGTCCTTTGCCTCGGTCGACTCGTGGAAAGCCATCTACGGCTTCCCGCCGCCGGGCCAACCGCAGCTGATCAAGGGCGAGTTCTACGACGTGTACGGCTCGGCGTACAAGACGGGATGCATCGGCTCGGAGCGGGATCCCAAGCTGCATGCGCAAAAGAAGAAGAATCTCACGGCCGGGTTTTCGACGAAAGCGCTTGCCCTGCAGGAGCCTATTGTTCAGAAATGCTGGGACCAGTTCGTCGCAAAGGTCGGACCGCTCAGCCGCCAGACTGAGCAGGGGATTAATATTGTCAAGTGGCTGGAGATGGTCACGTTTGATATTCTGGGGGAGATGGCTTTTGGTGAGGGGTTTGAGTGCGTCGAGAAGGGTGAGTATTCGTTGATTGTGTTGTATTGTATTGTACCTAAGTTTCAGGGGGTTGAGGCTGACTGACATTGGTTGTTATGGCAGAGAAACACCATTTTTGGATCGATCTTATTCTTGATCACCTGCTGGAGGTTACTCTGGTGGACAACCTCCGAAGATTCGGGTTTCTGGCGACTCTGGGCAGGATCGTGCTCCCGTCGCTCACTGTCAAGATGCGTGAGAAGCACTCTGGCTTCAGCAGGGCGAAAGTGCAGAAGTGAGTATCTGTTCTTGCGCAAGTTTGATGATGTGTGTGAAGGCTGACTGACATGTCCGGTTTAGGCGTCTCGAAGCAACCAACACGCGGCAGGACTTCCTCACCAATGTGGTCGGAAAGGTCAAGAGCGGCGAGGTGGACCAGGAGGAGCTGACGGCGCATGCCTCGACCTTCATGTAAGTCTGCCGGCTCCATCCTGACCTTGCTGTAGACCTGTTACCTGACATGATAGCAGCATCGCCGGCGGGGAAACGACAGCAACCTGCCTCGCAGCCGCCGTCTACTACCTCCTGAAGGAACCTCACACACTGGAAAAGCTCCAGAAAGAAATCCGCGGCGCCTACACCTCGTATGACCAGATCGACGCAGCCTCCGCACTGCAGCTGCCCTACCTCCAGGCCGTCCTCAACGAGGCCCTCCGCATCCATCCGCCCGGGTCGCAGGGGTTCCCGCGCGTCTCGCCGGGGGTGGTGATTGATGGGCATTACGTCCCGCCAGGGGTAAGAACACCTTCAAATACCTACCAATACCTACTCTAACGTCGTACACTTCATGCGGGCAGGTCGAAGTCTACACCAGCGCCTGGACCGTGACGCACGACCCGCGGTACTTCCACGACCCGGAGACGTTCAAGCCTGAGCGCTGGATCGATCCGGAGTGTACGGATGTTAAAGAGGCGAGCCAGCCGTTTTCGTTGGGGTATAGAGCCTGCATTGGGCGCAAGTACGTTCCAAATCACTACTTATCCTTTCCGAAACTTTGAGCTGATATGATTGTGTGTGACACGCTGCAGTTTTGCCTTTGTGGAGATGGTGTCGTGCATGGCCAAGATGGTGTTTGCCTACGACTGGGAGCTGGTCAACAAGGACTTGAACTGGGAGGCCGAGTCGCGGTGTCATGTTATGTGGTGGAAGGCGCCGGTTTATGTGAGGTTTTTTGAGAGGGAGGGGGTGGAGGTTAAGGTCTGAAGTTTGATGTTTGGTGTTGGAATTCCTGTCTCGTGAGATCAGTAGTGGTGGCCTCAGGAACGCGAGAATGCTTGATATCAAGAGTCGACCACGGCTTTACAATTTTGAGGACTCAACTACTTTCCTGGCTGTGAGGGCTCGACTAGGTATTTTCCTAGATTCTGAGGAGTGAATTGCGTTCCTGGGTATTGAGGACTCGATTACCTGACGCTTCTACTGGTCTCTCAGTAATTAGCTCATCTTACCCTTCGAGTCAGCTCTCTCTGTCGATCGGAGATGGGGCTGTTCAGGGCTTCAGGGCTTCAGCGCGTTCCGATGCCACTGTAGCACCAGGGACCAGCTGCGAAGCGAGGCAGCCAATGGCACGAAAATGCGGGCAGTTAGGGAGTAGTACGACAACAACGACAGGGGCAATGCTTTGCTGACGTCCCCGGGAAAGCCGTCACTTGGCGGTTCGTCATTCTCATAACCTAGAAGCCTAGAAGGAAAATAGAACTACTGTCATACACTCCATGTCCATAATGTCCCTAATTCCCTCCCCAACGGTGGCTCCGTTACCCGCAATTCCAGGTTCCAGTTTTGCTGTGTTCTTTCTAGCAGGTGTGTACCTAAGCTAGATCACCTGAATAGTGAGTGAGATGTTGGTTGCGCACACCGAAATCTTGTCCCAATCCGGCAACTACCGAGATGGAGCCTGAGACTGGCCCGGGAGTTTGCTCTGCCGCTCACCAAAACACCAGCGCCAGGTGGTCTACCCTGGTACTGGTGGAAAACCCTCAGTTGGCTGCGGTGGGAATACGAATAGCGTACATACACGTAGTGTATACTTCCCAGGGTAAGGCTGCTTTCCAGCTTGTCAGCTGCAGGTACTCGTTCCCGGAAAGACGGCCACTATGAGGTCAGGTAGTGTAAGTCACTGTAACTTCATGATGAACCACTTCAGGGCAGTGCGTGGCTCACCCCAGTAGGCCAAGCTTTGTCCAGGTTCCTTTCCAGAGGCATTTTTAGCAATCCGCCCGCTATTCAGGTAGCGAACGGCGTCATTTAGTGGATTGCGTTTGCTTGGTTCCTTGGCAGTGGGCATGACAGCATGACAGCATGACAGCGTTCGGTTCAGGGGCTTGGAGAAAGCTTACCCCTGGGCCCTGGCTGACCGAGCTGTACAGTACGCCGTACTCTACAGGGCCCCTGTGTGAATGGCCAAGAGCGGGTGCAATCTAAACCGCGTGGGCCTTGCAGCCTTGCTGCAGGTGCAGGACATAGACTGACAGTTCCCCCTATTGATGAAGCTGGGTTCAGGCAACTTCGGACGGGATGGCACGTTGTACAAGTACAAACATAGATGATTTGGATCATCTCATTCCCTCAATCGATCCTTCAGTCAGACCATACATAATCATGACTCTACTCTCAGCCACTGGCTTGTGACTTTTACGCTGCAAATAGCACGTCAGGTCAGTACTGGTGGTGTTGAACCCGGATCACTACCCAGGTACCTCTATACCCTACCTACCTTACCTACCTAGTTCTTCTCGAGTCATCCAATGGGACTCGGAGCCCGACCCTGAGGGTCCCAAGCCCTGGCAAAAAGCCACATGGACTATTCAGGGGTGGCCCGCATGCGCGTGCTAGCAATGCCCCTGGTCTGTGGCACGACACTATTGCTTCTAGAAGCCCAGTTAGGGATCAATGATGCCTGCGCCGCCAACTCTTCCCCATTCCCAAGCCGGAGGTTACTCGTTTGGAGTATCACTGAGTTCGGTCAGGTGTTTGGAGGATCGAGGCTAACCTCAGACACATGATGGAATGGGGAACGGCAAGCGAAATGCGAAATGGGGCAGGGCATGACGGGATGCTATGAGGGTGCTGTTAGAAGAGGACTCCAAGCCAGGCGGCTGTGATGAAGAAAAAAAGTATAAGAATGATGGTGGGATACGCGAGGCGAGGTTATTGGCAGTCGACCTGTCTGTATCCGCCAATCCAAGGCCTTTGAGAAGCACCTCACTTAGACTCTGAGCCCCTTGATACAGTCAACATGATCTTCCAATCTGGAGCCGCGTTGCTCCTGGGTCTCTTGGCCGTCCCAGCATCTGCTTTCCGTCCCACCTTCAACCACCTGCTTCGGGGAAGGGGCCAGGAGGTTCAGAACGCCGTTGCGGCTTGCCAGAGACTGTCTTCGACGTTCCCATCGGCGGTGTACTGGCCGAATACACAGGACTACATCGATGAGACCACAGGTACGCCCTTTACTCTACTTCCATACAATACCTATCTTAGGGTTATGCAGACTGCTCACAGCACGACAGCCATCTACTCAACATCATGTATCCTGTCCCCCAACTGCGTCTTTGAACCGTCCAGCGCAAACGACGTCAGCACGGCAGTCAAGATCCTCCGGCAGACCAAGTCCAAGTTTGCCGTGCGCGCCGGGGGCCACATGCCCGTGCCCGGCGCCCAATCCACCCAGCCCGGCGTGCTGATTGCCCTGTCCAAGCTCAATCAAAAGACATATGCCAACGCCAACAAGACCGTGGCTAGCATCGGTCCGGGTCAGACATGGTATATTCCCAGCCAGACACCACTTACTTGACTGGAGTCTGACTAACACTCCATCACTGCACAGGATCGAAGTCTACCAATGGGCCGCGACCTCCGGCCTCGCCGTGAACGGGGGCCGCTATCCCACCGTCGGCGTCGGCGGCGTCCTCACCGGCGGCGGAATCGGCTACTTCAGCAGCACCAAGGGCTGGGGTGTCGACACAGTCGTCGGATTCGAAATAGTCCTTGCCAACGGCCAGATTGTCAACGCTACCTCCTCCGGTCCCCACTCCGACCTCTTCTGGGCCGTCCGCGGCGGGCACAACAACTACGGCATTGTCACCCGCTTCGACCTCAAGACCTTCCCCGTCGGCCCGGCCTATATTGGTGGCGCCATGTGGGACGCCACCGGCGCCACGGGCCAGTCGGTGCAGGACCAGTTTTTTGGTGCGTTGACGGAGTATTTGAAGCCGGGAGGGGGCGTGGATGATCCGAATGTTGCGACTAGCGCGATTATTGCCTTGTCGCCGGCGAATTTGGACGCGGAGAATCACCCGCCGGTGGAGTTGATCAGTATCCAGATGGCGCCTGGTACCGATGCCAAGCCAAGGGCGTTTGAGAATTTTACCAAGATTGAGGGGCCTACCGTGCAGGAACTGCCGGGGAGCGTGGTGCCCAGTTGGACGTTGCTTCCGCAGGCTTTGGCGCAGTTTGGGGAGAGGGGGAAGAGGCATGTGTATTGGTCCGTGAGCTTCAAGCCGGATCCCAGGGCGGTGATGATTGCGAATAGGACCGTGACGGAGCTGGCGTTTGGCAGGATGAATAAGGTCCGTGATGCGGCGGTGGCGTTTACGTACCAGCCGGTGTCAAAGGATTGGTTGGAGGCGTCGAGGGCCGCGGGGGGGAATGTGCTGAATTTGGATCCGGCGGGGGGGACGTTTGTTGGTGAGTTTTGCCATTACCCCCAGGCCATCTTCCCTGAAACTTATTGCTTAGTGATGCTGACGGGTGGTCTAGCCGGCCTCCTCGCCATCACATGGACCAACTTCTCCGACGACGACACGGTCTACCGGTTCTGCAAGGAAGTCGGCGAGACGATTGAGCGCGAGACGCGCAAGCTGGGGCTCTACCACCCGTTTGTTTACCTCAACGACGCCCACCCCTGGCAGAAGCCGTTCCGCAGCTACGGTGGCAATGTGCTGCACAGGCTCAAGGCCATCCAGCACAAGTATGACCCGGATGGGTTTTTGAAGAGGCACCTGGCTCATGGGTTTGAGATTGAGTAGTTGTTCTTACATGGATGTAAGATCTGTTCCATGGTGGATAAGGGGTACTGGTACCTAGGGGCTGTTGTTGATAAAAGGGGGCGCTTTTTTTCTGTGGGGAGCAGATAGGGGGTAGAGAGGCGTTGGCGGTAATCTGACTTTAATTTACTCAATTCACAACCAGAACATTCTGTACCTGTCTTTACCCAATTCGCAGTCATGTCAAGCAATGTTGCTGAGCGTGTCAAGTTGACACCTTGGTCTGGTGTCATTGATCTGCCCCTGATCGACGTGCTACGAATAAGCTTACTTCTGGAAGCTTTTTTCCACGTGGGAGATGTGGGATTGACGTAGTTACATGCAGCCAAATCTCCAAAGTTCATGGCCAAAACAGGAAGGTGTCAGAGTCGTGGGCGGCCGTCCGCCGGCATTGACATGGTTCTGCCGGGTGTGACTCTAGAGTCTAGAAGATAATACCAGGCTTCTTATATCACATGTTGTCAGGAGGGTGGCATCTGTAACAGCAACATTCGTTTGAGTTGTATTACTTGACTGGACCAAAGGGTAAGGTACAATACATGTGACATATTGAGAAACACAACAGATTCCAGTCGAGCAAGCGAAGCAGAGTTCCAAACATCAGCACCGAGGCCAATACAAGTCTTGCATCTATCCAAACTCCCTGCACTCAGCACCACAGCACTTACCACCTCCCATACCTATCTAATGACAAACAAACTTCGCAAACCTCGCAAACTCCCCATCCCCCTCCAGCACCTCCATCTCCTCCCTCTTCAAACTCACCAGCACCTCAAACCCCCCACTCACCTGCATCGGCAGGACCACACACCGTCTACAAACCGCATCAAACTCCCTCCTTGGCGGCCTCAAATGATCCGGCCGTCCGCCATTCGCAAACAAGACCTCTCCAAAACTGACATCAAACGCACTCAACCCAACCCAGCTCGTGAAGCACGCCTCGGCGCCCTCAAACGTCGCAAACGGAAACCTCAGCGTCTCCCCATAATCCTCCAGCGCCAGGGCCAGGCCAAAGGCCTTTTGTAGCGTTTCACGGGTGATGGCGTCAACGGATTTGCGGATGGCGGTGGCGACCTGTGCGAGGGTGGTGCTTGGGGATACCAGGGTGTGTACGGGCAGGGAGGTGGTCGCGATGAAGACCATGGTGCCCATGTAACTCCAGGGTAGGTCTGCGGAAAACAGCGCGCGGCCGTCAAGCGTAGTGTCTAGCAGCGAGGTGGCGGAGGGGGCGTAGTCGGTTGCCCGTTCGTGAGGGGATGCGGCCTGCTCTCGCGCGCGCATGATGCATCGCCACAGGAGGGCCATTAGCGCGTCGTTGGCGGTGATCGGGGTCGTGGTGGGGTTGCTGGCGGATTCGGCTGTGGCTGCTGCACGCAGCGCAGCAAAGTTTGATGCGGAGACGTAGAAAATGGTGGTTTTCATCTCCGGCGGCGGGGCGGAGGGGGGTGCGGACAGGGCAAATTCCTTGGTCGCGGCCAACTCTTCCGGTGTGGCGGGCGGGAGCAAACCCAGCAGCCGCCAGAGCTCGGCCGGGGCGTTGCGGATCATGGCCTGCCTCTCGGTCGGGTCGGAGGGGAGAATGTTGCCGGGTTCGGCGCGCCAAAGTTTCTCCAGCAGACGGTAGTCGCAGGATTCTTGCGGGATGGACAGCGCAGAACCAGGGTTTTTGTCCCCCTGGATAGCGCGGGCGTGTTTCGCCCAGACTTTCATCAGCAGACTGCCGCTGGTGCCGTCAATGATGGAGTGGAAGATGCCAAATGCCAACAGAACACCACCCTCGACATAATTTGCCTGCGCGACCAGCCCCGGGGCACCCTCATTGTAAATATCCCAGGAGAAAGCATGCGGCGGGAACAAAACCGCCCCGTCCAACTGATCCTGCACGAGTCCCGCATCCAAAAGGTCGTCGTAATCAGGCCAGGTGGATGACAAGTCGTTGGCCACGACCTGCGGGATCCAGTCGGGCTGTTGGCGGGCTTCGAGCCGGCCGGTGCGGGGGTCGTCTGCGGTGGGTGCCAGCGCAAAGACGCGCCGGTGGAGGATGGGCAGTTCGTCGCAGGTTCGACGGAGGGATTCTTGGAGCAGGGCGTGCACGGCGGCAAAAGAGACGCCGGGGTTGAGGCGGAAGGTGAACATGAAGTTGGCGTAGAAGCGCGGCATGATGTTGTCCATGGGACTGAGCGGTATGCTGGTGATGACGGCCATTTTGCTGGTGTGGCTGGTGAGTGGTGACTGGGAAGAACGAAGTGTGGTGGATTGGAAGAGAGGATTGTTGTTCGTTGCTCTGTGATGCTCTTGTTCTCTTCGAATGCGATCATAAACAGGAATCACTGCATGAGTTATTCGCACTCTGAAGTTAGAGTACGGAGTGCAGCTATTGCCCAGTGACGACCGAGAGGACGATACAACGCTGGCTTCAAGTTCAGTCAAGAGGCAGTGGATGCATCTCCAGAACTGAACGCCACCAGGCTCTAGTCAGGCCTGTTCATCACCTTCGGCACGTTGCAGCAGCGTCTGACAGGGTCCTGTTCAGTGAGCCAGGGCTGCACAGCTGCTGAGCCTGCGGGGCTGCCCTGATGCCCCGCCGTTCGTGTAAGTGTTAGGGCTGTGATGGTATCCACCACGCAAACCAATAAGAGCGCGCCTATCCGTTCGGAGATTTCCCGATCGGGTAACTCGGCGGAACACCCCGAGTCAGCGCCGCGATGACCATTGGAGTCGCAAGGGATTACACACAGGCAGGACAGGCAAGCATGTGCTTTGCCGGGTTTATATTTGATAACTCAAGTCAGGGGTTCGACGTTGAAGTCTGCATTGGGTAGGCATTGGCATTGCCACGATTACCACTGCTGTGGGAGTTTTCGGATGTGGTTCATCTGGCGAGGATTCTGGGGGTTCATGTTACTTGTACGAGGACTGAGGAAGGAGCAACCGTCAAGTTCATGTGTCAAGTTCCT